CTGCTTTCGATCATAGATGTCTGCGATCTCTGTCTCACGTTAGGTGGTTTCAATAAGGTAAGTAATGTTGACGTTAGGCGTAGAGTGTTGGGCAAAGAGGGAAAATCAATCGACGAGGCTATAAAGTTACATAGACTAAGATGGCTAGGTCACGTGCTGCGCATGCCTAACCACCGCCTCCCCCGACGGGCATTACTAGCTGATATAGGTGCAGGTTGGAAAAGAGCCAGTGGTGGCCAAACAAAAACATGGCATCAATCCATGAAATCCTTGACAGTTAAACTGAGTCAGGTAGGGAGATGCAGACTTCCGGGTTGGGGCCCTCGGGACTCTAGGAATCAATGGCTGGAGACAATAGGTGACATGGCTCAAAATCGTTGTCAATGGCGCAGATGTATTCAGTCTCTGTAATCTTTCATATTTCTTTCTACCATTACCCATTCTGTTTCGCTTTTATACCTGCCAAACTCTATTGATTCTCTTCACTCATCTTCTTACGTGAGCGTCGGTGGCACAGTGGTTAGGACTTTCGCCGACCATTCACATGGTACGAGGTTCGATCCCCTGCCGACGCACACCTGATATTTGTGGTTGGCCTGAAAAATGTGGGCTACCGATGTCCATGCTGAAAATTCCATACTTGTACCAAAAATACAGTGTGAAATCAAGCTGTAGTCAAAATTAAGATCAAAAAATTATCTTTGTGTGCTATTTGGAACGTGGCAACTCGAACTTCTGAACTTCGGTGCCAAGTTCTATGTTGAATCCAGACAGAAACAGACAGATCAATAGATTACATGTTAAGGAACATTCTTGTCTTTATTATTCCTGAAGTCCAAAGGGAATACTGGACAGCTGTTTCGTCAGCCTAGTTTGGGACTGTTCATCAGTACGTGCCCATTACGGTGTGAACGCAGGACCTTCTATGTTACAAGGCAAGATCATAAACCATTCAGCCTCTGAGATCCGGGATTAAATGGCCCATAAATCTCAAGTTGAACACATTCGTGATGTTAGGATGAAATAACTTTGCAGTGCTTCCCCCAAGATCTAGTACTTTTCACTTTCTTTGTGTCGTGTTCTCGCTGACTATGTGTTCTGTGGTCAAATACATAAAATCGGTAGAAAGCCATGATAAACTATTTCTTTCATGCTTGCTGGCACTCCCCATTAAGTATCTGATGGCGCCTTACCCGCCAAACTGAGACGGACTCAAACTTTCATCATTCATCATTGAGCTATTTGGACTCAGGATTGATCTCCAGTAGAACCGTAATGAATGAATTGATGAATTTCTATGTGGTAAACACTAATTTTAAGTATTGAATCCATTGTGTTGGCGCATACTGACTACTATTGGTAGAACATCGTTCCTAACGACATTTATTCTTAAAGATTTTGCAATTATGAGGTTATGATTCACTAAAACACGCACTCAGTACCTTATAGACACTTAGCAATGAGTCATACAAAATCACACAGTTTCTACGAGGGATGAAATGCTGCCCAGTTGCTCAGACTGGAGCAGGTGAGTGTCTTAAGGGCCATAACTCTCCACTCCTCGAACCCTTGACTTGAAGGCTAATCCACAAAGCAGTCGAGCAGCATCAAAAGCTACTGGGAAATAGACACAGGTCCTCCATCCCTAACTGAGGTTACTAAAGCTGTCTCCAATCTGAAACTACGCAAAGCAGCGGGACCTGAAGGAATGACGCCAGAGGTATTTAAGTACGGTGGGGACAGTTTACTGTCTGCATTAACTGAGGTTCTAAGCAGCATCTGGGAATCAGAGGAAGTCCCATCAGGTTGGTGTAAGTCACTGACTATCCCGTATACAAGAAGGGAGACAAGTCTTCCTGTGATAATCACAGGGGGATTAGCTTGACTAATATAGTATCAAAAGTCCTAGGCTCAATAATCATGTGTAGGCTAAGTGGTGCTCGGGAGGCACAAACACGAGAGAGCCAGGCAGGCTTTAGACCAGGAAGAGGGTTTATTGATCATATCTTCACCCTCCGACAGATTCTAGAGTGTAGGTATTCCTACCGGCGTCCAACAGTCATTATATTTCTTGGCCTAAGGGCGTCATTCGATTCTGTCAACCGAGAGGTACTCTGGCGATGCTTGTCTGTAAAGGGAATGTCGAGGAAATACATTGTACTGATTAAAGCACTCTACTCGAACTCAAGCAGCCAGGTGAGGGCTTACTGCATGTTTTCATCTAAAGTGGTGACAACTAGAGGTGTGCGTCAGAGATTCCCATTATCCCCGTTCAAATTCAACTTCACCATAGATGTACTTATGGACTTAACCCTAACTCACTTCGGCGACTCAGGGATTGACTTGCTACCAACAGGGAATAATTTCGTTGACTTAGAATATGCAGACGATATAGTCCTACTAGGCGAGTACGCTGAACAAATGCAGAGTCATCTGAACACCTTCAGCTGCAATCTACGAATGTTTGGCATGCGATTCGCTCCTGTTGTCAAATGCAAGATGATGTTACAGGACTGGACTACACTGACTCCTAGACTAGAAATAGGGAGTGAAGTGGTAAAGCACGGTGACCGCTTCACTTATTTGGGAAGTACCATCAGCCAGTGCCAACGGGTTGATCTCTGACGAAATCTCAGCACGGATACACAGGGCTAGTTTCGCGTATGCCAGTTTACGATGTCTCTGGCGCAGACGAGATATCCGACTATCGACCAAAGTGTGGGTGTACTGCTCACCAGTCCGCTCCGTCCTCCTTTATGGCTGTGAGATCTGGCCATTGAGAGTGGAAGAAATGAAAATGCTGACTGTCTGTGTTTGTTCATAGGTTCCTGCGTTCTATTTCCCGTGTGAATTGGTATAATAATGTGAGCAATATTGAGGTTAGGCATCGAATTCTAGGTGAAGAGGGGAAATCAATTGACGAGGCTGTGAAATTACATTGACTTAGATGGTTAGGACATGTGTTACGTATGCCTAGTCAGCGCCTGCCTCGATAACAGGCAATGTTAGCTGTGAACATAGGGTCAAGCTAGAGAAGAGCTAGCTACGGTCAAACCAAAACATGGATTCACCAGTCAATGAAATCTACAACACTTAGTTTAAGCCATGTAGGAAGGTGTAGACTTCCTTGTTGGGGTCCTCCAGACGATAAAGACCAAAGGTTGGAAACAATTGGTGACATGGCTCAAAATCGTTCTCAATGGCTGGTGCAGATGCATGCACTCCTTGTGGCCTGTAATTTCCAATGAAACCGTTTCGTTCTTCGTTATTACTATTCCTTTGTCTCGTATCTCTGTTCACTGTCCGTATTATGCATTTCTTCTACTTTCTTCTCTTGCTTTGTGTGCTATATGGAGGGAATGTGACAACTTGAACTGTTGCACATCGGTGCAAAGTTCTATGCCGAAAACAGACAGACAGACAAGTGGTACTGATATCTTCGTTTGCATAAATATTTCTGACTGACACAAGAAGGACCAACTGCAATGATCTCTCTATGCACCGAATATCCTCACTATCATTGTTTAGCCTTCCTGGCAGATGTGCATCTTGCTACGATTGAGATGCTATCTTGTTTACACTTGTGTGTGTGAGACTCAAGAAATATTCTCTGTTAATGGCTGCTACATCGCAACATCTTGTTACTGAATTTAAACATAACCTATTTTCCCCTGTCAAGAATGTTGTCAAATCTTTTGGTTTACTAAGAGCTACTTATCTCGCTTATTTACCTCAAGGACTACTTAAAGTTTAGCTTTTAACACTCATCCACTCCTTGTCAAGTGGCAAACCAAAGGGGTTTGTCAATTCAAATAACTCTCAGACATTTCATTTTGAGCTGTAAATTTGTTTGTCTGTGCTGAATGGGTCACGTTGAGGACGAGTCAATTCCCAGGGAACAAAAGTACATCTATTGCACTGTAGTGTGATCCTGTACCCTGTGCACCGCTCACAGCACCTCTTCTAAAGACATCTTTGAACAGACATAAGTGTAGTGTACTCGCTTCACCAGTCGTGGTGGCCTTAAGAGCAGCCTTACCGCCAGGTGGGCCAGGCTAAACAGTTAGCAGATAGTGTGGTCAAACAGCAGGTCTAACAGGATAGACGGCCACACAACAATCATGAGCGTTATTTCTAGCTGAAGCCAACAGGAAACGCGTTTGAAGTCGTTTAAGTAGCGTAACTAACTGGTGAGCTCAATGTGATTTATTCTGACTCAGCCTATTCTTGTTCTACATAATCACCTAGTGCTTACCATGTTGTATGTCGTAGCACCGGCGATTGTGCTCCGAACAGTTAACTAACAAGAGGCAGAACTCGCAGACCATTGGATTTCGTCTCAGTGGCTTAAATAGTCAACAAGCTCCCCTCGTAAGCTAAACGTCCTGAATTTGGACCCTTTAAGTGGTGTCACAAGTGTGTACTAACGAAGAGTCCCAGACAGAAATGAAACAACCGCCCAGTACTCCCTGCTGGTTTCCAATGGCTCCCTCTAAATGGGATGTTTGGCTAGAAATTATCTCACCAGATATCCTCACTCTCGTTTAAGATTCCGTTATCATACATACTGTATCCAACATGAGTGTAAATGAGGTGTAGATATTCACCGCTAAATCTCAAAAACAAACAACATTTCTGCATATTTATATGATAATATAACTCTTGTATCACAGATTTTTAAAACAAAAAAATTCGACTAGGAAGTTAACAACATACTACTATTAGTATTATAATTCTTTTCGTAAAAAAATCCAACACCTTTGGAGTTTAAAATTTCGATGAAGGATATTTAACATAAAAATAATAATAATAATAAATCTCTTCAAGTTATCTAAAACAGAGATGTCCAAGTATAAAATGTAGATAAAAATTCATGGTTAAGACAAGGCAAAGGGGAAGACTTGAAAAACGAATACAATAAATGATGACTGCAAAAACCTGATTATTATTTACACAAATCTTTGAACGCAACATACCAGAAACAGTAAAACCTGTTTGTTTTATGAGAATAAAAATTTATCATTGAATAATTTGACTAAATAATACTTTTCTTGATTTAAACTCTCTATTGTCTTCTCTGTCTGACTACTTATAAACTTATCATCAGTGTGTTTGTTACCTGTATGATTAGTATTTTTAACATTGAAAGAAGTCGACGACACAACAGAAGACGATAAGGGATTTAAATAACCTTTGGCTATAGTTAATAAACGCTTTGGCATATAAGGCATAGATGATGATTTTCCCGCTTCTGTCATTGTTTGATTTAACCGCTCTTGTGATTTCAAGGTCAATGGAGCAATTAAAACAAAATCATTATCTGACATTAATCCATGATAGTGTAGTGAATGAATATCGAAGAGTGTTGACGATGACGTTAATGACGATGACTTTGGTGATGGTGAGGGTGGATGATTTGCATGACTTGATGAACTATTCTCAGTGTCACCAGCCACAGCTAACGATGACTTATTATTATTATTATTATTATTGACAGTATTGATATGTGTTACATTGATATGCAATAAGTAGCCATTGGTTGTGATCAGTAGAATATTTGTTGGAGAATTAAGCCATTCCATTGCACGAACTGAACCAAACAATTCTTAGAGAGAAAAGACGAAATTGGGGGCAACAAATATGAACATATATAAAGTATAAAAAGGTAGAATTCAAAACGAACTAAAAAGTGGTTAATAATAATAATAGCTTTGGTTACAGGATTTCATCATGACCTGAAATCAGTTACAGAACCATTGGAAACCAGTCGGGGAGTACTGGACAGCTGTTTCGTCAGCCTGGTTTGGGACTCTTCACCAGTAAGCACCCACGGCACAGGGTTTGGATCCAGTGCCTTCTGGTTACAAGGCCAGCGAGCTCGTAGACTATCAAGCCACTGAGACTCGATCCGATGGCCAGTCCATGAATTCTAGCTTCTGCCAACTACCGACATAGCGCGAGCGCTAGCCACCGTCTTTAGTGAGTATTTGTCCTCACACCCGCTTTGTAACCAGAAGGTCTTGGGTTAAAACCCCAGTGGGTGCGTACTGATGAAGAGTCTAGTATCATGCATCTGTTTGGTCCTTTGTTTGGTGCATATTGAATTCTATCAGTCAAGTTTGCAATATGGCCACAATTCTAGATGGCTCTGACTACAGAGCTGGGTGACACTGGTTCGACTGTCAGATATTCCTTCAGGATTTCAGATACGCCTTGTTGTCTAACTGGTCAGTCCCGAAAGAGCAGGAAAATTAGGTTTAGGCAGAGTTCCACACCGATTGCCTCCAACCATATATAGAAATAACAATTCAAAGATATCTGTGATGATGCGAGCCACCAAGAATGGTGGCCATATCTCACACTTGATGTACCACACAAAATTGCATAATTTGTATGACGGCTGGGATACTGTTCAAACGCTAGCTCGGACAGAAACAGGCAGTTGATCTTATCGACCACCCATCATTCAAGCCTCAAACTTGAAGTCTGATCAACGAGGGAATGCAGCACTGTCAGCAATTGCGTCTCAATAGCTTCGTCTACCAGTCCGGCTGTAAGTACCAGAGGTTCACACTCGCCCCTCCAATTTTGTTATGAACATCCTGGAGGTGTGTTTAGGTAGTAAACGGGAATGGCTTGTTGGCCCAATGGCCAGCCCATGAATTCCGACTTCTGCCTATTCACGATATAGCGCGACTGGCGAGTATTTGTCCTCACACCCAACCTGCTAAGGCTCACTGGCCACAAATTTCCACAAGAACCCAGGTAACCACCTAAATGAATAAGGCAGATTGATATTCAAGTCTTCGTTTGCAGAGATATTATTGGTTTCAGGATTTTATCATGGACGAAACAACTGCCCAGTACTCTCAGGTTTTCTAATGGTCCTCTAACCGACGTCAGTTCATGATGAAATCCTGAAACCAATCAAATCTCTTCACACAAACACTTTATTGATATCACTTAGAGAACCAATGAAAGCCAGTGACGGAGTACTGGACAGCTGTCTACTCTTAGTTTGGGACTTTGCCTCAGCAGTTAGCACCCACCGGGGTCCGGGATCTCCCGGGTAAAAGTCAAGTTCGTAGTCCATTTCAGCACTGAGACACAGTCCAATAGCCAGCTCATGGATTCCAAATTCTGCCAGTTAGTGATTTGAGCGCGACCGTAAGCTAGTGTCATAGGTAAGCTGATGAGTCCTAAGCTAGGACGAAACAGCCAAGAATTACTCCCCCACTGGTTTCCAATGATTCTCTGGCTGATATCAATTCGTAGTCAAAATTGAAAAGTATATTATTATTACTATTATTATTATTAGTGAATATTACCTGACATTGACACCTCCTGTGTACCAGGTTGGTTTATGTAACCAGCTAAATTGATACTTTTGAGTAGATTCTGTGTAGCAGCTGACCAACAGTCTAATCTGCTGTCTAAAATTAAAAAGAAACGTTAGAAAAACCAAAATTAAAAAGTGACAGTGTAACAACATCGTTTCAACTACAGGCGGAACTGACGAGGATACCAAAGCCAGAATCGGAAAAGCAAGACAAGCTTTCATTACTCTCAAGTCTGTGTGGAGGTCAACAGCACTCAGCATCAAAAATAAGATCCGAATTTTCAACTGCAATGTGAAGTCAGTCAGTGCTACTATACGGATCAGAGTCTTGGCCAGCGCGTCATGAAGAGCATCTCAAACAAACTTCACACCTTCATCAACAGTTGTCTTCGCTCAATACTCAAGATCAGATGGCCAGCAAAAATCACCAACAGGGATCTCTGGCAATGAGCGAACCAACCCAGCAGGAACCAATTGTGAAACAAACAGGCAGGAGGAAATGGAGATGAATTGGCCATACTCTGAGGAAACCATCAAGTGACATCACTAGACAAGCCATCCCTCGAGTGGAACCCTAAGGGGAAGCAGCGATTTGGTCGTCCAAGGGTGACTTTGAGGAGATCATGTGAAGGGGAGATGAAGCCATGTGGGCAGACTTGGAGCGGGGTGAAAAAGGTGGCAGAAAACCGAACGCAATGGAGACGCGCGGCTGAATTAAAGGATATAATAATAAATAATAATAATAAGTCTAACAACAGAAGACAAGGGCCAGTCAACAGATCGTTTATTAATGAAATCAACACATATTGATAGATTTTCATGTACATATTATAGATTATTGTTAGCAGAAAAACACAGTCTTTTGATTAGTCATTTCTCACAGAAAGTTAATCTTTCATCTCTTTGTGGCTGTTTCTTGAATGTCAGATCATCTATATGTTAACTGTATCCGCCTACGCAAAGCCTTTGTTCTCATTTTTCTCACAACCAATATTGGGGACATAAAAATTGACGTAAATTAATGTCCACCAATTGTGACTAACAGTCAGCTCTCACTACAATAGGACCCAACATAAAATAGTATATCACACTTCCCCACGAATCTTGTGATTTGCCTTTTGATGGAGGTACTATGTTAATGTATCATAATTTCTCACGACTATTGGGATTTAATGTGTGATCAATTCATTGTCTTTTATAGCACCTTGATCTGTGTCGGATCACCAACCAATCAGCATAGACATTTCCAGCCAATAAGAACAGTTCATTCTCACGGTTGTGAGCCAACTGTATTGTGATAAATTATAAATATATCAATATATTTTGTTTCCTAATAAATGTATAATACAATATCTTACAGTCACACGCCAGCCTTTGTCTTTTAATATTTGCATGGCTCAGTGAATCGGAAGGTACAGCGAACAAATAGACGTATTAGAGCGTACCAGTTGAGTTCATTACCGTTATACTAATTAACAGGCGCAGACATAACAAAGTAGAACGGATTAGTTCGGCTCAATTCAGTTATAATAAAAGCCACACAAAGGACAACAAATCGAACAGAATAATTTTGAAATAGTATACAACTTCGTATACAAGTTGAAATATCAAGTTTTTGTGTATTTCTGTATATGTCTACACAGAATGTGTACTTTCACTAACGATTTGTTTCAAGTTCCAAGTAGAACAAGGGTTTCACAACAGCACATATTCATTGCAGCATGTTCTATACAGTCCTCTTTAGCTAGCTTGACGACTACCTATACGTTTTCAACTCCTTCTAACACATGTCACCGATGCAGTGACGCCCAGCTCGTCTTTCCTCAATCACCTTCCACTCGAGGGTTTCTCTGGCGCGCGATGTGACCTAATGGTCTCCTCAGGGTGTGTTCGATCCATCCCCAGTTCCTTCGGGATATTTCTTGAGCGATAGATTCAGGATTGGTTCGTTCCCAGCTACAGTTTCTTGTTACTAATTCTTTCTGGACTGCCGAGCATCTCATCTTCAGTATGAAACCAGTCAAGGGGGCGGCTGTCGATAAAATTCTTCAGCAAGCAGTTGGATATACTTTTTAGCGACGCGTCAAGTCTCTGAACGATATAGAAGAACTGACTGAGCAGTTGTGGTACGAGGCATAAAGTAATGCAGAGAACAAATTGTAATGTCTATTTACTGTCCCAATTGGAACTCAAGGAGATAACAAAAATCCAAAGAGAATCGTTTCACGTTTAATATCCATCACACATAAAGGAATACATAATCCAATTTTCATAAGGAAACGGGTGATCCGATTCCCTCCTGTACTCTACTGCTAATCAATACCAAATACATAACTAGTTTTGATGGTATTAGATAGTTGGAGGCAATCGCGCAGGAGGAAGCCTTGAACACCACCTAGGTTTCGTGCTAGTTGTCACTCACCATTCAGCAAGGCGTATTTGCAACCACATTGGAAGAACTCATGTCCCTTCTGAAATTCGAACCCGCTGTGTCACCACCCAGTGCTGCAGTCAGAGACGTTATTACTGAGTTATTCGGGCTCGCGATTGACCTCCTGTAGGACTGTGGTGGGTAGTTTGATTGGACACTAGTAACTAGTGTGACGTGTGTCTAGTCCTAGGTCCAAGGCTTCCTGTGGCCGATTGCCTCCAACTATCTAATACCATCAAATCAATGTGCACCGCGATGGCGAGCTACCTAGAATAATGGCTACATTGCAAAACCTGACTGACTGATAGAATTCAGCTTGCACCAAATCAAAGGAGGACTAGACACGTCACACTAGTTACTAGGGTCCAAGCAAACTACATAACTAGTTTCACTTCCAGAGTCAATATCAAAGCATCTACAGCAAAGAATTTATGTAAATGGTATCATAGATTCTCTGAGTCGGTAGTTCAGGGTTTGTGTATGCTCGTCAACCATACATGTAACCTAAAGTTCAATCCCTGGCCGACGCCACAATTCCAAACCGCTCTAAACTGGCAAAAAGCTCAGTAAAGAGGAAAGGTTGGACGCAAAGCTAGTAAACCTCTCCCTGTAAAAATAAACACCACTGCTATTGAAACTTCAAACCTCAAGCTTGAGGACTTATGTTCCACCCAGAACGCAAAGGAATAAAATAAAATAATAAGTACATGTTATCAAATAACAAAAAAAAGTTGAGAATTAAAAGTGTCATTTACACTAATTAACTGACTAATTAACTAACCTGGTCTTAAATATGTCCAAACATAAACGCCTTCCTCTTCATTATTCTGTCTTCGGTTGTCTTGAGCTAAACGATTTTTGTTGCTAACAACAACAACTGCCAACGAGTTCTCAAGTAGAAAATGAGTCACTAATAGACAGGATGATCTGGAATCACTTGAGGATGGTACAGACCACGAGGAACAATATTTGAGACAACTCGATTGGGGTGAAGAGAGGACGAGCAGGGGGAATAGCCAGTCTCATGTAGAGCATTGTCCCATGTATAACGCACTAGCTTGCCACCATTTTGACTAAACCATACATCATAACCACTATGAATGGCAATAATAAATAAATAAATAAAAGTCAAATAAATGAACTTATAAACTATAAAACTTGTTATTTCGACATAAAATCAGCAGTAACCAATCGACTACTTCCTAAAGCAAAAAGTGTAAAGGCTAAGAGGGAAGCACATTAGTATTCAGCGTGCACAGAACTGCCTGTCAGTGAACACCAATCGGTCCAACAAAAGCAGAAACTTTGAATGCAATCAAACTACTGAAAGTCATCCAGGAAGGCAGTAGGACCAGACGGAATTCCTCCCTAAGGCACTGAACACGGATCCAGAGACCACAGAGGATATGTTCATCCGATTAATTCCAAAAAGCTTGGAAGAAGGGAAAGGTATCTAACTATTGAAAGAAGGGCTATTTTTTATTAAACTTCCAAAGCGGAGTGACTTAGGTTTTTGGAAAAACTGGTATGGAATAATGCTCTTATCAATACCAAGCAAAATATTAAGTTATATCATCCTGAGGGGGGTGATGATGAAAGATGCACTGGATACAGAACTCAGCCCAGAGCAAGCTGGACACGGGAGAAGCAAATCATGTGCTGATCAAGTCGCATCTCCACACATCAGAATGCAATCAAACCTCTACGTACGTCAACTTCATCGACTTTGTAAAGGCCTTCAGCAGTTCAGTGTTAATCGCGAAGTAATTTGAAAACTACTTGAACGTCATGAAGTAACCTAAATTTTCATCATCTTCATTGAACAGCTATACGACAATGGCGCATTTCAAATGATCCACAACGGAAATCTCAGCGAAGCCTTTGAAGTGAAAACAGTAGTAAGACAAGGCTGTCTGCCTACTGTCACTGATGATATTCCTAATTGTGACGAACTGATGGGTTATGCAGTAGACAGTTCGTGGGGACCGAGATTACAATAATTGATCGGATCGAAAAGGGGACTTTAGATCTAGATTTCGCGAAGGATTTCTACCCAATATCACCTAAATTCGAGGCCTTACCGAGGAAAAGCAGGAAAATAGCAGAAGAAACAGTCAGAGAAGACAGGATTTCAACTGTATACAGAGAAGGCGGAGGTGATAAAGATAACCCTAACCAACGACACCAAAGAGAAGCACTAATTACTGTCAGCAGGAGAAATTCCTTAGAGGTCACTTCCTGTACTTATATCTAGCCACCAAACGTTACAACTACACAGAGGGCAGATTACAAAGTGAAAACCAGGATAAAGAAGGCAAGACCAGGCCTTCATCCATCTGAAATCAGTTCGAAAATCTTCTGAACTCAGTTCAAACAACAAATTCAGATTTCTAACCCCAAAATCAAGTTAGTCAATTCTTCTGTAAAGGGGTCGGTAACTTGGTAAGTTATGAAGAAGGTTTCCAACAGGTCACTATTGCACTCTTTTATTAACAGTTGCCTTCGATGGCTCTATACTAAAGATCAGATGATCAATCAGAATAACGATTCAATGGTTAATCATTTTCAATCCATGTTAAACGAACATATGTAGAGAAATAAGCAACTCACACTAAACTGAGTAGTACTGATGAAGAGACTCATAGGAGGACGAAAGGCTGACAGATGGTCATTTGTAGTAGATCAATAAATTACATGTTAAGCAACGGTCTTGCCTTTATTATTCCTGAAGTCCTAAGGGAATACTGGAGAACTGTTTTGTCAGTCTAGTTTGGGACTCTTCATCAGTACGTGCCCACCAGGGTGTGAACCTAGGACCTTCTATACAAGAGGGAAAGCTCATAAACCATTCAGACATTGCGATCCAGGGTTCAATGGTCCATAAATCCCAACTTCTACCAATTCATGATATTTGGGTGAAATAACTGTACAGTGCTAACCCCAAGATCTAGTACTTTTAACTTTGAAACAATAAGTTCTCTGAGTCACATTCTCGCTCACTATATGTGTTATGTGGTCAAATACATACAACCGGTAGAAAGACATGATCAATTATTTCTATAATGCTAGTTGGCAGCCATCAGAAAGAATCTGATAGCGCCCTACCCGCCACACTGCGACAGACTAATATCTGCATCGTTCAGTTACCATTGAGCTATTTCGAATCAAGATTAACCTCCAGTGGAACTGTAATGAATGCATTGAGATAAACACTAATGTCAGCTATTTAATCTATTGTGTTGGAGCTAACTGACTGCTATTGATAGGACATCGTTTCTGACAGCATTTATTCTTAAATGTGTTACAATTCTTAGGTTACACTTCACTAAAAAACACACTGGGTACCTTATGGACACCTAGCGATGAGTCATACAAAATCACAGTTTGTAAGAGGGCTGAAACACTGCCCAGTTGCTTAGACTGAAGCAGGTGAGTGTCTTAAGGAACCATCACACTCCACTACTCGAACCCTTGACATGAAGGCTAATCCACAAGGTAGTCGAACAGCGTCAGGAGCTACTTTCCCATCGTTCCTGGTGAACAAAACAGGTTCATAGGCAATATTCGATCCAGATATGGATTAATGAGTCCATGTACCTCATAGGTAGAGCTATAGTAGGTCCCCCAGTTCGTCTGTAAGCTCCAGAGAGACGTTGGCATTCGCCCTTTCACATTTGTGAAGAACCCCCAGCCCTCAGCCACCGCCGAGTGAAGGAAGTGAACAGAACTTATCTAGCAGAGGGTATGAAGGCAAATGGCCACTTCACGAGAGGATTTCCAAAGTCTACCGACTGTCGGCCGCACACCAGGTCGTTCATAGCAACATTATTGATTATTAATACAGAAGGGAATCTTAGAGAAATCTTGTTTTACAATTTACACGCATCACACAACAGTTTCTTTTCTCTAATCAAGAGGATAAATCGATGTTTTTTTACATGTTTTATAATAATAAGCATAAATTAAGCCAGTAAAGGATGACAATGGAAAGTCAATCACCAAAGAGGTGGAGCAAAGAAAACACTGGGCTGAACACTTCAAAAGACTTCAAAATCGACCGCCACCTACAACGCACCCAACAATACCGACAACGGAAGCAGAACTATCAGTGAACATCAACCCCTTGACGAGAACAGAAGTCCTGAAGGTAATCAAGATGCTAAAAGCTGGAAAAGCGGCAGGACCAGATGGAATCCCAGCAGAAGCATTGAAAATGGACCCAGAGACAACAGAGGACTTGATGACACCACTACTGGAGGTGTGGAAAGAGGGCAAGGTACCCGAGGATTGGAAGAAAGGATACTTAAGTTTATTCAAGAACTGGAGCGGAATTATGCTCCTGTCCATCCCAAGCAAAATACTAAGCCGCATCATCCTGGAGAGAATCAAACAAGCCCTGGATGTAAAACTTCGACCGGAACAGCCTGGATTCCGGAGAAACAAGTCATGTATTGATCAAATCACCACACTATGGATCACCATTGAACAAAGCTTGGAATGGCCTTCGACAGCGTTGATTGAGGGGTGATTTGGAAATTATTTTGCTACTACGAAGTGCCGCCGACAATTATATATCTCATCCAACAGTTGTATGACAATGCTGCATGCCAAGTAATCCACAACGATTAACTTACGGAATCCTTCAAAGTGAGGACGGGAGTAAGAAAAGGCTGGCTGGTTGCCCACTATCTCCAATGATTTTACTGATTCCAGTAGATTGGATAATGCGACAGACAATGGGCAATGAGAAAACAGGCATAAAATGGACCCTAACGAAAAACCTGGAGGATCTGGACTCCGCCGATGATATATGTCTGATTTCCCGCAAACTGGAAGATATGCAAGTGATGAAAAGCAACAAGTTGGCAGAAGAGACATCCAAGAAGATAGGAATTCAAGTGAACATAGAGAAAACAGAAGTGATGAAGATTCCTGGGCAACACTAACATCAACAATATCAGCAGACAACAATCAGTATAAATGGGAGGAACCTGAAAGAAACAACCTCCTTTACCCGGCTACCTACTGGGAAGCATCGTTTCAACTACAGGCGGAACCGACGAGGATATCAAAGCAAGGATCGGGAAAACAAGACAAGCTTTCATTACTCTTAAGTCTGTGTGGAAGTCAACACTCAACACTCAGCCTGAAAAATAAGATCCGGATTTTCAACTGCAATGTGAAGTCAGTCAGTGCTACTATACGGATCAGAGACTTGGCGCCGCGTCATAAAGAGCACCTCAAACAAACTACAGACCATCATCAACAGCTAACTGTCTTCGCTCAATACTCAAGATCAGATGGCCGGCCAGAAAAGATCAGCAACAGGGATCTCTGGGAGCGAACCAACCCAGCAGGAACCGATTGTGCAACAAATAAGCAGGAAGAAATAGAGATGGATTGGCCATACTCTGAGGAAACCATCAAGTGACATCACTAGACAAGCCATTGCTCGAATGGAACCCTAAAGGGAAGCGGCGAGTTGGTCGTTAGTGCAAGGGTGACTTGGAGGAGGTCATGGGGAGAGGAGATGAAAGCATGTGGGCAGACTTGGAGTGGAGTGAAAAAGTTGGCAGAGGACGGAACGCAATGGAGACGCGCTGCTGAAGCCGTATGTTCCTCTAGGAATTAAAGGAAAGAATGATAAAAATAAGATTTATCTACGTACACTCAATGTGTACGACAGATCACCAGAACTTACCAAATTTCTGGAAGAATAACACCGGTATAAACAGGTTGATCCACATCAATAAAAACTGTATTCATACATTTCAATACTAAAGGAGGAGGATATAAAATATTGACGCTGATTATAAAAATTTTCGGGACTGATAAACACAGGATAAAACGAATACAACCAATGGAAGATACCGTTGGTAGCGGCGTCGACGAAGTTGATGATGCTGATGATAATGACGAGAGATGACGATGATAAGTGAAGTGAAGCGGATGAAAATCACTTGTCAGATAGGCAAGCAGGCAGTTAACACTTTGGAAATGACTTCCAGACTCTTTATTGATTGACATAGGTATGTCGGGCTTTGTAAATTCTTCTGATAATTGTATTTTTAATAAACATATGCATTCCATAGTTTTGTACTTTGGTCTGTCACATTCAAACATGGAAAGATGAAAAAGGGTTGATAAAATAGGGTGAAATAAATAAATATGGTAAAGCTGTAGATGCTTTATAAGGTCTCACGGTAAATACCAGAGATATGGAAGTCAATTCAGAGGATTATAAACAATGTTAAAATGTATTCAATTCACATTATAACATTCTAATAAGTTATTTATTTATTTTGCCTATAAAAACACTCGTCTTATTTCCCATCTGATTATATTTTATTGATAACACTCATATTATTCTTCTGAATGTAAATTATCCTATATTAACTTTATTCAAATGTCTAATCATCAATTTTACTCATGTATATTAATGAAGCAAGAAAGTAGTGTCATTGAATTAATATGAGCGGCGATAATTTGTGAGGCCTTCCACTCCAAACTCAAGCCAGTAATTAATAAATAAATAAATACATACATACATAAATAAATAAATACATAAATAAATAAATAATATCATTATGAAAGTATTGATTTGGTAGGGATTTGTTGTTTGATTGGTTGGAGGATTCCATCATGAGCTGACATCAGTTAGAGAACCACAAAATCCTTCAACCAATCAAACAAAAAGCCCCTACAAAACCAATACTTGAAAATTGATCTGATGCACACTAGCAACTGACCCTACTCAGATAGTGACCTGATGTTCCAGCGGGAAGCCGAGACCAGTAGGGTACAGCAAGTTGAAGGTGAGGCGGTAACTCATTGAAGAAGAAGACACTGCGAAGTGATCGCATTATATCGGGAATTGGCAGTGTTAGAACTTATGGACTGGCCATTGGATCGAGTCCCAGTGAGTGGCTTAATGACTCTACGAGCTCGCTAGCCAGAAGGTCCTTGGTTGGAACCCCGTGTTGTGGGTGCCTACTGCTGGAGTGGAGTTCCAAACTAGACTGACGAAACAGCTGTCCAGTACTCCCTGACTGGTTTTCCAATGGTTCTCTAACTGATGTCAGCTCATAATGAAATCCTCCAACCAATATTATTATTATCACATCTCTTTTCAATCGTATCACATCAGAAGACTAACGCGTGAAAGGGCCAACTCCATTCACATCATTACAACGATCTTAGCATACTATTAATCTTCGCACCCACTGAACTCAGAGTCAACTATGTTGTTCAGTCAATCGTTCAATCTGTGCAAGTTTTCTGTGAGAGTAGAGCAAAGTTCGAACCCCCAATACAATAATCAATCCTTGAAAGCCAAACATTCAGCGCAATACATCATAAAATCTTATTTTTGCATCCTTCTCTCAAAAAGCATTAGAGATTTACTAAGGAAGAAGAAAGTTAAATTATGAAAAATATGTGTACACAAGTGCGTCGGTGGCACAGAGGTGGAATGTTCGCCAACCACGCCTCATGTGCTTCGGCGTTCGATCCCCGGGCATCAACCCACTCCTTTACCTCACTAAGCCAGTAAATAATAATAATGGTGAAAAGGGGAGGTTGGGCGTGAGGCTAGTAACCCCATCTTCTAAAATTAAACACCACTGCCACCGAAACTTCAAGCCTACTCTCTAGCTTGAAGCCCTATGTTACACTGGGAACATAAAGCAACAATTGAATTTTAGATTTTATCGTCGATTGATTCACGGGGAATTAAAAAAATTATTATTATTATTGCTCCCTTGAGTTCCTAGTGGAACATAGGGCTTCAACTGCACGTCTCCAATTGCTTCTGTCTTCTGCTGTACTTTTCACCTGCATCCATGTTAGTTAGTCCATACTGTTTCAAATCCCCTTCACACGATCTCCTCCATGTCGCCCTTGGACGTCCCACTCGCTGCTTCCCTTTCGGCCTGGTCCCACTCGAGCAATGGCCTGACGCGAGCGCGATGTCACCCAGCGGCCTCCTTAGCCAGTGTCCGATCCATCTCCACTTTCTCCTGCATATTTGTTGGGCGATTGATTCTTGCTTTGTTTGTTCCCATAGTTCCTTGTTGGTGATTCTTTCTGGCCATCTGATCTTCAGTATAGAGAGAAGATAGCTGTTAATAAAGGTCTGCAACCTTTTGGAAATATTCTTTGTGACCCACCAAGTTTCTGATCCGTATAGAAGAACTGACTGACTTGACATGGTTTGTATTGAAAATCCGACTGAATTTTGTTTTTGATGCTGGCTGAGTGACGAAGATTTCCAGATTGGTTTCAGGTTGATGAATGTGTTTCTCGCCTTCCCGATTCTCGATTTGACATCCTCGTCCGTTCCGACTTCCTGTAGTTGAGACAATGCTCCCTAGATAGGTGAATGAAGTAGCCTCTTTCAAATCCCTCTCGTTGATGGTGATTGGCGCTGGGTGTTGCTACTGTTGTTGTTGTGTTGACTGGTTATTTTCATAACCTCCGTCTTGTCTATGTTCACCTGGAGTCCTGTCTTTGCTGCTTGCCTCTTCTGCCCGTTTGTCGGTTTTCGCTTGTAGGTCTTCGATTTTGTGTATCATCAAGCATAAATCATCCGCGAAATCCAAGTCTTCTAGGTTCTTCGCGTCGGTTCAGGATATTCCTGTCTTCTCGTTTCCCAAAATTAAATTAAATAATTAATATGACCCATTGCACAAGAGATGGCCAGCTCTCGTGACCCGAGTGACCTAGTGGATAACACTTTGGCGTTTGAAACTATGGGCACTGGGTTCGAGCCTTGGTGAGAATATCATCACTCACTGGGGAATGCAGGCACATCCAGATGACGAGTCCCAAGTACGACCAAAATACGCATTGTTCTGGTTTCCATTGCTAGTCACTATCCACTAATTAACTTAAACATGGAACAAAATTAAAAAAAAGTTAAAAAATGTGTAAACACATCAAATTATCAACCGATTTTTTATTCACTTACTGATAAATTTTCAATTCACCGAAATACGTTAAACACGCCACAAACATTGTCACTCTGTCTGGATGACCAATATCTTCATTGGAAGACATCAAATGACCATCTCTATTATTATTATTGTTCAATGCGCATAAATGAATTGGCCAATCGATCACCTTACTAATTGTTTCATATTTGATAAAGCCTTGAAAATATTGTTTTATTACAGAAACTGTTGGCCAAGAGGATAAAAGGCAGCATGATGATGATGATGACAATGAAGCGGTGGTATCATCTGAAGCCAGAGATATGATGAACAGTAAGCCAAGTTGATGAATAGATTGGGTAGCATCATAACCGCCGCTAAATGATGATGATGATGACAGTGGTGATTTTGAATAACCGCCAAGCCAAAGGTTATAGTATTCATCTAGTAAAACAAAAAGCGATGAAAACAATAATAATAATAATAATAGAGAGAGACAAAAAAGTTCAGTCTTCAGTTATTTTTTAATTTAAAACCTTAAATCACCATAGTGACGCCTATCTCCCTGAATTCACTAGTTCTATGTCAAGTTTGATGACGGATTAATATCAGTTAGAGAGCTGCCGAGAACCACAAAAGGAGTACAGGACATCTGTTTTGTCAGCCTAGTCTGCAACTGTTCATCAGTATACACCCACGAGAACTCGAACTTTGCACCTTAAGATTGCAAGGCAAGTTTGTAGACCATTCAGCCACTGGGACCCGATTCAATGTCGCGTGAATTCTAACTTCTACCAATCTTATGGTCGCCAGTGACCCATTACAGGTTTTGGTGAGAAGTTGTGATGAAGAAGGGCGTTACCAGGTAGAGTGCGAGAACAAACAATCGCAAATGACATTGGCTAGTGGTCCTGCCACAATCACCAATTAGCAGATGCTGGAATTTATGGGCTGGACACTGGATCGGGTTTCAGTGGCTGGATGGTCTGTAAGCTTGACTTGTAACTGTAAGGCCCTAAGGTTAGAACTTCGGTGAATGGGTATTGTCTAAGCGAAGTGCGAAATTAGGAGGAAACAGCTGTCCACTACTCACTCATTTGTTTTCACTGGTTCTTTAACTGACGTCAAACCTGTAACCAATCGAATCCCTTCACAAAGCAGCATTTAAGATTTTGTATTAATCAAAGGGGTCCATTTACTCACTATGTAAGAAGAGCATTCATAATGCGTGTATTGCTAAATAGATATATTCTGTATTCTGGTATCAATTTAGAAGGCCTCCATATGTGTATACAATCATTACTCAACCAGTACTGTCTACAGATCGATCAGTTATTATCAGTTCACTTTAGTTTGTTCAATCAAATGATCAGTGATACAAGTAGTTCTAACGAACACCAAGAATCTTAAAGGCAGTTAGTTAGTCATGAGAACATTTCTGACTGCCAGCAGCACTGGGTGAAACAGGTTCGAATCTCAGACTGCGGGGAAAATAAAGGTCCTTCAACAAATCAGATACATCTTGTTGGTTGATGAGTGCCGACAAGCACAAAACCGAAGTCTTAGGCTTCTTGCCGATTACCTCCAGCCATCTAATGAAAAAGATATTTCCTGACATCAAACTGATTCTTTATTTATAATAGGAAATACTAATTAATACATTCGAAAGTAAATAAGAAGCCTGCTTCCCATGTCGACACCCCACGAGTGTATTGACACCAATTCATATGGACTTGCTATTGCAAATACATGAATTAAAAAAAACCCGGAAAGGAGGATATTTACTAGATTTTCTGATAATATCCCCAAAATGATCTTCATATGAAAAGTAAGAAGGAGTGTTTACAACTGGGACCGCCAAACACCTGATTAACAATTATTTCACATAACTCTAGTTCAAGGTTATTATTGAAGGTGATGGAAGCATTTTAGGGGAATAGTCACATACAGTCTAAACTATGTGTACAAAAAACAAGAGACTTCAATTTTCGTCTACCATGGACTACATGACCTATCTAAATATGATTGGTCATTAGTATGTACTTTTGCTTTAGTTTATATAACTGAGTAATTGTCATGAACTTTATTTTATTATAGTTAAACATGTTACTTGTAAAGCGGTTGTAAAGAAACTACGAAATGATGATATCATCTCGCGAAATTTATCTTCTTAATGCCTTATTCAGATAGATAGATATATTTGCCAAATCTTTTTGATGTAGCTATGTTCTCGAAGCTGGATAGTTTATTTGCGAAGCTTTGATTGACCTACTTACTCGGCAACATATTCAGTACATGCTTCAATTTGAAGTGAGCTTTCAGATTTCGCCACGAGTTCACTATTAGTCATTTCTCCTGGTGAGTGACTTTGAACGTCGTGACTGGTTGTTTTTGTGTGTGTTTTCACACACACACACACACACACACACACTAGGCTACTTGCATTGGTATTGGTACTGATTGTTTCCTTGGCCAGAAGTTTGATCCTTCGTGTGTGAGATTTCCTTCTTATCAATGGGTAAATTTTGTCGATGTCAGTGTGTCTATTAATTTACAATTCACTGAAATGCCAGGCCCCAAGAAATTCTCTAGCATTCTTGGTGTTGTTTCCTCTGTCTAATATTTGAACGCCGGTGGTCCCAGTCGAACTGATATCTGTGGTTGTCTATATGCAGCGATATGAGTGAGGGAGTGGATATCATTATCTCTTTTGACGGCTAGTTTGTAATCATGAATACGAAGACAAAGGGGGGTGGGGAGGTCCAGTTGGCCAATCAAATCTCTGCAAATCAACACTTGAATAACATTGTAATTATGATCCACTTTTCTTCTAGATCCTATATAATTGTCATAACACGTTAGCATATCATCTATTGACATAGTACTAATAAATTATATTTTTCCCTGTTTAATCTCTAGTTTTAATACTTCCCTTTAAGGTTGTGTGGTGTGTTGTTTTACGACTGTGATTTTATTTGAGTGAGTCAAAAATTATTATAGTTTCCGGAAACTATAGAAGAAGAGCTGAAGACCCTGAAAAGAATCCTCCTTGAAAACGGTTACCCGGAAAGTTTCATCACAAAAGCTATGAAGCCCAAAACACAAAAACCATCCATGTTTACTGCTGCCAAGAAACTTCTCTATTTGAATCTACAATTCAACGGAGATTCTTCAGCAGAAATACTGAGAAACCGCCTGTGCCGTTCACTGAAGAAAACCTTCTTCGCAGCGGAACTCAGACTAACTTTCTCTACGAAACCAATGATTCGCATGAACGTGAAGGATAAGCTTCCACTGGGGGCCTCATCAATGTGCATCTACCAATTCACCTGCTCATGTGGAGCTAGGTATGTCGGCCGTACCCAGAGTTTGCTATCCAAACGAATCACAGAACACTTACCTTCATGGTTTTATAAAGGAGAAAGAAGATCCCCCCGCCACAGCTCTATCCTAGAACACTTGATAGAATCCGGACACCAAGCAAACCCACAAAACAACTTCTCAGTTATCTACACAATACGTGGAAATCTTGCCAAAAGAGTACGAATTAAACTTCTTCAAACTGCAGAAGCAATGGCAATTCACATATTGAATCCTGAACTCTGCATACAAAAGAAGTTTGTTCAGTCACTAAATCTACAATGGTCCTGATCTATCTTTACACCAAATACGTAATTTTGTCTTACCTCTTTCTTCTTTGTTTGTCTATTTCTTAATTGCATTATTTTCTACCCCCACCCTCTATTAAGTCTCTACGCTCATGACGACTGTTGCTAACTCGATTTTCGTTTATTTTCAAGTGAATTCTACTCAGCTTATTAACTTAACTCTCATTCAATTATTAACTTGACTCTCATTCATTTTTTCATTGAACCCTATCAATTAGATTACGTCACCCAACCTACTTTTGTAACTTTATTTTAGTTTCTAACCGATTAACGCCTTCTAAATTACGTAATTTGTTTGTCGAAAATTAACAATTGCATTAACACATCTTTGGAAATATTCCTTTTGTTGCCAAGACAAATTACTATAAATTTGCAATTTGTACAGCTTGAGAATGATATCGCCAAAAAGAGTAACTCTTTGCTGAACACCTTTTCTTTTCTTTTCTATGATTAATTTCAATTTGGTGTCAATGGTAGAATTCTCATCAGCCATGCACAGTAGCCCAGGGTTCAACTCCCAGCAGACGCACCCCCTCCCTTATAAACAACATGGAAATGGCGGAAGGTTGAAATTGAGGCTAGCAACCCCAGTTTTTACAAAAAAACCAACACTACCTCTACTCAGAGTCCATAGCTTCACACCAATTGTTCCAATAGGAACCTCAAAGGAAAGAAAGGGAGAGAAAGAGAGAATTTCATAGTGGGATTCAGTTCAAACAATGAGCAAAAACATTCACTTACCAATCAAAGCACAAGTTACAACATCTAATGCATCAATACAATTCACCGATTGAATATAACTGAAACTATTCAATTCAGTATTTGATGTGAAGGTCAAACCGGGAGGAGTGTTACAACGAAATTTTTGTTCATTCATAGATTTCTTCACAGGGGAAACACGATCAATGTCGAATTTCTTCTTCTTGTTATCATTATCATTACTCATCATTGATAAAATTGTTCTATCTGAAGATAACCACCATGGATTAGTTAATTGGACAATTTGTTCAGCTGTTGGTCGTCTATATGGATCAGATGCCCAACAGTATGTCATTAAATCGATCAGGGCAGATGGACAACGTTTAATGAACTAAAATTAACATAAATTATAAAAGTAATGATAATTATTATTTATTGTTCAACATATACTTGCGTCACAAAAATTATACCATAAAGGTACTTTACTTTCTTGTATTGATAATGCTATCTAATATGATATCTGAACGTCAACGAACCATAGCTCAACACATTATGAGCATGAAAGAGGATTGGGGAGTAAAATAGTAGTAACTGAGTGTGACGAAAGAGACTTGTGCCATATGCTTCAGTACCACAAGTTGACGCCAAAATCTCCTGTCTTAAACAACAAGATGTCCTCAGACATGGTCTCGTTTCTACTACAACTTTTCACGCACTGATGCGAAAGAGGCCACGAGCCGCTAACTGCCGTTAATTTATCAGACATTCCAAAATCCCTCACCAATCGAAATATCTGTGTTTGTTAGAGATTGCAGAGTAGGAAACAGTAAGCGGACCGAAGGGCGAATTAACGTCAGTCATGGTAACGTCATGTATGACATCAATGTCGCTGGAGAGACAGAGAGATAGGAAGCCGTGGACGTGACACAAGAACTCAATAGGACAGCGTGAATCCTCTAAAGTTAAGTCTATGACTAGCTGTTTGCCACTGGATCTTATGGATGGATACCTTTGGACTACATCATAAGAAGAATGCCACGAAAGCTCCAAACCTTCCACCTAGGAACGGACTACTTCTTAGACGTCGGTCTGAGAGGGACAGAAAACAGACGGTGCAGTTCCAGCTTGACGCTGGCAGGGTCACGGATGCTTACTGATGAAGAGTCCAAAAGTAGCATGGAAGAGCTGTACGATGCTCCCTGGAGGCTTCCAATGATCTCAATTATGTTGGTTCATGACGAGAATCTACAAATTAAAATAAATACCTTTAAAATTTACACTAAATGCGACTTTATATATATATATATATATATATATATATATATATTACAATACGAATAACAATGGTTCCACCAAACAAAATAATAAGAGAATTGATTAATTCCAATTTTGATTACGTAGTGATAGTTAGATGACCGCTGAATACCAGGCAATAACTAGACACTGTAACACGTCAGCATTACGCATTCATGAACCCATGCAATCGAGTCAATGACCTACAGGTTACAAGGCGAACTCATCAAGCTTTCAGGCAAAGGGGATGTTATCCAATGGGATAGCCAATTAGACGATGAAATAGTATATGAGTTCACCTTGTAACGACAGAAGACAATGGCCAGGTAACAGATGGTTTATTGACAAAATCAAGAGGTATTCATAGATTTTTGTGTACATTATTGTTAGCAGAGAAGTAACCTCTTCTGATTGGTTGTTTTTTTGTTGAAGGCTATTCTGCTATCTCTTTGTGGCCGTTTCTCAGAAAATCAAGTCATATATCTGCGAATCATATTTCCACACACGCTAACTCCGCTGTGATTGGCTGGTGATTTTCTCAAGGTTAAGCTTTGTGATTGTTCTTCTGATGGGCCTGATTTAGGAAGTAAACATTGACGTAAATTGTTGTCTACAATTTCGGCTTGCAGTCAGCTCTGACGATAACCTTACAACCTGATTATCCTGGTTTCGATCCCTCTCATAGGTGGGACATGGGTGTGTACAGTCGATGAAGAGTGCCAAAGCAGGACGAAAAAGCTGGATAGCGTTCCCTGGCTTTCAACAGTTGTACTTAGACACAAGAGATTATTAAAAAGCAGAATTGAACGAAATAGAAAATATCTCTCGATCTGTCTATATGTAATGACTTACATGTAATGGGATTTCAGGGCGTACACCTGATATGACTTCTTGAGTCAGCCGATACAACATAGAGGATGACTTTTTATACGGTTGTTCTAATTGAATCATTTCACAGATTAAAATTCCCAGAGCATAAATATCTACCTAAAAGCGAGGTTGAGTGGGGGAGATTAGAAAGAGACACTTTTAAAAAATGAATGCATAAAACATACAAATTTTACTAATGCATATCTTGCTCTCTATTACTATTATATTATCCCCTTGGGTTCCGAATGCAACACGAGGCTTTAGTAGTCTGTCTTAGCTGACTCATCAATCGCTCCCCATGGAGGTCCTCGAAGTGATGCCCAACTCACTGTTCCTGTATTCAGGTTCCACTCGAGGGTCTAGCCTGAAATATCAACCAATAGACTTCTCAGTGTGTTCCTCTGGAATATCTGTTGAAAAAGAGCTTCTCAGTTGGTTCAGTGACAGTTTCTTCTTGAAAATTCTTTCTGGACGGTCAGCCAGCCATCTGATCTTACGTATGGAGCCAAAGAAGGCGGCAGCTGTTGATAAACGCTCATTTGCCAAGTTCCTGACCCATACAGAAGCATTGATTGATTTAATACTGGTGTTAGAAATTCGCATTCTCTTGTTTATTTCCAGTGCAGAAGATTCCCAAACTGACTTCAGAGTAATGAACGCCTATAGTGCACCTTCGATTCTGGATGGCTCAGAAATGCTCATCCGTAGAGCAATGCCTGTAGTTGAAACAGTAGTGGCCAAAAAATTGAAAGAAGTGACCTTATTCAAATTTCTCCCGTTGATAAGGATTGCTGCTTGTTGCTGTGGTTGGTTTTCACCTGTAAGTATTCCAACTTCTGTAACATCAGACATAAACGGTCGGTGAGGCCCAGATCTTCTAGAGTCTTCATTATCGGTTCAACGTATCCTTATGTTGTCGCTTCCTACAGTATACCACTTCTGCTAGCTATTGTGTGTTCTAATATTCTACTTCTTAGAGTACCTGAAACTTAAAAAGCAGTAGTATATTATGTGACCATAGAGCTTAGCGAACAACTGCTTGAAGCTGGACAAACACACGATCTGCCAAAAGTGGTTTTATGGAACTGCTGCCGTCATCTACGGACTACCGCGTCAAGGTCAAAATGAACAAATCAATAGACAGTCTTAACATGATTCGCTAATTGTAATGGAATATCGATCCATATATACATAGCAAAATATATCAGACTGTCAAACAAACACACATATTATATGGATACATATCACCAAGAACAGACTGTCAACAAACACACATATTATATGGATACATACCACCAAGAACAGGCTGTTAAACAAAACACACATATTATATGGATACATATCAGTTGGGTTGTACAATCTTCGGGATCAACCTTTTTCTAACCTCTCCTCCCTCCACATTCTCCAGAGCGGAGAGGTAAGATAACTGGGGCTTGCTGGTCATCTGAGTAAAAACATCTTTCTGTTGTTGCATTTCTCTATTCGACAACAGTACGGCTTCACCCCCCCCCATTCCCCTTCACAAACTCCTAACATTTTGCAAACAATTTATAATATGTGTCTGTAAGTGCTTTTTAGTCTAATGGCTATCTAAACGACGTTTCTCGCATAACAAGACCTGCAGGAATATTAATTCTACCCAGTGTAGCTTGTTTTCTGATGCGTCAGGTGCGATATACAAGCTCGATCTACCACCACGTATACCTTATTATTATATCATTAAAATTCCCTGTTTCCCGAGTGGAATATAGGGCTTCAACAACACATCACATCTCCACTTTGTTCTGTTTTCTATTGTCCTCTTCAGCTGGGTCCACGATTGCCCATAACCTCTCATCTCTTCCCCCAGACGATCTCCTCCATGTCACTCTAAGACGACCCACTCGTCACTTCCCATTTGGATTCCATTCGAACAATGGCCTGCAGTGCGATGTCCTTCGGCGGCCTACTCAATGAATGCCCAACCGATCAACCTCCACTCTCTCCTATATATTTGTTGAGCAATCGGCTCTCACCTGTTGGTTTGTTCCACTGCGGGGTATCTAGTTGGTAATTCTTTTGGCTAGCTGGTCAGTTCATCATGAGTATGGAGACAACAAAGGCGGTTATTGATAAAAGTCTGCGAGTTGATCATGGATTGATATCAGTTAGAGAACCATTGAAAAGCAGGGAGTACTGGACAGCCAGCTGTTTCATCCTAGTTTGGGAATCATCGGCACTACGCACCCACTGGGATTCGAACATAACTAACCCTTACAAACCAAACTATAGAAAAGTCTGCGACCTGTTGGCAATATGTTCCATGATGACTCGTCAGGTTTCTAATCCCTGTAGAAGAAGGGTTGGGCGTAGGGTTAGCGACCCTACACCAACAAAAGCTAACAAACTTCTAGAGAACTTCAAAGCACAAGAAGTACATAAAATGCCTTCTAGGGTGAAAATATTACCAAGTATATTGTACCTTGGTTCTAAAATTGGATCATTAATACGGCAGGTTCAGAGGAATGAACACACAAAACAGGTTTAGACCGTTTTATGGTCAAGAATTCAACGAATTTAAGTATGTGACTTCAATTTGTTTTATATGTAGGTTTAAAGGTATTGCTGAAATCAAAGTGATTTTCGTAAGGAGATTAGTCAAATCGAGACAGTGGTGTACAGTTTGAAAACCTCTCTGTACAAACAGGGGACTTGGTCACCTCCTGTGATGAGGACCTCGAAAGATTCAAATCAACCCTGTGATAGACTGCTGCTATCAGCAACAGACATTAGAATAAGAATACGTCACATACTATACTAACAAAAGAGCATTAAGGGACTGTTAAATTACTAAGACTTTGAAATAGGCTAAGTAGCCCTCTCTGACCTGCAGATATAGATGGGTTCTCCTCCCTATGTATGCGTGACCGCACATACATATAAATTCACAAACACACTGGCATATGATACCATCGTTCGGATTCTGTGAATGTTTACAGGACAACAGAGACCTCATTTTCTCCATGAAAATACGTTTAGCTGCTTTGTAAGTTCTATAGAGTACCTACCTAAGGTTTTGTTTCGTGATCTGTTTCAAAAAGTTTATGATATGTATCCACATTTATATATATATATATATATATATATATATATATATATATGTGCGTATGTTGGTCTCTCTTTCTGTTTGCTCGCTTAGTCTGTGATCATTTCACTTGTATGAACCTGTCTCCTTTAACAATGTATATTCCCCTTATATTATATATAATATGAGTGTTTGTTGACAGTCCGTTGCTTGGTGACATATATCCATATAGGGTGGTTGTTGACATGTCTGCTATATTTCGCTATGTATATATGGATCGATACTTCATTATAATTAGCCATTCATGTTAAGACTGTCTAATGATTTGTTCACACAATTTGTCTAGAACATTCATATATATTTCGCATTCACAATTTGTGTGACTGACTTATTTTTGGTGTGATACCACTTTTGCATTCTCCTTGTGTGTTGGAAAATAGAAGTATCATCGCAAACCTAGTGGTCTTCTGATTTCCGCCTTCTTGCGTCAGGATTATTAAATTCTCGACCAGTCCATAACAATAATTTAGCGACGAGTACATAACAGAATGGTTAGTTATCTTCATCACCTCGGTCTTCTCTGTGTTCACCTGGAGTCCTGTCTTCGCTACCAGCCAGCGTCTTCAGCCAGTTAGTTGGTTTTCGCTTGCAAGTCTTGGAGTTTGAGTGACATTAGACATATATCTTCTGTGAAATCTAGATCCTCTGGAGTCTTCTTATCGGTCGTCCAGCGTATTCCTGACTTCTCACACCCCCACCCCCCGACTGTCTGAGGCATAATACAGTCCCCCCCAATTAAGAATATCATCGGTGATAATAGGCCTAGCCTAGTTAACTAGCTCGCTAGTTTTCTAGCCAGTCCTAAACCCTGGTAAAGAGGGAGGACTGGGCGTGGGGCTAGCAATCCAACACCAGTAAATCTTTCAAACCACTAGAGAAACTTCAACACACACGTAAACCTCAATCAAAGATGAATCGACACAAAATTGACAAAAAAAAGGCGTATCGATTAACTCACCTTTGCAGTATATGTTTGCTCACCTAAATACTCTAAAATTTCTGGTGCCATATAACCAGTTGTACCAACATATCCTCTACAACCACCAGCATTCTTCGGTGAACTCATAAATCGACTTGCACCAAAATCTGTTAGTACAATATGTACATTTGATGGATTATTGGAGTCATTTGCTAGAGGTGATGTCGTTGACGATGGTGATGACACCGTCATTGTCGCTGGCATTAACCAAATCAGTACATTTTCGGATTTCACATCACGATGAATAATGCATAAAGAATGCAGATGAGCAAGTGCTTTAGCTAACTATTTTCATCAGAACAAGAAAGAAAAGCAACAACAAGGAGAAAAGTTGCAAAAAATTGTAATTTATTGTAAGAAATCATTTGTAGAATCAATTCATCGAATTTCGGTAGAACTACTTTTCAACTGTGAGTGCGTTGGTGGCTCGCTGACCACGTTTCATGTGGTCCAGGGTTTGATCCTCGGCCACCTCGCTAAGCCAGTAATCAGACTGGTAAAGAGGGAAGGTTGGAGGGCATAAGGATATCAACTGCATCCTATAAGAATAATTACCAATGCTACTGGAACTTCAAGTTAGCTCGTAATGAAATGATGTTAATTTGCTTGCCAGACGTTTCAAACACAAAACTTAGTTTAAATACAAGTTTGTAGAGATATAGACAACTCTTAAAGGTGGATTTTGTCACAAGCCAACATTCGTTAGACAGCCAGTAGATACCATGATGAACTGCTGGATAACTGTTTCTTCGTAGTATAGGACTCTGTAGCAGCGTGCCACCATATGGCACACAAAGCAAGAGAAGAGAGTAGAGATATTCAAAACAGAGATAACAAACAAAAGTATGAGGTAAAAAGAATGGCAATATGTATGAAAAATAGAATTTTATTAGACATGATAAATTACACAGAGTTAATCCACTTGCGCCGGCCATTGACAACGATTTTGAGATATCTCACCAAGTGTCATTAGCCTTCAATGGTTCTTACTGCCCAAAGGACCACAATCAGTCAGTCCACACACCCCTACGTCGCTGAATGGTTAGATTAAACGTACTGTTATAGATTTCATTGGCTGATAAAGCTATATTTTCATCTGACCACCACTAGCTCTTTTCCAGCCTGATCCTATATGTCAGTCAACTAACAGTGCCTGTTGTCGAAGAAGGTGATGACCTTGGCATAAAAAAAACACATGTCCCTGAACATCTCAATCGGTGTAACTTCACAACCTTGCTGACTGATTTCCCCAACCTACCTTGCATTTAACTGATGCCTAACCTTATTATACCACTTAACACATACGGGAGATGGAACGCAGACACCTATAATCAAAGACAACTAGCCTTTCCATATCTTCCAGTCTCAATGGTCATGTTTCACTGACACAAAGGAGGACGGACGGAGCGAACTGGTGTTGTTTAGTACACACGGCCATTGGTCGACAACCAGCCGGATATCACATCTACGCCAGAGATGGTGTAACAATAACAAAACTATACCAATGATTGTCAAAGTCAGAGATTAGCGACCAAGGGGTTGAACACATCAATGACTTTAAAGAGCGGTTACTAGGGCAACCTAGTGCAGCAGCGAAAATAAAATCAACGTGGTGAAATTCTAACGAAGAGTATTATAATTTGTGATGTGTTTGATACCGTAAACGTAATCATGAGAGCAAGCGTATTTGCATAAAATGTATGTCAACCGCGTCAACCCCAGTAGTGCACGCTAGTCTGATCGAAGTGATCCGCTAGTCTCATTAGCTGTGCAATCGGTTCAATCGACTCAACTTAGACATCTGAATAATTCTAAACCCCTCCCCTTTGGTGAGCTCAGTCAAAACGAGAGAAAGAGCCCTCAACATATTTGCCTGCTAAGCCAGTAAGCGGGACCGGCAAAGAGGGGAGGTTGGGGGGCATGAGGGTCTAGCAACCCCATCCCATATTTTCACATTTTCTACACGACCAGTGGTGATTCCTCGATTGAAAGATAAAGTACTTAGACCAACTAGCCACTTCTAAATGTGTCTAACATTTGTGGAGGAGCGAGTTATATCGGCCATCGCCCTAATTTTTTGTGCTCTCTCGGAAATATCTACCAGTATGGCTAAATAAAGGTGTAGTAAAAACCATCACCAGTTCGATATTAGACCCCCTCGTCCTAACCAGCCAAAAAGCCAGCCAGCGTTGAAGAATCTTTCTCTATCATCTACCGAGTCCCACATAAATTGCCAAAAACATTGAGGTACCACATGCCCCGAACAGCACAGACTATTACAACTCGCCAAAAAACAACCAGTGCGTTGTATGCATCAGAGGCGAGTCCAGTCAGCCAGCCACTACTACTGCACTGGCCGGCCTTCAGTAGAGACTATAAATTCATCAGTTCTGCATTATTGCTATTTTTCGAAATTTTTTGATATTCACAGTGTATATTTTTATTTATGTTGATGCTATTGAACTGTAATCCACTGATATTATTATTGATTAATATTGTTCATAACACTAATTCATTCACTATTATGGATGCACGCATATAAGTGTAGAACCTGATGTGCAAAATTCTTTGTGAATATTCTTTGTTCAGTGGCCATTCTTCTGAAAAATTTTAATGAGCATTTTTAATCAGTTAAAATCAATAAGTACATAATTTGTGGATGGTGACAAGCAGTGGAATCCAGGATAAAGCACATTTCATCCTATTTAGGACTCGTCAACTGGATGTCCCTGCATTCCCCACTCAGTGAGTGATGATACTCCTACCACCGAGTCTCGAACCCAGGGACCATAGGTTCAAACGCCAAAGCGCTATCCACTAGCCACGAGAGCCAGGTACAGTATGAATAAACTATGGAATGCAGGTACATCCAACCACCAACGAGTCCCAAATAGGACGAAATGCGCGTTATCCTGGATTCCATTGCCGCTAGTCACCATCCACCAATTGAATTCTAACAAAATGTCCAGACATCGTGGAAACATCTGCACAAGAAGCCGACAGACACGTCAACTTGAGACCGAGTACTTCGGTCCAATCAATCGACGGGAAAATCTAAAATTAAATTAAAATCAATAAAATCTTCAATAGACATGCAGGAAACAGAAAAGAAGAGGAACATAAACTACATTATGAAATCAAGACTAATCATACCTGATTGATTATAAACATCATTGTTAGCGGATGCAGCGGATGACTGAGAAATACCTCATTCAACGACCCTGAAGAAGATGAAGAAGAAGTCTCAACCACCTCTTTACCCGATGACGCTAATAATGTCGTGAAGTATTCTGAAAGATTACCCAATGGAGCTAATGGCATTAAAAATCCAATTGGATTAGGGTAAACAATTCCACAGCAAATAAGTAAATTTGTATTTTGTTGAGATAAATGAATATTGGCAATAAATCTATTATTAGTAGAATGATGTTTGTCATCATTACAATTGACGATACTACTATTTTCGTTATTAGTAGTATAGGTATATAATGATTCATTTTTCTGTAAACATTTACTAAAACAACCATGCATCAATCGCCTTTCTTGTAGAGCAACAGCACCACCGCCACCACCCCAAATGAATAATTTGCTCATACTATGCGAGTTATGATGTGGAGATATCGACTTAGACCTATTGAATTTCATTCGATATAAACAATTGAAACAATTCCGTGTGATTGGTAAAAGGATATTTAATTCAGATCGAATTTCCTATAGAGAGATTAGAAAATAAAACCAAAAAAATGTAAACATTATGAAAACAATTTAAAAAAAAAACTTTTAGAAAACGATGTAAGTAAGAAGGAAATCACTGGTGGTAGCAGAGGTTGGAATTCATGGGCTGGTCATTAGATCGGTTCGTAGTAGCTAAATAGTCTACGAAATCGCCTTGTAACTGGAAGGATGTGGGTTGAAACCCCAGGTGTGGGTGCCTACTGATGAAGAGTCCTAAACTAGGGCAAAGCAACAGTCCAGTACTCCATCACTGATTTTCCAGCTGTTTTCTAACCGGTTTCAGATGATGATGATGATGAAATCCTGAAAATAATCGAATCGTGCTCACCAGTGACGTAGGTAGTTACCTGGGTTCTAACGGGAAATCACGATCAGTGTGGTACAGCAACTTGGGAGGGTGTGAACACAAATAGTCGCCACGGATGACACTGGCTAGTGCCAGTCACACTAGACTGTTAATTTCAGTTTACGATGTAAACGAAAGTTAAATGAAGCTGTTGGTTCTTATGACCCTTGCAAAATTGATGACAGTGATATAGAAATCAAGTCTGAAGTTAAGTATCTGGGATTAATTCTTTCTTCTGACCTATCATGATCTCCCCATGTCTTAGTGATATCTAAAAGAATATTTCGTCTGACTTTTTGAATTAAGAAGTTGAGGCACTCAGGCATAACCCAACCACTCCTTCTCTTACAGTTTGTCCACTCGTGTATCTTACCTATTCTTCTTTACTGTTTACCCCTGCTTATTCTTTCCTGGATTGTTTAAAAAAGACTATGTCATACTTCGTAGAACTCTGTATACTGTTAGTAGGACGAGTGGTATCTTATTGGGCCATATCGTTGATATTGTCACGGATAGGCGCTTGATGTCATGTAAAAAATTTGCTAAAGGAATTTTGTCAGACTCTGAGCACCCACTATACCCCCAGGCTCAACCTTTTGTCTCCTCAGGTAAGACAAGAAGTCTTTTCAGAAGACTCGTACGTCTAAGTATAAAAATTCCATTATACCATAATTCACGGCATGTACTTTATGTGATGAAAATGGTATCAGGTATGAACTAACTAACCTTCCTTGTACTACTAAATACACCATTTCTTCCACCCTTACAGTACCAAACTTTATTGTTATGGTATTTCTTATATTTATAATCCTCTCAATTTTTTGTTTTTACTTATTTGTTTTTTCATAAGTGTGAACATCATTTAAGCTGCGTTATAACTGTTATTTTTTGTATTTCCCCTCACCATGCTGCTATATCAAGAGAACATTAGATTCAATACTCTATAATAACATGCTAAAATTTCCAAACTGACTGTATCAACAATACTGTTTGAGACAAACTCACTGTTATTATTATTATTATTATATTTAATATTCTCATTTCGTACTTCAAATATTTTTGACTTTATACCGTAAATGTGGACAAAATTCCTCTGATCAATTTTGTTTTAATTTTATTTATATTTTAAGTAAATAGAAGCAAGATATTGTGACAAATGCTGAGAATTCCATTCTGTATTATAATTAGTACTGTTTTTGGAATAAAGTAAATTATTATTATTATTCTTAATAGTGGTGGACTGAATTATGCGACAATCTGTAGAGATCAGGTAGTCAGGAATAAGTTGGACTAAGAAGAGGACCATAGAAGTGTTATGTACTGGTCGAGAATTTAATAGTCCTGACGCAAGAAAGACGGAAATCAGAAGACCACTAGGTTTGCGATGATACTTCTATTTTCCAAAACACCAGGAGAATCAATGTGTCATAAGAGTGTGAGAGCAAAATATAAGAATGTTCGAACAAGTGTGTGAACACAAGTGTGAGAGCGAATATTCAAAATGAACAAATCAATAGACAGTCTTAACATGATTGGATAATTATAATGGAATATCAATCCATATATACATAGCAAAATATATCAGATTGTCAAACAAACACATATATTATATGGATAAATGTCACCAAGAACAGACTGTCAAACAAATACACATATCATATGGATATATATATATATATATATATATATATATATATCAAGAAGAGCTGGACTTCACAGACGATTTGTGTCTAATGTCACATAAATTCGGAAACCTACAGATGAAAACTGGCAAGTTGGAAGAAAAAGCAGATATTAAAGACAGGACTTCAAATGAATAATAAAAAATACAGAGGTGATGAAGGTAAACACCGACCACAACCACCACCACCACCAACAACAACAACAAGAATCAATCGCCATCGACGAATTCACACTTGAAAGAGGTCACTACCTTTGCTTCTCTAGACAGAATCGTTTCAGCTACAGTTGACCAGGATGAGAATGTCAAAACCACAGTCGGAGAGGTAAGCCAGACCTTTATCACTCTGAAAATAGTCTGGGAATCTGCTTCACTCAGCGTAAGCAACAAAATTCGGGGTTTTAACACCAATGTTAAGTCAATCAGCTATCCTCTTTTGAAAAGAACAAGAAATTCAGCAAGGATATCTTTTCGGCGATTTCATTCTCAAAAGCAGCTGTACAATCAGATTTATGTAGGTTAGTTTACATGGATACAATTATTATTTATTTAATTTCACAATGTAACGAAAGTGATAATAATTTTCAACTTGAAATGTTAGTTAGGAGGTGTGAATATAGATTACAAAAAATTACACAGGATTAAAATATAATTGTAAAATGGTTATTCTAAACGCATTACAAGTGTGATCACGAGGAGCATGGAAACAAACTTAAAATAACTGATTTTATAACTGAACACATAGCTCCGGCTATGTGTTCATCAAAAGAAACTAGTCCAGCCTTTACAACTACCATGGGCCTAGTTCGGCATGTTCCCTTATCCTTCAATTTTTTTTGTTTTGTAATAATAATAATAATTTGCTTTATTCCAAAAACAGTACTAATGATACAGCAAGGAATTTTCAGCGTTCAGTACAATATTGCATCTAATTTACTTAAAAACGACAAAAAAAATTATAAATACACATTACATGAAAATAATAAAACGATTGGTACAGCAGGTACATGGCAAAATACTGTATGCAATACGGAGAAAAATATGCATGAAGTATAAAATTGTAGTAATAATAGTAATACCAACTAAAATAAAATAGCAGAGTAATAATTAAACGACAGAAAGTGTGACACCATAAAATACAGAAAGATGAACTATGAAAGGGCCGATTTACTGTGCTAATTACATAGTAACTTGTAAGTTTCACGTCTAACAGAGTCTTCATCACATAAAGTACGGGCTAAATAGGGTATGGTAGAATTTCTGTACGTAGTGGTACGAGCATATAACTTTTTATATTGACTTCTTGTCCTACCTTCCATTCTGTATTATAATTAGTACTGTTTTTGGAATAAAGTAAATTATTATTATTATTATTGAAACATACACACACACATGCCCTCAGCCATTCAAGCACTCATAAAATAAAAACAACAAATAATCACAATTAACTGACCTGATAAGCAGTTAATGCTGCTTCAATTGGATGATGTAACCATCTACGATGCTCTTGACGATATAAAGCATATGCATCACGAAGATTTGAACTGGAAGAGTGTTGATACGACTTTGCGATAATATCATCATTGTTTGTAGGACAGTGTGTTGGATTATCTAAATTTGGATGAACTGGTGAACAGATTTTCACAGCTAATTTATGCCTATGATCATTATTACCAATTTGGTTATCATCGTCAACGTCCTAAAAAAAAAGCAATTTAACAAAAGAAATACACATAATACTGACGGCCATTCAGTAAGACAGCAAAAAGGGATGTTATTTACCGATTCAAATATGATAAGAATACTAGAGTGTCTAATACGCTGGTCGATTTCAATCTCGACGTTCTCTTTTTGCGAATTCTAACATCTGTCGGCGTTGGACAACCAATATAATTCAGTCTGGCCACCAATGTGATCTTGAAATCAATGCTGTACGTCAGAGCTCTCAGAATCTCTGCATCAACCTCCGGTCTAATACCTCCTGATCCTACCTAAAACGTCCATCGTCCCAGTTACTCACGCAATACCACCACCAATCGACGTCCAAAAAATGAGACCTCCATTATTCTGCTAGCATTGAAGTGCTTAGCATTTTAACTGATTAAAAATACCCATTAAAATTTTTTTTAAAGAATGGATACTGAACAAAGAGTACTCTTTTCAATAACGTCATCATCATCAGGCTCTACAGTTATAAACATACATTATAGTGAATGAATGAATTAGTGTTATGAACAACATTAGTGTTGCTGTTTAAATAACATCCAATCAACAATATTGATGGATTACAGCTCAATAGCATCAGCATAAAACAAGCTGAATGTCAGAAAAATTAGGGAAGATAATATTACAAATTCATGAATTTATAGTTTCCACTGAAGGCCAGTCAGGGCAGTAGTAGTAGTAGCTGGCTGGACTTTCTTCTTTTGCACACAAACACTGGTTGTTTGAAGCGAATTGAGATAGCCTCTGCTGTTTGGAGCATGCGGTGCTTCGATGGATTCGTCAAAGTTGGCTGGCTTTGGACCAAATGGTCGAATATCGAACTGTTTTAATGGTTTTTACTACACTTTTACTTAGCCATAGTGGGAGATGTTCTCGACTGAGCACGAAAAATCAAGTTCCTAGAGCAACCAACGACCAATATAACTCACTCCATATCATATCTTATCTATTTTAACTTCGTCGACGCCAAGACTACAATTATGTTGGTTACAAAGGTAATTTTAGCCACAGAAACATACACAACGACACTCACAACTGCTATCTTTGACGAGTAACCTTTTCCCAACCTAAGAAAATTGAGCTAGGTGTTTCATTACCACAAGTTGACGGCAAACTCTCCCGTTTCGAAAAACAAATTGTTCTCAAGCGCAACAGAGCTAACTCTCAGATGTGGAAGAGGCCACAAATGCTCCAGACATTACAGTAAACAGCAAACCACTTCCTCAATGTCGGTCAGACAGGTGTAGAAAGTAAACGGTACGGTGTCAGGTTGATCCCAAGTAATACGTATTTAAGTATTGGTTTGTAGGGATTTGGTTGATTGATTACAGGATTTCATCATGAGCTGAAATCTGTTAGAGAAGCACTCGAAAACCAGTCGTCAGTCGAGTCTGGGACTCTTCATCAGCACGCACCCACCGGGGTTCGAACCCAGGACCTTCTGGTTACAAGGTGAGCGCTCACACACCATTAAGCCACTAGGACCCGATCCAATGACCAGAGTATGAATTCCAACTTCTACCAATTCGCGACATAGCGTTACCACTAGTCAATGTCTTCTCTGGCGAGTATTTGTCCCCACAGCTGACCTACTGCACCCTACTGGTCACGACCTCTCACTAAAACCCCAGGTAAATACCTATGAATTATATAAAATATTATAATTATTAAAGCAAAAGCAAACTAAAAGTAAAATTAAGAATTGAAAAGAATTTTTAATATTTTTTTCTTTTCTTTTTCAATTTTTAATTTTACTTTAAGTTTACTTTTGCTTTAATAATGAATTCACTATTATCACTCTCATATGTTCAATTTTTTATTTTCACACCCTCTTCACACTTGTTAAATTGACACTCAACTACCTTTATTCTCACTCAAGAGCAATTTTAACCTTATCAAATTTCTAACCTTTCTTTACTTCGTGCCGTTGAGTACCATGTAACTTACAACTTTTAATTTTCACTTCTAAAGCCACTTATGAGTAATTATATCAACTATGTCATCCCCACCCCTATTACTCAATAATAGACTACTACATATCTTTTTTGGTAAGTATAAATACGACTGTAGGGCAGCCTCTGAAGATGATTTCATCGATAAAGAAAATTTTCTTCGCTGAATCTGCCTTTTATATCACCACTTGTCTCCAGCCACTGGTTTTTAACCGTCCCGAGAACCTCAACCAGTCAAGAAGTCTACACCTTCCTTTGTGGCTGACTGGTTGGCCAGCCGGCCGGCTTAAAATAATTGTTATGGATTGCATTGACTGATGAAGACATGTTTTGCTTTGATCAATACTGGCTCTTTTCCACTGATATCAAGATAACGAACGCCCATTTTTCCATTTCCCTATTCAGACTGGCTTTGCATTAATATACACACAGCACCAAGCTACATTCGTATATGACAGTTTCCGTAAATAAACAAGCTTCAACTTACTTCATTTTCTGTAGCTGATGATTCAGTATCACTGAACAGTCGTTGCTGCTGTTGTTGCATGTTTTGTTTATGCACAAAATACTGGGTATCACCAGAGGGAATATTACTTGTCTTCTTTGTCAAACAACCAGTAAATACAGAACCAAAAGCTCCACGTCCAAGAAATTTCAACAATTGAATACGATCAGGAGAAATCAGCATACTTGAATGAATATCTTCCAATCTCTAAGAGAAACAATCAATAACAACAAAAACAAAAAAAAACAACAATAATAAATGAACACATTTCAGTGTACATCAAAATCGAGTGTTTCTTGGCGGCGGCGGCGGCTGCCGCAGCCACAGCGTTTCTCACAAATATGGAAGGGAGAATATGAACATATGAGGTATGCAGCAACTAGACAGGTTGACATACTCTACATATCGACCTAATCAAGCTGGAAAATCCTTGTGTACATGGACCCTGAAATCTGAAAAAAGATTGAATGGAGTGAATGAAGCCTGTATACCTTCTTTGATCACCGGAAACCATGAGAACACAGCTTCTCCTCCAATGCTACTCCACTGTCTTGTAGATAAGATTTCAAGTCAAAGTATTGGAGTGTGCCCCCCCCCCACTTGCTTCGACCCTGACACAGAGTATGAGATTTTTGTGTGGTTCATATCTTTTGGTGCCCAGAGTGTGTGGAGTCCTCAAAAATAAACTTATCCAAATTTTACTACTATGTAAATAATGAACATATTGTACACTACTTTGTTTTAACCATAAACTCTGTACTTTGAACTTTACCTCGGGTTTTGAAAAATATATAGTTCTGCCTTAGACTCTCCATCTTCTCCACCATCTCAACTGCCGTCGATCAATTTTAATCACCTGCTTTCTATCTCAAATTTTTGCAGGAGCACCGTAGTTCTTCCTACGTACTTTGGTCGACCTCCGGCAACGTCAACATTGGAGAATTAGTACTGGAGCAGTCTTCCCGCAGCACCTGGAGTCTATAACGTTTATTGTGGACTTTGGATCTTTGTAAACCCAAGTAACCAAACTTTAATACATTTTTCCGGTAACTAAACTGATTTGGTACTTTATTTTCTATTTGAATTTGGGTAACTAAGCTAACAGAGTAAAAGGTCCACCAAAAGTGTATCAAGTTTGTGTTCGAATAACATAACAGTATATTTATGATTAGTGCATAAAAAAAGAACTTGCCTATTGCATATAGTATAAGGACAAAAAACCGAAACTCTGAGAGATTCTAACTCAGTTCATCATACAAAGAAGTAATAATAAGTTCTATCTATTATGTATTCGACATGAGGCAATAAGACACTTTGTTGAGGATGAAAGAAAGTTGACACACATTCACACACACACACACAAGCTCTGGTTGATAATAATTATCCAGACAAGTTTATAAGGAGATATAAAGCAGTCAGTGGAACACCAAGACCCACTCTACAACTCACCGCTAAGAGAGACGTGTACATCAAGCTACCCCCTATATGGGGATTATAACAGCTCGACAATTAGACAAAGATTGAACATAACTGTTAAAAACACCTTTTACGCAGCTAATATCCATTTAAAGCCCCTTGAACATGCGAAAAATGATGTCAAATCCCACTGTATTTACCAATTTGAATGTATGTGTGGACACATATACATAGGGAGTACTTATTCATCGATCCTGCAAGTAAGGGCAGGCTTCAGAGAATATTCCTAAATGGCTTCAGAAGCAAATAAAATCTTTAGAGCCAATTAATGGTGACAACAGGAGAATTAGCTCCTCTATTGCGAAACATATTACAGAGGAGACAAGACATTAAATTGACATTAACACATCTCTGACTGCAGTACTCACTGGGTGAAGTGGGTTCGAATCTCTGAGGGGAAATGCTTCCCTTCAAGGTTGCAGATACGCCTTGCTGACTGGTGAGTGCCAACTAGCACGAAACCTAGGTCTAGTTAAGGCTCCCTATGGTCGATTGCCTCCACTCCAACTATCATATATCATCAAATCAATGTGCACCGTGATGGCGACTTACTTAGTGGCATGGTGGCCACACTGTAAACCTGATTGACTGATAGAATTCAGTCTGCACCAAAAAAAAAGGACTAGACACATCACACTAGTTACTAGTGTCCAATCAAAACATCTGACTTGTGTTGCCAATTAACACTGTAAATAAATAACCTCCCCCACCCGCTTTTAAAGTAGCTGTACAGCTTTGAGATGGAATTACGAAAAGAAGTGACCTCAATGCTAACTGATTTATGTGTTCTTAATTATCATCAGTTACTTTGAAAGGATTTGATTTGTTTTTTAGATATCAGTCAGAGAACCCTTGAAAACCAGTACAGGACACAAAACATTTCTTCCTACTTTAGGACTCTTCAGGAGTATTCACCCACCTTCAGTGGTCAAATCCAAGGTATTTCTGTTAAAAGTTAAGCTCGTATACCATCCAGTCACTAGGATGCGATTTAACAGCCAGCCCATGAATTATAACAACGTCTACTATTTCGTGATTTTAGCTCAACCACCATCAGCTAATTTCATCGCTGGCGAGTGCTGGCGGATTCAACTGCTCACAACTTCTCACTAGAATTCACTAAAACGTCGTCCCGTAGCCAATGCATATCGAGCATGAGATTAATTTCTAAGTATTGGTTTTGTAGGGATTTTGTTTGATTGCATGGAGGATTTAATCATGAGTTGACATCAGTTAGAGAACCACTGGAAAACCTGGAAGTACTGGACAGCTGCGTACTGATGAAGAGTCCCAAACTAGGACGAAACAGCTGTCCAGTACTTCCAGGTTTTCCAGTGGTTCTCTAACTGATGTCAGCTCATGATTAAGTCCTCCATGCAATTAATTTTTAAGATTTAGTTTGTAGGGGGATTTGTCTAGTTTCAAGTATGGTCATCATCACGGGTTGATGTCAGCAAAAGAACCATTGAACACTAACCAGGCAGTACTGGACAGTCGTTTCGTCTACTCTAGTCTCGGACTCTTCACCAGCAGCAGCAACAGTTAAAAATGTATCTTGATTGCGGTAGATTGGATAATGCGACAGACAGCATGCAGCGAGGAGACAGGCATAAAATGGACCTTCACGAAAAACTTAGAGGATCTGGACTCCGCCGATGATATATGTCTGATTTCCCGCAAACTGGAAGATATGCAGGTGATGAAAAGCAACAAGTTGGCAGAAGAGACATCCAAAGAAGATAGGAATTCAGGTGAACATAGAGAAAACAGAAGTGATAAAGATTCCTGGGCAACACCAACAACAACAATATCAGCAGACAACAATCAGTATAAATGGGAGGAATTTGTAAGAAGCAACCTCCTTTATCTACCGACCTGGGAAGCATCGTTCCAACTACAGGTGGATGGAACTGACGAGGAATCAAGCTAGGATCGGAAAAGCAAGACTAGCTTTCATTACTCTAAGTCTTTGTGGAGATCAACACTCACCCTGAAAAGTAAGATCCGGATTTTCAACTCCAATGTGAATTCAGTGCTACTATATAGATCAGAGACTTGGTGCCGCGTCATGAAGAGCACATCAAACAAACTACAGACCTTCATCAACAGCTAGCTATCTTCCATCAATATTCAAGATCAGAAAAGATCAACAATAGGGATCTCTAGCAATGAGCGAATCAACCAGGAACCGATTGTGCAACAAATAAGCAGGAAGAAATGGAGGTGGATTGGAGGCCATACTCTGAGGAAACCATCAAGTGACATCACTAGACAAGCTATTTCTTGAGTGGAACCCGACAAGGAAGCGGCGAGTTCGTCGTCCAAAGGTGACTCGGAGGAGGTCATGTGAAGGAAGAGGAGATGAAAGCATGTGGGCAGACTTGGATCCATGTGAAAACTTTAGCAGAGAGCTGAATGCAATGGAGACGTGCAGCTATGCAGCCCTATGTTCCTCCAGGAATTAAAGGAAATAATAATTAATAAATAAAGAGAAAAACAGTCATTCTTATCTTCTTATCTCACAGAGAACTTACTAAATCAGGAGCCCATAATGCTACTGATGAATGTATAGGACAGTATAATTCGTCGTGTTGAATTCGCTTTCCTGGACTTTGCATTATATACCAATGAATATATTCATTAACAGTTATACCATAAACAGGAATCCCAGTTGTCGTTGACATTGCCGCTGAATTGATTTGATTATTTTGTTCAGTATTTTGTAATAGATCCGCAGAATGAGATCTTTTCGCATGATGACTCCTGTTACAAGTAATTAGTTTTCAAAAAAAAATCAGTGTTTAACGCCGAAAACTTAGAAAACTTAATTGACAAGAAGAAACAGTGCGCGATAAAGTCACCACCAGTAAAACTCAGTTGGAGTTCTGGTGGCTTGCCTTGTGAAAGGAAAGTCCTAAGTCGGAACCCTGATAGCAGTGGGTGGGTTCCGATGGAGAGTGCCAAACTAGGAAGGCACCGTTGTTCAGTAATCCCTGACTTTTATGCGTCGGTGATTCTGTGGTAGAATGATCACCAACCACGATCCTCTCTGAAGCCAACGCACTCGTGAACCTCTTTTTTTTACCGAAAGTAGAACCATTAGAAATAGAAAGTTTGTCGTGAGGCTTGTAGTGCAATCTTGTGAAAATAAAACCATTCATGCTAAAACTTCAGGGCCCATGCTTGAGGCCCTATGTTCCGCTCGGAACGCAAAGGAGTAAATTTGTTATAAATTCAAACCCAGTTAATAAGAAGAATAACAGGCGATCAATGCAAATTACCGATGTGCAGCAGTTTGAGTTGCCACACTCCATGTAGCACACAAAGCAAGCGAAGAAAGTAAAAAGAAATACGAAATGGAGACAGTAAACAGAGATGCGAGGCAAAAAGAATAGTAATATCGAAGAACAATATAGTTTGGTTAGGTATTATAAATCACAAGGAGTGGATGCGTCTGCGCCAGCCATTGAGAACGATGAATTTAAACCCTTTCACCAATTGTCTTCAGCCATTGGTCCTTACTGTCCCGAAAACCCAAACCAGAAAGTCTACATTTTACTATATGGCTATAACTAATTGTTGTGAATTTCATTGACTGATGCCATGTATTGGTTTGACCACCAGTGGCTCTTTTCCAACCCGATTCTACGTTGGCAGCTAACATTGACTGTCGACGAAGGCGATGGGTAGGCATACGTGCGTAACACATGTCCTAATTATCTCATTCCATGTAACTTCACAGCCTCGTATATTGATTTCCTCTCCTAACCTAGCACGCAACCGATGCCTCACCTAAATATTGCTCACCCAATTATACCACCTGACATGATAGATAGAACGCAGGCATCTATGATCAAAGACAGCAAGCTAGCCTTTTTATCTACTCCACTCTTAAAGGCCAGTTCTCACAGGCATAAAAGAGGAGAGAGCAGACTGCTGAGCAGTACATACGTCCCTTGGTCGATAGCCAGCCGGATATCACGTCTACGCCAGAGATGGCGTGAGTTGGCAGGCATATGTTAAACCAGCCTTCTGTAACCGTGGTGGGATTCCATCGGCGATCAACCCGCTGGCATTGGCGGATGTAATTTCCCAAGTTAGTGAAGTGCTCGAAATGCTCTACCACTTCACTTCCTATTTCTAAGCTAGGAGTGAGTAGAAATATAGCAGTCCAATAGCATCATCTAACATTTGACAGTGGAAGCTAATTGTTTGCCAAACCTCGCAGATTTCAGCTCAATATGTTCACAAGACTCTGGACTTTCTCAGCATCTTCACCTAGAATGACTATATCATCTGCATATTCGAAGTCGACAAGATCATCTCCTGGTAACAAGTCAATCCCTGAGTCGCCGAAGTCAGTTAGGTTGCGTCAATATCTCCTGGCTCTATACAAGAAATTACCTGAAGTTCTCGTGCGAACTCATAACCAGTGATTTCCATCATTTCATATTGGAGAACATTGACTTGCCTATAGCGTAGACTGGCGGTCGTGCTATATATATATAATGGCTTTCCTTTATTCTAATCTCCGCCCAAACAATCCAACTGGCGTGGTGGGGACATTCGGTGAGGCTCAGCTGTTTTATTGTAAAATGAAAGCTGACCATTACGTCAGTTACTGGTCGACACAGATGAATCATTATGATTTACAACTTACCCTACTCTAAACGAAATAACGTAAGAATAAAAAAAATAAAAGGTGACATGGAATTCGCTTTCATCACTCACCGTCTAAAAAGCCAAGGCAATTTGGAACTGCTACACATGAGAAAACCAGCAAAAACAAAAACAAACAGGGAAAAACACAAACGTTATTTTCACTTTACACGAGGAATTTATCGAATAAAACTATAAGAAGAAATATAATTTATCTGAAACGCGTCATACATTTGCTCAACACATTTCAGACATTCTGACTACACACATATTTGTATTATTTTATTATTGTTCCCTTGGGTTCCTAGTGGAATATAGGGCTTCAACGGCACGTCTCCACTTGCCACTTCTGTCTTCCTTCTCCTGTACTTTTCACCTGCATCCATGTTGGTTAGTCCATACTGTTTCAACTCCTATTCACACGATCTCCTCCATGTCACCCTCACACTGACGACCAACTCGCCGCTTCCCTTTCAGCCTGGTTCCACACGAGCAATGGCCTGACGCGAGCGCGATGTCACCCAGCGGCCTCCTCAGCGAGTAGTGTCCAATCCATCTCCACTCCATCTCCTGCATATTTGTTGGTTGGCGATTGGTTGTTGGTTTGTTTTTTCTCACAGTTTCTTGTTGGTGATTCTTTCCGGCCGGGACATCCGACCTTCAGTACAGAGCCAGCGAAGACAGTTGTTGGTTGATAAAGGTCTGCAGCAGGCTGTTGGAAATATTCTTTGTGATCCAGCCGCCAAGTTTCTGATCCGTATAGAAGAACTAACTAACTTGACGTCGTTTGTATTGAATTGAATCCGACCGAATTTTGTTGTTGATACTGGCTGAGTGACGAAGATTTCCAGATTGGTTCCAGGTCTGTCTGTTTTCGACATAGTACTTTGCACAAATGTGCACCAGTCCAAGTCGCCACACTCCGTGTAGCACACAAAGCAAGAGAAGAAAGTACAAGAAAAGCATAATAGAAACAGTGAGCAGAGGTGTGAGACAAAGGAGTAGTAATAACGAAGAACAAAACAGTTTCATTGGAGATCATAAGTCACGAGGAGTGGATGCATCTGCGCCACTGAGAACGGTTTTGAGCCATGTCACCAATTGTTTCCAACCATAGATTTTTACCGTCCCGAGGACCCCAGCCTGGAAGTCTACACCTTCCTACGTGGCTTAGACCAACTGTTGTGGATTTCATTGACTGGTGAAGCCAAGTTTTTGTTTGACCGCCGCTAGCTTTTTTCCAGCCTGACCCTATATCTAGGTTGATGAATGTGTTTCTCGCCTGCCTTCCCGATTCTCGATTTGACATCCTCGTCCGTTCCGACTGTCAGTAGTTGAGACAATGCTCCCTAGATAAGTGAGTTTATGAAGTAACCTCTTTCAAATTCCTCCCGTTGATGGTGATTGGCGCTGGATGTTGCTGATGTTGTTGTTGGTTGGTTGGTTATTTTCACAACCTCCGTCTTGTCTATGTTCACCTGAAGTCCTGCCTTTGCCGGCTGCTTCTTCGACCAGTTTGTCGGTTTTTGCTTGTAGGTCTTCGATTTTGTGTGACATCAAGCATAAATCATCCGCGAAATCCAAGTCTTCTAGGTTCTTCACGTCGGTCCAGGATATCCATGTCTTTACATATTTGTATAGAAGGTACAAATGATTACAATATGCGTCAAACTGCGTACTGGCTATGGTCACAGATAAGAGGTAGGAAAATAGGGTGAGAATATGCGGTAAGAGAAACAAAATGAAAGGGGGTATAAATCACTATTATAATTATTCCCTTGGGTTCCGAGCTTCAACAACACATCTCCAGTTTGTTCAGATTGGTGCTGCGCTCTTCAAATGTGTTCATGACTGGTCATAATCTCTCATCTCCCCTTCGCATCAACTCCTCCATGTCACCCTCAGACTGACTTATCGCCTCCCATTCGGATTACATTTGAACGATAGCCTGGCTAGGTTGCGATTTCCCTCGACGGCAACTTCAAAGTGTGCCTTTTGTCTCACATATTTGTTGAGCAATCGGCTCTCACCTGTTGGTTTGTTCCACTGCGGGGTATCTAGTTGGTAATTCTTTCTGGCTAGCTGGTCAGTTGATCATGAGTATGAAGACAACAAAGGCGGTTATTGATAAAAGTCTGCGAGTTGATCATGGATTGATATCAGTTAGAGAACCATTGAAAACCAGGGAGTACTGGACAGCCAGCTGTTTCATCCTAGTTTGGGAATCATCAGCAGTACGCACCCACTGGGATTCGAACATAACTAACCCTTACAAACCAAACTATAGAAAAGTCTGCGACCTGTTGGCAATATGTTCCATGATGACTCGCCAGGTTTCTAATCCCTGTAAAAGGGTTGGGCGTAGGGGTTAGCGACCCTACACCAACAAAAGCTAACAAACTGCTAGAGAACTTCAAAGCACAAGAAATATATAAAATGCCTTCTAGGGTGAAAATAATACCAAGTATATTGTACCTTGGTTCTAAAATTGGATCATTAAATAAGGCAGGTTCAGAGGAATGAACACACAAAACAGGTTTAGACCGTTTTATGGTCAAAAATTCAACGAATTTAAGTATGTGACTTTAATTTGTTTTATATGTGGGTTTAAAGGTATTGCTGAAATCAAAGTGATTTTCGTAAGGAGATTAGTCAAATCGAGACAGTGGTGTACAGTTTGAAAACCTCTCTGTACAAACAGGGGACTTGGTGATATGTATCCACATATATATATTTATGTGTGTGTGTGCATGTTGGTCTCTCTTTCTGTTTGCTCGGTTAGTCTGTGACCACTTCACTTGTATGAACCTGTCTCCTTTATCAATGTATATTCTCCTTATATTATATTATATATAATATGAGTGTTTGTTGACAGTCCTTTGCTTGGTGACATATATCCATATATGTTTGTTGGCATGTCTGCTATATTCGCTATGTATATTTGGATCGACACTCCATTATAATTAGCCATTCATGTTAAGACTGTCTAATGATTTATTCCCACGCTTTGTCTGGAACATTCATATATATTTCGCATACACAATCTTGTGATTTGACTTTACTTACTTACCACTTTGGTGTGAGGCCATTTATTTTCGTCTCCTTGTGTTTGGACAATAGAAGTATCATCGCAAACCTAGTGGTCTTCTGATTTCCGCCTTCTCGCGTCAGGACTATTAGTTTCTCGACTAGTACATAACAATTTGGCGACGGGGAAACTAGTACATAACAATTTGGCGACGGGGAAAACTAGTACATAACACTTGGTCACCTCCTGTGATGAGGACCTCGAAAGATTCAAATCAACCCTGTGATAGACTGCTGCTATCAGCAACAGACAGTAGAATAAGAATACGTCACATAGTATACTACCAGAAGAGCATTAAGGGACTGTTAAATTACTAAGACTTTGAAATAGGCTAAGTAGCCCTCTCTGACCTGCAGATATCGATAGGTTCTCCTCCCTATGTATGCATGACCACACCTACATGTAAATTGACGAACACACTGGCATATGATACCATCGTTCGGATTCTGTGAATGTTTACAGGACAACAGAGACCTCATTTTCTCCATGAAAATACGTTTAGCTGCTTTGTAAGTTCTATAGAGTACCTACCTAAGGTTTTGTTCGGTGATCTGTTTCAAAAAGTTTAACACCCTGATTAAATCTGAAATACAAAGTCTGAATACTATGCATAATCGACGATTTTTATCATGTAAAACTCTCAAGCATTATTATTATTATTATTACTGTCCTTTAGTTCCTAGATGCACGTCTCCATTGACTTCGGTTCTCCGCCGACGCTTTCCTCTGGCTACACGTCTGCCCACATGATTTCATCTACTCTTCGCATCACCTCCTCCATGTCACCCTCACACTGACGACCAACCCGGTGCTTTGATCCTCTCCTTTTGATATTCTAATCGGTTCTGCCTGTAGTTGAAACGATACTTCTAAGGTTGGTAGGTAAAAGAGGTTGCTTCTTTCAGACTTGTTTGTTAATGTTGCTCTTGGCAAGGAATCTTCATCACCTCTGCTTTCTCTATGTTCAGTTGAAATCCTATATCCTCTCTGGATGCTTCTTTTGCAAACTTGTCACTTTTCACTTGCATATCTTCCAGTTTGTGCGAAATCAGAGACATATATCATTGGCTTTAGTGACTTTGTTTGTTGGGAGTCGAACCCCAAACCACAGGCGTAGTTGGCCAGCATTCTACCGCTCAGCCAGCTACAAACGCGCAACAAGATATATATATGGGTATATGAAATACCAAAACACACACACTCTAGCAATACATCACGCTTACCTTGGAGTATTACGATGAACAGAATTCTTCGCGGAAGTAATAGCACTAGCACTAGCAGTAGAGTTGGTATGCTGATTACTGCCATTGACGCTCTCACCGATATGCATTTTAGCCAAATGATAGGCAATAGACACTGGATTAGCCGATACCCTAGTGGATACCGCACTATTTGGACGATCTACTACTGAATGCTGTTGTTTATGGCTGATAAATTGAAGTGATGCTGAAAGTTTTCTATCAAATGCTGATAAATGAATAGGATGAGGTCTGTTAACAAAAGATAAATAATAAATATGATGACGTGTGATACAGAGATACAGTGGAAGAAGGAATTAACTTTGTAAGATACTGAAAGCTTTATTATCTAGCCATTATATGGTATTCCCCCCGCCCCCCTCTTAATTCCTTTAGGAATAAAATATGCTCAAAATTGTATGGACTGCCTAAATTTCAAAGAGTCAGTATTAGGCATGCTTAACTCACCATATCATGAAATAGCTAGATTGGTTGACAGACAGACAGACATACTTAAGCCATTGCAGCTAAAAGTGATTGAAAATATAGCCTGAAGGATAGTTTCACTGAGATAATGATAAAAAAAGAGAAAGCTACTCAAACACAAACTAACAAGAAGCCTTTCAAAACACCGTGAATAGCAATGGACGACAAAAGCGAAAGAGATGGAAAAGGCAATGCCTGTTGGTAAGGGAGACAGGTGGTAAAAGGCGAATGATAAGTGAAACAATCTTTGACAGAAAATAGCACAATAATTGGCTCCCAGGATAGACAATTAGAACGTTGGAAAAAACACTTTGAGGAGCAACTCGACTGTCCTACAGCCACGCCAACCTACCAAAAATCCAACACTTCGCTAATTGGATATAGACACAGGTCCTCTGTCCTTAATTAAGGTTACTAAGGCTATCATTAATCTGAAACGACGTAAAGCTGCAGGACCCGATGGAATGAATTCATAGGTGTTTAAGGATGGCGGAGACAGTTTACTGTCTGGGTTAACTAAGGTATTAGGCAGAGTCATGGGAATCTGAGGAAGTCCCATCGGGTTTGTGTAGGTGACTGATTATCCCGATATACAAGAAGGTAGACATGTCTTCCTGTGATTATCACAGGGGGATTAGCTTGACCAATATGGTATCTAAAGTTCTAGGCTCAATAATCATGCGTAGACTAAATGGTGTGCTCGGGAGGAAAACACATTTGAGAACCAAGCAGGCTTTAGACCAGGAAGAGGGTTATTGACCATGTCTTTACCATTCGATTGATTTTGAAACATACGCATACTTACAGGTGTTCAATAATCGCCATATTTCTTCACCTGAAACCGGCATTTGATTCTGTCGATGGGGAGGTACTCTGGCGATGTTTGGGTGTAAAAAGAATGCCGAGAAAATACATTTCACTTGTCAAAGCACTCTACTCGAAATCATGCAGCTACCCGGGTGAGAGCTTACGGCGAGTTGTCATCTGAAGTGATGACAACCAGTAGTGTTCATCAGGGACTCCTCACTATCCCCATTTCTATTCGATTTCCATCATAGAAACTCAGGGATTGACTTGTTACAACCAGGGAATAATAAGCTCGTTAACTTAGAATATGCAAATGATATAGTTCCCTTATCTGGGTGAAGACGCTGACAAAGTGTAGAGCCTTCTGAACACCTTTAGCTGCAATCTGCGTAGGTTTCGCAAGCGAATGGCTCCAGCAAAATGTAAGATGATGCTACAGGACTGGACTACACTGACTTCTCGCTTAGAAATAGGAAGTGAAGTGGTAGAGCGTGTTGAACGCTTCACTTATTTGGGAAGTCACATCAACTCCAGCGGGTTGATCGCTGACGAAATCTCAGCACGGATACAGAGAGCTTTTTTTCGCATATGCCAGTTTACGTCGTCTCTGGTATAGTGGACTTGATATCGAGCTGACTGGCTGTCGACCAAATGATGTGTGTGCTGCTCAGAAAAGCAGTTCGGAACAGCAACAATAACAACCAGCATCAATCAAAATCAACTGCAGAAATTCGAAAGAGGTTAATTCCTTCACCTATCCCGCTAGGAAGCACCGGCAGTCGGAACGGATGAAGGTGTTAACACCAAACAGAATCGGAAAGGCAAAATACGCCCTCATCAGCCTGAGACCAGTTTGGAAATCTTCTGCACTCATTCAGTCATAAATAACAAGATTCAGATTTTCAACACAAATGTAAAGTCGGTCTTTCTGCGCGCCGGTCAGAAACTTGCACCATGTGTGCATCACGAAAGGGGATTTCCAACAGCCTGTTGCAGACAGGACATTGCTTGAGTGGAACTCAAATGGGAGACAACAGGTGAATCTTCTGTTCGACGGTGACATGGAGGAGGTCATGTGTTGGTCAATCGTGGACTCAGCTGAAGAGCACAGCACCAAATAGGACAAAGTAGAGATAATAGAATAATAATAGTATGACAATAATAATAATAATCTACTTCGAGTTTGATCATCAAGGATTGATACCAGTTATAGAACCATTGGAAACCATCAGGAAGTACTGGATAGATATAAGCCTCTTACAGCTTACCAAACCAAGATATGTTTGCAGCTAGTACGTTTTATGACCTGTCTAAGATAACACACATTACTTGCAAGAGGATTCTAACTAAATTAATATTATTATTATTGTTCCCTTGGGTTCCTTGTGGAACATAGGGCTTTAACTGCACGTCTCCACTTGCCACTTCTGTCTTCTGCTGTACTCGTCACCTGCATCCATGTTGGTTAGTCCATACTCTTTCAACTCCTATTCCCACGATCTCCTCCATGTCACCCTTGCACTGATGACCCACTCGCTGCTTCCCTTTCGGCCTGGTTCCACTCGAGCAATGGCCTGACTCACGATGTCACCCAGTGGCCTCCTCAGTGAGTGTCCGATCCATCACCATCCACTTTCTCCTGCATATTTGTTGGTTGGCGACTGGTTCTGGTTTTGTTTGTTCCCAGCCATAGTTTCTTGTTGGTGATTCTTTCCGGCCATCTGATCTTCAGTATACAGAGAAGATAGTTGTTGATAAAGGTCTCCGCTATTCTAACTAAATAGTTTGACAAGTTTAGAAATAAAATAATAATAAAACAAAATGAGAAAGCAAGCATTCTTTACAAACCGGTGTTTCTTCCTGCTGATATATTTATCCTTTATTTCATTAGATCTATATCTGCCTTGTGGATTATTCATAGAAGAGGCAGAGTCAATTTGATCTGGATTACTCGACCGCATATTATTATTCGTTTGATGAGTAGGTTTCGAAGCAGCAAGACAAGCAACACATGGTATAATACGTTCCACGAGATAAACACCTTCATTCGACTGATTCAATCTTGAACCAAGATCTGGATACCAATCTTCTAATAAAGTATCCATGTGATTCACTAGCTAGAATTAGACAGAAGAAATAAATATAGGTAGAACATGGAACATGGAACAATCAAATGGAACGATGAAATGAAAACATTTTATTTTCCCGATATGATTTTAAAATAACAATCGAATTTTGTTAATATAGCAGGATTTAATGATGGATTCATCAAATTTCGGCAGAACTAATCTTCGTCAGCTGCTGGATACTCTACATACACGGATATATATACAATTTTGAAATTACATTGGGAGATATAAAACTGATAAGCAAATAAACTACATTGAATTAGTCATGCAGAAAGACGAGTGCGAATGTTTTACAGGTCATGTTCAAATAGATAGGGGGAGAGAGAGTATGAGAGATCAAAATTAAGATAAATTGCATTACGCTTCAATTACATCACTTAGATAAACGATTAGTCACTAGAGAATATAACAAGAATTGCAAACAGACTAATATCAATAGTAATAGTTATAATAACAATAATAATAATAATAATAGTGTTGAAGTGAGTTAAGATAATCCTACTGATAAAGGATGGTTTTTAAATGAATCAGGAATAGTAATAATAATGAGAGTTAGACTAAAGTGTTAATAATATTAATAATAACATTGGTAACAGTTAATAAGTAAAAGGTATCACCATGGTAGATTAAGAGTAACGACCTTTTGTACACAGAGACCCGGTTAATAAACTGGAATTGCACAAGCCTCCTCCGCAATAATTGCAAGCATCTCCCTGTTTCTTTGTCTGCTTACAGACAACATTAAATGACTTGACAACGTCGATATCATGTCTGTAGTCCACAAGATGGCACTTTGCATTCAACTATTTTCAACCATTTTGGTAAATGCTCAATGATGCGAGTAGACAATCGCCTTTCTGTACGACCTATGTATTTGCTTCCCTCATAAACACACTCAAATTTGAACATGACCGGAAAAACAGAACCCTGATACATTATGAAAAATAATAGATGCGCCATACTAAAATCTTGTAAATTGTACGGGGTCTGGGATACTACCCGAATACACCAACCGAGGCAAATGGTTCTCTTAAGGGGTCGGTTCCGTCATGAGCCTCTGATTTGAAGTCTGATCCATAGGACAGTGAAGCAACGTTCCCAAGGTTGATGGTGAACGAAACAGGTTCGAACCATTAGGATTTTGGAGATCATTTGTACCCCAAGGGTTTGGAATTAGAGATTTCTGGCTTCTTATAGGTAGTTAACCTATACGTCCAACAAACCGGTTGTAAGTCCCAGACGCTTACATAACCACTCCTTTTAGTTTTGTGAGGAATATTCCCCGCCACCACTGCCACATGAAGGCAGTGAATGGCTGACTGCCTGGATTCAACATAATACTTTGGACTTATAAGCAGCAGTACGAGTCGCCAAACTCCCTCCATGTAGCACACAAAGCAAAACAGGAGAGTAAAAGGAAACACCAAATAGAGACAGTAAACAGACATATGAGGTAAAAGGAATAGTAATATCGAAGAACAATATAGTTTCACTGGATATTATAAATCACAAGGAGTGGATGCATCTGCGCCAGCCATTGACAACGATGAGTTTCAGCCATATCACAAATTGTCTCGAGTTGTCATTGGTGTTTACCATCCCAAGGACCCCAACTAGTCAGGAAGTCTACACGCCTCACGCGGTTAACCTTGCCCGTCAACGAAGGCGATCGGTGGCCAGGCATGAGTAACACATATCACGACTGTCTCAATAGATGTAACTTCACAGCCTCGTCGATTGATTTCCCCTCTTTAATTACCTAGCACTCACTCGGCCGATGCCTAACCTCAATATTCCTCACCATATTATACCATTTCACACGGGAGGTCGAACGCAGGTACCTTTGATTAAAGACAGTTAGCCGGGCTGTTCATTTCTTCCATTCTCAATGGTCAGGTCTCACAGCCATAAAGGAGGACGGAGCGGACTGATGAGCAAGACACATGCCCTTTGGTCGACAGCCAGTCGGATATCACGTCTATGCCACTGACGGCGTAAACTGGCATATGCGAAGCTAGCTTTTTGTATCCGTGCTGAGATTTCGTCAGCGATGAACCAGCTGGCGTTGGCTGATGCAACTCCCTAAATAAGTGAAGTAGTCAACACGCTCCACCACCACTTCACTCCTTGTCTTTGAGATAGGAGCCAATGTAGTCCAGTCCTGTAGCATCATCTTACATGTGAAAGCAAGAGCGAATCTCATGCCGAACATTCGAAGATTGCAACTGAAGGTGTTTAGAAGACTCTGCACTTTGTCAGTGTCTTCACCTAGAAGGGATGATCATATCATCTGCATATTCTAAGCCATCGAGGTTATTCCGTGACGGGAACAAGTCAATCCCTGAGTCTCTGTAGTGTGTTAGAGTTAAGTCCATTAGTACATCTATACTGAAATTGAATAGAATAGTGAAAAGAACAATTTAACTAGCACAGAGAGAGGATATAAACGCGTGGCGGCACGAGAGAGACAGAGAGACAGCATTTCGTTTGGGAGGACCAAAATCTACTAACAATTTGCTGTACCACAGCGTTATTTACGGAGACTAATATATATATATATATATATATATATATATATATATATACATGCATAATAAACAGAAACAGTTTAGTAAACCTACTTTTGTCAACAGTTCAGCTATCGAACGTTTATCAGCAGTTAAGCACTGTTCAACAATATGACGACTTTTGTGACCCTTAAATCTTGATTGATATTCTGTTTGATTGGGATCACCGCCATCATCGTCCTCCTCCTCGCCATCAGCATCATCATCATCATCACCATCATGATTGTCATTATCAGCTGATGAAGATTTATTTTTCATTGGTTGATGCTTCCAATAAATATTATAATTTGGTAAATAGATTTCTATAAGACATGAAGTTTGAAATGCATCTAGAAAACAAAAAGAAAACATACAACAGCAATAAGGTTTGCATAATGACACGTAAACAACAAGAAGCGTGATACAAATTGTTGCCTTCTATGGGAAAGTTAAACTTTAAGCATCACTAACTATCATCAATCAGCGAATGACCTTGAACCAAACCGATAGCTGATACCTTGACGTGGTGGTCGTCGGGCTTGTACATCGCGATGACCTAATCAAGCTATACTGGCTGGAACCAATATTCCTGCAGGTCCTACCATGCCGAGAAGGTTGTTAGGATAGCGATTAGACTAATAAAAGCAATTACCGGCATTGTGTAAGAATCTTTCTCACACTATGCTGGGGGTATGAGGGTGAAGTCGTACTGCTGGGGAACAGGGGTGTAACATTAGTGAGGTGTTTCCCTCAGGTGACCAGCATGCCACCTATGCTGTCGGTCCACTCCGGAGAGAAGGGGTTAGAAAAGGTCGACCCCAAGAATTGTAAATCCCGACTTACTCCACTTACAGTGGTCCATAACCGGCGATAAGTTTACTAATACAGAAGCAACCCCAGAAACCAGTTCATACAGTCCGTGTGCGACCGGCCTCAAGCAGTTGTTCCCTGGGCTCTGCGGTCACGCAACACTAACCCTCTTTCTGTTTCAAGTACCCGAAGAATCAATCAACTTCAACGGTGAGGGCAGCCGGGAAGTGACGGCAGCCCACACACTTCCAAAAGCACACGAAGCCTTCCTGAGCACCATTCTCCTTTACTCACATCACCTTCCTCATCTTGCTTCTCTACTACAGCTAGTACTATTCTGCAGGCTAGTGAGTCATCTTCACTTCACTCCGTGACCACAAACAACGGTGAGAGCCATAAAAACACCCCAGAAAGCCTTTTAAAGCCACGTCGCCAACTTCATATAGGAGCATTTAACGTCAAGACCCTCCGCCAAATCGGACAATAGTTGGAAACAATTGGTGATATGGTTCAAAACCATTCTCAATGACTGGTACAGATGCATCCACTCCTTGTGAACTATGATTTCCAATGAAACTATATTGTTATTCGTTACTTCTATTTCTTTGTCTCACACCTCTGTTCACTGTCTCTATTATGCATTTCTTCTACTTTCTTCTATTGCTTTGTGTGCTACATGGAGGGAGTGTGGCGACTTGAACTGCTGCACACATCGGTGCAAAGTTCTATGTCGAAAACAAACAGACTGACAGAATGACCTTGAATGATTCAATGAGTTTCATCCACGTAAGTTGAAGATTCTATTCCGCTTGATTTGAGTCAAATGTCAGGAAAGGTAAGCTGATGATTTAAATATTTCGTGGATACATTTTTTGCCAAGTCACACTTGTTCTTAATCCAGATTTGATATATTTGTAGTTACTGGGTTTTGAAACAGCCTGTGATAGGTGATGATAGCTGCTGAAACAAAGAAAAATATCTTCTATCAACAGTTCAGTGACACCAGCACTGGAGAGGTATCGCTTCATAGAAAATGGAGAGAAGGTGTCATTGTACACGTAGATGAGTGGAAAGGTTATAACTCCATGTCTTCCCTTGGATATATTCATCACTGAGTCAACCATTCTAATGATTTTGTAGATCCCATTACAGGGACACATATCAGTTCTATAGAAGGCTTTCGGGCAAGATTAAAAACAGGATCAGGCCCATTATTGGATTTCAAAGGGATGTCACTTATAATCACTTAGATAAAAAAAATATACGTATAGAATGTGGTGTAACTTTCCAGTTGATACTCCTATGCTCGACTGCGAGATGTTTTAACCACATGTCAGAGAAAGGTATCCTGTGAAATATTTTTATGCAGTTTTTATGCATTTTTTTCTATAACCAAAAATGTCTCTTTCATATGATTGGTTCGTTGAAAGTCGTTCGCTGATTGGTAGTTAGTGATGCTTAGTTTAACTTTGCCCTTTCTATAATGTGGTTGGCAACAACAAAAGCAACAACTAGTGTAACAACAGAAGACAAGGGCCAGGCAACAGATCGTTTTATTATGAAAATCAACACGTATTTATACATATTTCACATACATTATTACAGCTTATGCAAGTAGACAAGCGCAGTCATCTGATTGGTTGTTTATCAGAAGTTAGGCAGACAAACGCAGGCTTCTGATTGGTTGTTTAGGGATTCCTCGACAAATAGAGTTCTCTATCTGCGAATCATATTTTCCCACGTTAACTTTGCTGTGATTGGTTGTTAAATCAGCCTTGTACATATTTTCTCACGGCCTGCTATCACCACACTAGCACCAATTAACATCAACAGGAAAGATTTAACAGACGTTACCGCCTTCATTAATCTGGGAAGCATAGTTTCAAATACAGGAGGAAGGTTGGGCATGATGATAGGAACTCCATCCCGTTGAACACACAAACCACTGCTACTGAAACCTCAAGCCTCTAGATTAAAGCACTATTTTCCGATGGGAAAGTAAAAGAATTAAAAAAAACAGGTGGCAATTACAAGTAAGATAAACCTATATTATGGATAATCCCCATTTAGGCATTTATATGAAGTATATATGCATCCTGTCTGTCCGTTTTCAACATAGAATTTTGCACCAATGTGCACCAGTTCAAGTCGCCACACTCCCTCCATGTAGCACACAAAGCAAGAGAAGAAAGTAGAAGAAATGCATAATAGAGACAGTAAACAGAGGTGTGAGATAAAGGAAGAAGAACAATACAGTTTTATTGGAAATCATAAGTCACTAGGAGCGGATGCCTCTGCGCCACTGAGAACGATTTTGAAACATATCATCAATTGTTTCCAACCATTAGTGTTTACCGTCCCGAGGACCCCAACCTGGAAGTCTACACCTTCCTACGTGGCTGGCTTAAACTAACTGTTGTAGATTTCATTGACTGATGAAGCCATGTTTTGGTTTGACCACCGCTGGCTTGACCCTATGTCAGCTAACATTGCCTGTTGTCGAGGAAGGCAATGACTAGGCATACGTAACACATGTCCTAACCATCTCAGTCGATGTCATTTCACAGCCTCGTCGATTGATTCCCCCTGTTTACCTAGCACTCGACGCCTAACCACAATATTGCTCACCTTATTATACGACCTGACATGGGAGATAGAGCACAGGCACCTATGATCAAAGACAGCTAACCAGCCTTTTCGTGTCTTCCACTTTCAACGGCCAGGTCTCATAGCCTTAAAGGAGGACGGAGCGGACTGCTTTGCTGAGCAGTACACTCGCCCTTTGGTCGATAGCCAGCCGGATATCACGTCTACTAAGCCGCAGACGGTGTCAAGGCGAAACTAACCCTCTGTATCTGTGCTGAGATTTCGTCAGAAATCAACCGTTGGCATTGGCTGATGGTACTTCCCAAATAAGTGAAGCGGTCAACGTGCTCTATCACTTCACTCCCTATATACATCCTGAAGAGACTAAAAGATGCACTGGATATAGAACTCCTCTACTATGGAGATGCCCAAATCTTTATCAACCTCATTCAACAACTCTATGACAGAAAAATCAGAGAAGCTTGTAAAGTGCAGACAGGAGAGTGAAATAAAGCTGCTATCTACTATCATCGATGATATTCCTAGTAGTGGTGGACTGAATTATGCGACAACCTGTGGAGACCAGATGTAGTCAGGAATAAGTCGGACTCATAAGAAGACTATAGAAGATCTGGACTTCACAGACGATTCGAAGACCTACAGTTAAAAACAGACAAGTTGGAAGAAGACGCCGGCAGAAAAAGCACGACTTCAAGTGAATAATAAAAATAAAGAGGTGATGAAGATAACCACCGACCACAACCACCAACAAGAATCGATCGCCATCGACGAATCACATTTCAAAAATGTCACTACCTTCCCTTATCTAGGCAGAATCGTTTCAACTACAGTTGGCCCGGATGAAAATATCAAAATTACAGTCGGAGAGGCAAGCCAAACATTTATCACTTTGAAATTAGTGTGGGAATCTGCTTCATTCAGCATAAATAACAAAATTCGGATTTCCACACCAATGTTAAGTCAATCAGCTGTCCTCTTTGGGCTAGAAACTTGGCGAAATCGTCATGTGAAGGCATTTTCAACAGACAACTGTAAACTTCTCTCTATAGCTACCTTCGCCAGCGCCATACTGAAGATCTGAGGGCCAATCAGATAGATTAAGCAATAAGAAGCTCCAGGAATGAACCGATCTAGAGTCTCCTGCTTAACATATATTCCGAGGAAACTGGGGATAAATCGGACACATACTGAGGAGACTGTTGGATGACATCGCGTACGACGCCATCCGTCCGAATGGAACCCGAGTAGTGGGAAACGGACAGTTGAGCGTCACTCCGAGGGTAACATGGAGCAAATGAGAGTTTACGAGCAGTTCAGGGATGAGCTAAGGAGGACTGCAGAGAACATGATAAAACCCAAGGATAATACATGTATACATATCAAGAGTTGAATTACCGTGTTCTTCATCAACCAAATGACCATTATTTCTCAACGCGAAATCTGATACTGTTTTAACTGTAGATGAATTATAAAATGGGAATCTAGCTGCTGCCATAGCTTTCAATGATGCTGGTGAAGATGTTATGGGTGATGATTTTGTTGGCACTGTTCCCTCCGTGATCGTCGGCACCTCTTCCTCTTCTTCTACCGTCCAATGCATAAGACGTAAATAACGTCCCTCATAGGAGTGTTGTATTGTCTCAACAACCCCACTACGATAAACACCATAGGCGTTTGATGCAGTAGACAGCGTTGAAGAGTTCTCCTTCAAATAACAATTATTATTATTATCATTTTTATTATTATCATAAAATTTTCTATTTCTTGTCAACACTTCTTCACCTTCAATTGCACATGGTTCATCCCATTCTTCTTCAAGTAGATTTTGTTGATAGTATTGTAGCATAGAAGATAAATCATTTTTATCACATAAAGAGGTTGAACAAGATAGTGAACTGGATACTGGGGAATTATTTGACATACGACTGTTTGATTTATCAAGTGAATGATTCTGAAAGTGAAGTAGAGTTCGGATGGTAAAAGATGCAAATTAAAACAAAAGTGCATATATCAGCTCATATGTCAAATATATTTCATCATAATTTAATCACATGATTGCTATTAAATAGAAGTTGATGGGGTTCAAACGATTGGCCGCGGCTGAATCCCCGACCACCAACGCACTTCTAAGCCTTGTCTACAGTAGAGAAGGAAGACTTGGCGTGAGACTAGCTAGCAATCCCATCTCGCCGGAAATAAACACCGGTGCTCCTGAAACTCCGAAGTTCACACTTGAAGCCCTATGTTCCACCAAATGTAACGCATACGAGTAGTAACAGTGTGGTGAGAGCTGTCTGCTAGCCGAAATTGGTAGACAACAATTTACGTCAATGTTTACGTCCCAAATCTTGGTCATAAGAAATGAACAAGAACAAAGACTGATTCAACAACCCATCACAGCTAACTTTGCATGGGCGGATACAATTAGCAGATAGATGATCTGACCTTCAAGAAACAGCCATGAAGAGATTACAGAATAACTTCCAACGAGAAAACAACCAATCAGAAAACGTTACCGCTGTGCTAACAATAAGGCTCATAATAATAATGTACATAAAAATCTATAAGTAAGTGTTGATTTTCTCAACAAACGATCTATTGCCTGACTCTTGTCTTCTGTAGTTACAGCTGGATATAAAGGAAAAGCAGAAAAGAAATCTGGTAAAAGATAAGCTCATCTAGGACATATCGCTCAGTAAATGGGCACCAGTGAAAATAGGGATGGATATAAAAAAACGGTGAGGAAATCGTTGGGTAACTTAACACGTCAAACCAACCAGGATATCAATTGAAACCCAAATAGGAAACGACGAGTTGAGTATGGGAGGTGCGAATGTCACATGCCGGAGGAGATAATGTGAGGAGGAGGAGAAGTAGGACGAAATGACAGTGCATGGTCAATCTTGAAGAGTCAGGTGAAAGTGACTGGTGTAGAGGACAGCATAAAACAGAAGTTTCCCTTATAATCCGAGGGAATAATGATAAACTAACAATACTGATAATTACTTACTCTTAACAATGCACAGTTTGTTCGTGTCAATTGTTGTAAACGTGCTAAACCAATACGTCCATGACCAAACGACAATCGCATACCACGTTTCCATACAGTCCATTCAGGTTTCATAAAATTGGCATATGCTGCCTGTGAAGATGATCTGTGAGTACCAACAACGCTTCCTCCATTGTCATTGTCATTATCACAACAGTAACAAAAAGCATTCCCATGAACAGGATGGTTAGAATGATGGTTACAATGCATGGGGTTTTTGTTGCTCAGTAACTGCTCAAGCAATTGAGGCGGTAATTTTGATAAATTATAAATACGTCTAAGTATCAAATGCGGAGAAAACAAAAAACACAAACCAAAAGCTGTATGAATACCAAATATCCAAAAGGGTATATATAAAACTCAGCAGTCAACTCCGTCCTTCTTTTATGGCTGTCAGACATGGCCATTGAAAGTGGAAGACATGTAAAGCCTGGTTAGCTGTCTTTGATCATAGGTGTGTACGTTCTACCTCCCATGTTAAGAAGTGGTATAATAGGTTGAGAAATACTGAGGTGAGGCATTGGTCGAGTGCTAGGTAAAGAGGGAAATCAATAGATGAGGCTGTGAAGTTACATCGACTGAGATGTATAGGACATGTGTTACGCATGCCACAGAGCCATTGCCTTCCTCGATGGACAATGTTAGCTGAAATAGGATGGATCAAGTTAGAAAAGAGCCAGCCAGTGGTGAACAAACAAAACATGACACCATTCAATGAAAATCACAACAGTTAGTTTGAGCCAAACACGTAGGTAGATGTAGATTTCCTGGTTAGGGTGCTCTGGACGTAAAACCCAATGAAGGCTGGAGATAATCGATGATACAACTCAAACTCATCGTTGTCAATGGCTGGCGGAGATGCATTCACTCTTTGTGATTTATAATGTCCAATAAGATGACATTGTTCTATATCACTATTCTTTTGCCTCATATCTCTGTTTACTGTCTCTGTTTTGAATCGCTTTTTATTTCCATGGCTGGCTTTGTGTGCTGAGCAAAGTGTGGCGACTGGAACTGCCGCACATCATGGCAACGTTCTATGTTGAAACCAGTCAGCCAGTCAGTCAGATGACTCGCAATGTGCTGACATTGGTTAGAGAACCATAGTAAAACCAGCCACAGGGAGTACTGTACAGCTGTTTCGTCGTAGTTTGAGACTCTTCACCAGTACGCACTCACCACCAGGGTTGAGACCCAGAACCTTCTGGTTACAAGGTTATCGAGCTCGTAGACCATTAAGCCACCGGGACCCACCAATCCAATGGCCAGCCCATGAATTCTAACTTCTGCCAATTCATGATATAGCGCAACCGCTAGGCAATGTCTTCGGTGGCGAGTTTTCATCCTTACACTAGACCTGCTGCACCTTACTGATCACGACTTCTCACTACCTACCTGTGAGAATCTCATCGATATTCAAGTGCTGGTTTGTAGGGATTTGATCGGTTACAAGATTTCATCATGAAGTGGCATTGGACGAAACAGATGTCCAGTACTCCAAAATTTTCCAATGGTTCTCTAAGTAATGTCAGCTCATGATGAAATCCATTCACTGATTCCAGATTAATAAAAGTCCTGTCATCCATACCACAGCCTTTAGTTGGAATGATGCTGGCTAGGTAAGAGTCAAAGAGGTGTGACCGCCTTCAAATTTCTGCCTTCGATAGTGTTTGCTGTGTGTGTTGTCGTTATGGTTGACACAGTCGGGTATCTTCATCAAATTTATTTTGTCTAGGTCCATCTGAAATCTTTCCCGTCTTCTAATTCTACTTCACGACAATCACAAATGTAAACAGCAGACAGCCTTGTCTTACTCTTGTCTTCACTTCAAAAGCTTCCCTGAATTTCCTGATGTGAATCAGCTAACACTTTGTATCATCACACAGTTGTTGAAGAAGGTTAACTGGGGTGGGGAGAGGGGGGCGTTTGAGGCACTCCACAGTGTTGAAGGAGTTTCCAAATAACTTCGCTACAGAAACTTCAACGTAGAGTTAAAAAAAAAAGGGATAATAATATAAGCAATCAGTAATCATTATTAAACTACTGCTGAAAATTACCCACAAATTTCATGTAAACTTGTATCATTCAACAATCGTGTATTCAACTGTATCCAAAATCCCATTGGTATATACGTGACACAATACAAACGTACAATTTCTTTACTAGCTGACGTTTGAACTGACCAAATAACCTGTTGTCGTGATGATTTACAGTCGATTTGTTCAGTACTACATATATGACCTTCTGCATTACTCAAGTCTTTATAGTCATTCTTGTTCACTAATTTGGATTTATACTGTTGATATACATCCGATCGTATGTTAGCTGGAAAACTAACCGATTGTGAACGTACATGAATTTGCTGTAGTGAAAGGAAGACAAAATAAAAACAGATAGTACTTTTTAATTATATAAGTAGACAGTGTAATAGAAGAAAAAGAAACCTTGAAAAGAATGGATACTGAACAAAGAGTACTCTTTTCGATAACGTCATCATCATCATCAGGCTCTACAGTTATAAACATACATTATAGTGAATGAATGAATTAGTGTTATGAACAACATTAGTGTTGCTGTTTAAATAACATCGAATCAACAATATTGATGGATTACAGCTCAATAGCATCAACATAAAACAAGCTGAATGTCAGAAAAATTAGGAAAGATAATATTACAAATTCATGAATTTATAGTATCTACTGAAGGCCGGCCAGGGGAGTAATAGTGGCTGGCTGGCCTGATTCGTTTTTGATGCACACACAGCACTGGTTGTTTGAGGCGAATTGCAATAGCCTCTGCTGTTTGGAACATGCGGTGCTTCGATGATTTCGGCAATTTATTAGGCACCCGGTAGTAGATGACGATAGAGAAGGATTCTTCAACGCTGACTTTGTGGCCGGTTTGCAGCAGATGGTCCAATATAAAACTGTTTGTGGTTTTAACTACACCTTTACTTAGCAATTGTGGGATATGTTCCCGAGCAAGCACGAAAAATCAAGTTCCTAGAGCAACGGCTAATATAACTCGCTCCACAAGCGAAGTTGAATTGGTAGATACAATTTAAAGTGGCTAGCTGATCTAGGTATTTCATTTTCAGTCGAGGAATCACCACCATCGGTCGTGTAGAGAATAATACGTGTAGTTCTCCAGCATTAAAAGTCATTTGAACTGATTTTCTTAATTTCCTCGTAATTATCTCACTTGGTACATCGCCCTTGAATTGCAGTCGTATATAAAGTGGCTTTTTGTTTACAGATAGTGAGTAGTCCTTTTCTGCTTTCTTTGTTATTTAAACAACATTAATGTTGTTCATAACACTAATTCATTCATTCACTATAATGGATGGATAAATAACTGTAGAGCCTGATGATGAATTTATAGAAAAGAGTACTCTTTGTTCAGTATCCATTCTTTTGAAAAACATTTTAATGGGCATTTTTAATCAGTTAAAAAGAAATCCGACAGGAAACATGAAACTGTATGGATACGGAGGTGGACACAAGCGGTAGTTTACCCTTGACGAATTATCGAATCATATTTCGGCGAGTAAATACCAAGTGTAAGTCAGCTGCATTATAATACCGTTTAATGCATTTAGATAACGGTTTTTCAAGTATTGGTTTTGTAGGGATTTTGTTTGATTGGTTGGAGGAGTCGTAGTGGGAAGCCGCGACCAATAGAGTACAGCAGATTGAGGTGAGGCAGTAACTCATCGAAGAAGAAGACATTGCGAAGTGGTCACGCTATATCATGAATTTACAAAAGTTATAATTCATGGGCTACCCATTGAATCGGGTCGCAGTGAGTGGGTCTAAAAGCTGGCTAGCCTTATAACCAGAAGGTCCTAGGTTCGAGCCCTGGCGATGGGTGTCTACTGCTAGAGAGCCCGAAAAAACTAGGCTGACGAAACAGCTGTCTAGTACTCCCTGTCTGATTTTCCAATGGTTCTCTAACCAATTTCAGCTCATGATGAAATCCTCCAAACAAATAAACGACTTTTAATGACTTCAGCAACAGTGTCACAACTTTGAATACCAAACTCATAACCAGTGTTTTCCTTGGCTGGGGATGGTTTCTTCCTTGATGTTTCTATCGATAAAACTTCTAGGATATCCAATTCGCCAGAAGTCTGCACTAGTTGAAATGTGATAGAACTAACTCTTGAAGTCTTCAACCTGATTAGTGTTTAACTACTCATGCGTATGCTTGTCTCTCTGCACTGAAAATAGGCGACACAATCAGAATCAATACCTCGAGACATAGCAGTGATATGTACGGGTAACTTCCAACTAACTTAGACAAGTTCCATTTATCTACGGATTCTTATGCACCCTATTTCCTGTTTATAAAAATATTACTTGTGACAATAAGGTAATAAATACAGGTCAATATCCCTCTCGTCTATAAAATTGTGGGTTTTTGCGAGAATCCAAATGTGGTTAGTTTTTATTCAATAGAGTTTTCTGTGCGTATTAATGGACAGAAGTTAGAATCAATCAGAACTCTGGCAGGTGACATTTGACAATTAATCTAGGGCTCACTGACTACTCTACAGAGTGAGGCTGTCTCCTATAGAAGTCCTGGTAGAAAGTCGAAACCAACGGAGTCTCACCAACTGACTAACTGACTAGTTTCAAAGTAAAACTTTGCACAGATGTGCAACAGTTCGAGTCGCCACTCTCTCTCTATCTTCAAGTAGCACACAAAACAAGAGAATAAAGTTAACAGAGATTCAAAACAGAGATAACAAACACAGATATGAGGCGAAAAGAATAGCAATATGAAAGAACAACATATTTCTATTGGGTATTATAAGTGACAAAGATTGGATGCATCTACGCCAGCCAATGAGAAAGATTTTGGGCCATATCACCGATAACTGTCTCCAGGCATTGGTTTTTACCGTCCGAAGGACCTCAAACAGTCAGGCAGTCTACACCACCCTATGTGGATGGATGCCTGGCTCAAAAACTGACTGCTGTGGATTTCATTGACTGATGAAGTCATGTTTTGGTTTGACACCACCACTAGCTGTTTTCCAACTTGATCAATCCTTTGTCAATCAGGTCACATTGCCCGTCATCGAGGAAGGCGGTGGCTAGGGATTCATGCGTAATATGTGTTCTAACCATCTCAATCTATGTATCTTTACAACCTCTCAAAGCTGGGTATAAGAACATCCACCCACACTGATGACAATGGTTAGTGATGGTTGCGTTATATATATATCAGAAACTGCCAGAAGTAAGAATTCATGGACCGACCATTGGATTCCACTCCTTGCCTTACAGCCTGAAAGTTTCGGGTTCTGGGTGCGTTACTGTATGCTGAAGAGTTCCGTACTAGGACGAAACAGCTGTTCAGTAACTCTATGCTGTTTTTTCAGTAGAATCCTCCATGAACAACCTTGAAACGCATCAGAAGACAAAGAAGGGGAAGTAATTTATTTTAATTTACCTTATATCTAATGACTGCTGGTTGTAAATACGAATGTGGTCGACATGATTGAAAACAACGTGTAGCCAATAAGGATGGTATTAAATATTGTCGATTATTATTATTATTATTATTATTATTATTATTATTATGATTATTGCCGTTACGACTAATATTCATATCACCAACATAAATAGGTATAATTAATTCCATTTGTTGAAGTAATTCAATACAAATACTTTCCAGTTGGATATTTCTTCTGCTAATGATCTGACGATCAACATCATTGCTGGTGTCACCGTGATCATAATCGTCGTTCTTTTCGCATTTATTATCGTCATTGTTATCAGTTTTGAGTAGACATTTTATCAATTGTAATAGATAAGATGATTCCATAACAGCTAAATATATATAAGAGAAAACAGAACATATTGTAAATTCACTATCACTATATCAAAACTTCTGTTTAATATATATGTGTAAAACTTGGGCACTGTGGTAGTAAGTAATTCCATATTATGTGTGCGGAGCTCTATCTTAGAACACCTCATCGACTCCTGTCACGCGGTCAACCCTGACCATGATTTCAAGGTCTTATATAGAATTCATGCCAACTTCCCGCATTTCCTTCGTTACAGACTTCTAAAGACAGCTGAGGCCTTGGCAGTTCATGACTTTAAGCCAGCCAGACCTTTGTGTACAAAAGAAGTATGTACAATCCCTACTGCTGCCTTGGCCGTAGAGGGATAGACATTTATTTTATTATTTTATGTACTTTTCCCTTATTACTTCGATTATTATTATTATTATCATTATCATTATTATTATTATTACGACTCTCATTCTGAATCTTTTCCACTTGATCTACTTGACATTTTAAACCAAAAATTATTCATGTGTATACTTTTTATCTTTATTTTTACAATATTAAGTTCTATGTTATCAAATTTCACACGATGTTACGTAACATCTTATATTCGTCTATTAATCCTATAATTATATGCCTCTCCCCAAAATCTATAAACCTGATGTATTACCTTATATATGACATTAATTATCGTTCCACTTGACTTAAACTATGAACCTAATCACAAATATTTTAAATTTATTTCATACTATTATTATTTCATGTATTTACACCTTTGACCTAATTCCCTCACCGGATATAATTTCTTTATAAAACCATATGTATATACGATTGTACAGCTTGATAATAAATTCGTTGATGAAAAGAGTCTCTTCGCTGAAAATTGTGTTCTTAATTCCATATTAGTTTGTTTATTAGATGTATCACACAGTCAGTGAAACAGTATTGTTATTTACTGGATGACAATGTTACGAACAAAATTTATTCCGATTCATAATCACATCAACTGCGATCACACGACTTCGAAACTTGAGTTTTATATTTTTCTTTGTTCTCTCCAAATTTCTCGTCATCGTGTTGGTAGTAGAATTTTCTAGATATCCGACTTGACAGGTGTTGAATCATTCCTATTACACGTGTTGGTCTCCAGTTGATTTGATAAAAATAAAGCTTCTGTTGTCAATCTCTCCATCCATTCAACTGTTACATTAGATTTTAAAAGTGTCATCCTATCCCATCCATCCTATTGTATCGTTGTGTGTAATTGCATGTGGTGTAATGCTATAGCTGAACTACTCTCTAGATTTCTTATTGTCAGTGTAGTTGAAGATTGAACGACCAATTAATGGTTGTTTGCGCGAACCCAACTCCTCTATAATTTTGCGGGAGCCATCAATCCAACAGTCATCTTCTCATCGTTCGCTGTTCAGTGGAAGACAGAAAACTATCAAAAACCTTGTGTATAATAACCTTATTGTCGGTTACATATTGGCGTAAGAATAAAGGATTCTCGAGTCGCCAATCTGTGTTCTGGTTTTTCGCGTTGGTTATTACAAATTGTTTCTGAAAGTCTTCCAGGGACAGCGGGAGGTCCAGCATAGTAAGAGCTGAACATTGACAGTTTGTGAGAGCTGGCTGACACTTATTTTATAAGAGTCAACCAATCTAGATTTTTCAGCTAGGTTTTTATGCTCCGCTAGACTGACTGACTGCCCCTGTTCTACTAGTTTGACCTGTGTATTTGACCTATGTATTATTGTTAATAATAATAATAATAGTAATATTAATGACGACAAGCATGTCAAACATGCCCAAGACAACACCATCAATAAGGAATTTAAATCACCAGCAGTAATTCTCTACAAAGAAAGAACCTCGTAAACCACCTTACGCAGAATTCTTAAAAAGACAGGAATAAAAGTGGCTGGCATTCAAACCACCCACAAACTCAACTAGAAACAAGCTTTGTCGATTAGAGGATAAATCCTGTGGGGAGCCTTTAAAACAAAACAATTTAGTTTATCTAATACCCTGCCAACAATGATTGTCAGGTCAAATACATAGGTCAAACTAGTAGAACAGGTGCAGTGGGTCAGACTAGCCGAGCATAAAAACCTAGCAGGAAAATCTAGATTAGTAAACCCAAAAAAGATAAGAAATCTAGAGGATAGTTCAGCTACAGCACTACACCAAATGCAGTTACACACAACCAAACAATAGGATGGGATAAGATGACAGTTTTAAAATCTAATGTAACAGGATGAATGGAGAGAGAAATTGATAACAGAAGCTTTGTTTATCGAATCAGCTGCAAACCACACGTGTAATAGGAATGATTCAACACCTGTCCACCCAGATATCTGGAAAATTCTACTACCCCGATGACGAGAAATAGGAGAGAACAAAGGAAACTATAAAACTGAAGTTCCGAAGTCGTGTGATTATAATTGATGAAATGATTATGAACAGTAATAGATTGTTTTGGAAACTATGTGATACATCTAATGAACAAACTAATATCAAACTTCTGTTTGTTATCTCAGTCAGCATAAAATAATATAACTAACTACAAGGAAAGCCATAGAGAACCCTTTGGACTAAGAATAAGATAAGCTATTATGAACCAAAATGGCTGTAATCAAACAGAGCTTTATCCATGGGTTCACGTGAACATGTATCCATATGGTTAAGTAAAGAGGGAAGCAACTGTTACCATATGTCCAAACCAAGTTTTACTTTTAACAGTTTGAAATTATCATACTTTAGCATAAGCGGAATAAGACCATGAAAGTTGGACGTGTTGAACTAACTTTTTTCGTACGGATCTGGTCGATAATGAGATCACCCTACCTCATCTAAACGGCGAAAAGTTATTTTGTATCCGTCCTATCTCTACTGCTGAAGCCAGATCTCTGTGTACAGACAAAGTTCGTTCAACCTCTCCCCACCAACTTTCATGGTCTTAATCCCTCCTCTATACTGAAGTATGGTAATCCCTATTCAAATTTGTCTCTACCACTTTTTTTCATTTTGTCTATTCAATTTGTATACTCACTCTTCCTTTATTACAATGTCAATTGTTACTATTACTACTTTCACTTTGAATTGTCCCCGCTATTATTTCACTTGTTCCACTTATCATTCTAAATCAACGTTACATTCTATGTTATCAAATTCCACATAATGTTGAGTAAAATTTTTACTGTTATTCTATTTGCCTTTCAATCCTGTAATTATACAGCCCTTTCCAACAGCTATACGTCTTATGAGAATAATTCTAGGGTACACCAGATTGAAGATGAGGCAGTAACTAACTCATCGAAGAAGACATTGTGAAATGGTCACCCTATGTAATGAATTGGCAGAAGTTAGAGTTCATTGACCATTGAATCAGGTCTCAGTGCCACAATGGTCTACGAGCTCGCTAGCCTTGTAACCAAAAGGTCCTGGTTTCAAGCTCTGGTGGCGGGTGCGTACTGTGCTGGAGAGTCGCAAACTGAAACGAAACAGCTGTCCAGTATTCCTTGACTGATTTTCCAGTGGTTCTGTAACTGATGTCACCTCATGATGAAATCTTCGATCTAATTCCATATATGACATTAATTGTTTTACCACTATGATTATAATCGAAAACATTTTAATTGCATTTCATACTATTACCATTTCATGTAATCACACGCTAGTAGCACAGCGGTAGAATGCTCGCCGACCACGCCACATGTGGTCCGACGTTCAATCCCCAGTCACCAACGAAGCACTCCTTTACCTAGCTAAACCAGTAATAAGAGTGGTAAAAAGAGAAGGTTAGGCATGAGGTTGGCTAACGACCTCATCCCATAAAATAAAACACACCACTGCTACGGAAACCTCACACCTCTATCTTGAAACCCTATGTTGTTCCTCTGGTAAAGTACACGAATAAAATTTAAAAAAAAAAACGTTTGATTCAATTCCCCTACCACATATAATCTCTTTAAACCCATGAATACATAGTAATCAACTATAAAATCGAGCAAAGCAATACACATTATAAACGAATGAAATTTTTATTTTAATTGAATTTTTGATTTTCCAGTCAACTGATTGGACCGAAGTGCTCGATCTCAGGTTGACATGTGATATATATCCATATAATATGTGTGTTTTGTTTGACAGTCTGATATATTTCGCTATGTATATATGGATCGATATTCCATTATAATTAGCCAATCATGTCAAGACTGTCTATTGATTTGTTCATTTTGAATATTCGCTCACACCCTTGTGTTCACACACTTGTTCGGACATTCTTATATTTTTCTCTCACACTATTGTGTGATATATTTAATTCTCCTTGTGTTTGGAAAATAGAAGTATCATCGCAAACCTAGTGGTCTTCTGATTTCCGTCTTTCTTGCGTCAGGACTATTAAATTATCGACCAGTACATATCAACATGTCTGTCGGCTTCTTGTGCAGATGCTTCGACGATGTCTTGGCATTTAATTAGTATTTATATGGTGGATGGTGACTAGCAGTGGAATCCAGAATAACACGCATTTCGTCCTATTTGAAACTCGTCCTCCAGCTGGATGTACCTGCATTTCTCAGTGAGTGATGATGGTCCCACCACGGAGGCTCGAATCCAGTGCCCATAGTTTCAGACACCAAAGCCTTATCCACTAGAGCACTTGGGCCAGCAGAGCCACCTCTTGTGTAACGGCTCATATTAATTTTTTAATTGAAGCCGACATGTCAACCTGAGATCAAGCACTTCGGTCCAATTAATCGACGGAAAAATCTAAAAGTTCAATTAAATTAATATGAACCGTTGCACAAGAGGTGGCTTTGGTGCCCCAAGGGGTCTAGTGGATCAAATGCGCTTTGGCGTTTGAAACTATGGGCACTGGATTCGAGCCTCCGTGGTGAGAACATCATCACTCACTGAGAAATACAGGTACATCCAGCTGGAGGACGAGTCTCAAATAGGACGAAATGCGCGTTATCCTGAATTCCACTGCCGCTAGTCACCATCCACCAATTAAATACGAATGAGATTTTCTTTTTAAATGACATACGTGAAATATTCTTTGAAGAAGACGACGAACAACTAGGATAATATTCCTCTTCCTCCACCTTCTCCTTTCCCTGTTCCTGCTCGTCATCACCCTCGTCATCATCATTTTACGTTGACCATCACAACAGGGCTGACGATGTTGAAGTAAACTAAGAATATCTGGTGCCGATTTCACTGACTGACAACAATCATTCAAAGGGGATAGTATATCCTCTCTAGCTGGATATTGATTAAATTTATCATATAAATATTCCTTATGAAGATAGGTGATTAGCTTTAGCAAAATATTGATTAACCAAATTGGTGATAGGAATACAATACGTCTGGATGATCCACCATGGTGGTGCTGGCAATGATGGTGATCTTGGTGGTAACGATCAAAGTGTAAAACAGCTCCAGTATAACTTAGAAATAATAAAATACTCTTCATTTCAGTATAAGTATAAAATCCATAAGTGTTTGTAGTAAGATAAAGTGATGATTGTTCGTGTACATCAGACGGTAATCCACTTCTGCTACCACCACCGCTGTTGCTGTTGCTGCTGCCGCCGCCGCCAATATCCAAGTCTGACAATGTCATACATATTCGTAAAGGTTGAGAAGATGAATAATAGTCAAATAGACGTCGATTTAAAAGAGATCTAAGGGAAGGACAAAAACAAAAAAATGAAGCAAAGAAATGAGTGATACCAGCAGGTAAATAACCATCAGGAGAATTACCAGACAACTGTTTCAATTTGGTTTATGACTCCTCTTTAACAGTACACATTCATCTTCCCTACCCAGCTTGGACATCGAACCCAGGATCTTTGGGTTACGAGGTAAGCTCGTAGACTATCCAGCCATTAGGATATAATCTAATGACCGGTCCATGGATTCTGACTTTTAATTGGTGGATGGTGACTAGCAGTGGAATCCAGGATGCGAATTTCGTCCTATTGGGGACTCGTCATCTGAGCTATAGGCACTGGGCTCGACCCTCGGTGGGGACATCATCACTCACTGGGAAATGCAGGTACATCCAACCACCAACGAGTCCCAAATAGGACGAAATGCGCGTTGTCCTGGATTCCGCTGCTGCTAGTCACCATCCACCAAATAAATTCTAATGAAATGCCCAGACATCGTCGTCGAAGCATCTGTACAAGAAGCCGACAGACATGTCAACCTGAGACCGAGCACTTCGGTTCAATCAATCAACGGGAAAATCTTAAATTCAATTAGATTCTGACTTTTGTCTATTCGTGATATATATATATATATATATATGCAGTGTCACCGCTAGTCCTCATAAATTCTCGAACCAACTTTTATATAAAAGCGGCATAATATGTAGCAACAATGGTACTGTAGGAAAATCATTACAAGAAGCAAGTTGCATTACCAAACTAGATTCATACGACTTCAGTCCGAAGTTAGGGTATTTTGAAATAAACACATGTAGATCTGTATATGCTAAGCTATCAGTTGTATACATATATATATATATATATATATATCCTTTTCGATAATTATGTTTATATACACAGAATATTCTAGAATAGTAGTCAATAACAATATTAGTGTTTTTTAAATAATACCGATTTGTAAATTAAGAGCAAAATAGAATTACCACAGTTAATTAAAGATGCTTAAATTATAACAATAATAATAATAATCAAAATATAATAGTGAATAGAATATCAACTAAAATTAGGTAAATTTCTACAGAAAATTAAGGATTATTCAAACCTAGATGGCCAAATAAGAGGATAATGTCTGTACCAACCAACTTCTGTTGGACTCACAAATTAGGCTTGTTAGTATGGATCCCAACGGCCTCAGGAATATTTAGTAAACGAACTCTTTTGGCGAAGTTAGTATTTGTTGGTATGCGATAGATGACTTTGAAAGGAGCCTCGTTGACATCAATCTTGTTTTCTGTTTTATATCCACAAGATGAGATAGAATAGCGCTATGCGAATAGATTTTGTTTGTCCTTTACTTAACCAACCACGCAGGGTGAAGCATCTTTAATGAACTGTAACTTCATTGTGATCTTACTTAACAAATCGATATTATCAAATCCTCCATGCAATCAAATCGATATTATTTAAAAAAAACACCAATATTGACTACTATTCTAGAATATTCTATGTATATAAACATTTACGTATAGGTAACTGTAGAGCCGTGCGTCGGTGGCATAGCGGTTAGGACGCTCGCCTACCATGCACATGGTCCGGGGTTCGATCCCCGGCCGACGCACTCCTTTACCTCGCTAAGCCAGAAATAATGCTGGTAAAGAGGAAAGGTTGGGCATGAGGCTAGCTAGCAACCCCATCCTGTAAAATGAAGACTGCTACAGAAACTTTAGGTCACTAGCTTGAAGCCCTATGTTCCACTGCGAACGTGAAGGAAAGAAAAAAAAATTGTAGAGCCAGAAGAGGAGGAAATTATCGAAAGGGGGATATTCTTTGCTGGCTCAATTATTTTGTGTTGTATAAAACGCATAATAGCACACATAAAGATGTACTGTCTGATTAGACACTAGGGAGAAACAAATGTCATGTCATGCGTCCCATCCTTTGTTAAATGAAGACATAACACTATCAGTCAAGTTTCGCTTATTTGTCACCATGTTATGTGGCTCACAGACACGGTGAACTTTCATTTGTTGATGTTGTTACTAAATCGATGGCGGTAATCATCAAGAAGCCTCGCAGGACCTAATTTTCATGCTGATAGGCATTCATCAGTCAGCAAGGCGTATCTGATAGAAGAACTAGACATAAAATTAGTTACTATTACTACTACTAATACCTTGGTGAGAGCTGCCTGCTAGCCAAATTGGTAGACAGTAATTTACGTCAATGTTTGCCTCCTCATTATTAGTTGTGAGAAAAATATGAACAAGGACTGATTCAATAACCAACCACAGCAGACGTTGCGCAGGCGGGTACAGTTAGCATACAGATGATCTGAGGTAAGGAGGGGAAATCAATCGACAAGGCTGTGAAATTACATCGACTGAAATGGTTAGGAATGCGTTACGTATGCCTAGTCATAGCCTTACTCAACAACGCGCAATGTTAGCTGACATAGGGTCAGGCTGGTAAAGATCTAGGGGCGGTCAAACCAAAACATGGCTTCATCAGTCAATGGAATCTACAACAGTTAGTTTAAGCCAGCCAGTCACTTAGATAGGTGTAGACTTCCTGACTGGCTGGTTGGGGTCCTCGAGACGGTAAAAACAATGGATAGAGACAATCTGTGATATCGCTTAAACTCATCGTTGTCAATGGCTGGAGCAGATGCATCCACTCTTTGTGACTTATGATTTCCAATGAAACTATATTGTTCTTCATTATTACTATTCCTTTGTCTCACACCTCTGTTTACTATCTCTATTATGCATTTCTTCTACTTTCTTCTCTTGCTTTGTGTGCGCTACATGAAGGGAGTGTGGCGACTTGAAATGCCACATATCGGTGCAAAGTTCTATGCTGAAAGCAGACAGACAGACAGACAGATGATCTGACATTCAACAAAAAGCTAAAAAGAGATAAAAGATTAACTTTCAGTGAGAAACAACCAATCAGAAGACTGTGTTTTTCTGCTAACAATAATCTATAATAATGTACATAAAAATCTATAAATTTATGTTGATTTCCTTAATAAACGATCTGTTTCCTGGCCCTTGTCTTCTGTTGTTACACTACTATTTTTATTTATTTTTTGATTTCAGCTTGATTCCATACTGTAATTTTGGTACAAGTATGGAATTTTCAGCATGGATATCGGTAGCCCAAATTTTGCTGGCCGACCATATATATCAGATGTGCGTCGGCAGGGAATCGAACCTCGGACCATGTGCATGGTCGGCGAGAGTCCTAACCACTGTGCCATCGACGCACTACTACCTAGTGTCCGATCAAAATTTCCTACGGGAGGATACATGCAAACCCTAATAGTTCAGTGGTGTAACTAACATGTCTAACTGCAGTTAGTACTAAACGTCCCGGATTCGAACCTCAGACAGGAGATATGACTCCATTCAATACAGCAGATACGCCTTGCTGATAAGTTAAAAATAAACAGGACTGCTCAAGGTTTTTTGCCGATTACATCCAAAAATCTAACGACAACGGCAGATAGACGCAGTATTTTAGCCGCCAATGTAGTGTACTTCCGAAACAGAATATAAACATATCATAGGAATTTAACCACGGATTGATATCAGTTGGAGAACCATTGAAAACCAGCCAGAGAGAGTACTGGACAGCTAGCTGTTTCGTCAGCCTAGTTTGGGAATCATCGTCAGTATGCACCTACACTATGCGGGGTTCAAACCCAGGACCTTCAGGTTACGAGGCAAACTCGTATACCAGTAGCTGAAGGTCCTGGGTTCGAATCCCGCATAGTGTAGGTGCATACTGACGATGATTCCCAAACTAGGCTGACGAAACAGCTAGCTGTCCAGTACTCTCTCTGGCTGGTTTTCAAAGGTTCTCCAACTGATATCAATCCGTGGTCAAACTCGTAAAAAACAAATCTAATCCTTACAAACCAAACTTTTGAAAATAAGCATATTAACAACATCATTAAATAGCAATATATATATTTATTTAAGTTGAACTTACAAAAATTCATTCACTTCCATAACTGGAAGCATTTGGGCAGAAAACATTTCATTGGTCAACTCTTCTGTTATACTCAGTGCATCATGATATAGTTTAGGAATCGGAAGCTGTACGAATGATGACAGACATGAAGTTGAATTCAATGAAACACTTGGTAAAAGAGTACCAATTCTACGATCTTGAATGATATACATTATATTACAAAACGAAGAAAAAGAAGAAAACATAAGGGTGTAGTGTGCAAAGAAAAAATACAATATTGATTAGAAACAAAAACCACTAAATTAAGGCGAGCTAAAGCTAAATCAGAAGAAGCAGAATTCAGGAGAATCATTTCAGCCCATTTTGGGAATCATCAGCTGGATATACCACGGTAATGATTCAGCGTTTGAAACAATAGGTACTGGTTTGGTTCGACTTTCAGTGCTGGAACATCACTCATCCAATCAATGGGTGGCCTCAAAAACAGGACGAAACACGTATCTACTGGACTCCACTCAAAGACACCATCCACCGAAGAATATCATGTTTCGATCCAAAGAAGCACTGTCGAAAAAGTGGGGGAACTTAACGATTGCTTCGTCTCAGTGTGGCGCTATTCATCAGTGCACACCCAATATCCAGTTACGTATGAAATTCAAGACAATTAAAAGATATGATAGGCCTATGTTATGTACTCTCCGCCAAATTATTGTTATGTACTCGTCGAGAATTTAATAGTCCTGACGCAAGAAAGACGGAAATCAGAAGACCACTAGGTTTGCGATGATACTTCTATTTTCCAAACACAAGGAGAATTAAATATATCACACAATAGTGTGAGAGCAAAATATATCTGAATGTCCAACCAAGTGTGTGAACAAATCAATAGACAGTCTTAACATGATTGGCTAATTATAATGGAGTATCGATCCATATATACATGGCGAAATATAACAGACTGTCAAACAAACACACATATTATATGGATATATATCACCAAGGACAGACTGTCAACAAACACACATATTATATATAATATACGGGGAATATACATTGTTAAAGGAGACAAGTTCATCAAAGTGAAATGGTCACAGACTAAGACAGCAACAGAAAGAGAGACTACCATATATATATCAGCCTATTACATTAAATACTAAACTTCATGTGGGGAATATTGTGGACAATTAGCCTAAGGAAAATATCTACTAGAATCTTAACACCTATCTATCACAGATACTAGGGAATTTAATCAAAACAAGTACACCTGAATTCGCATCTCACGCCTGTCTCATTTTTAAAGATGTCTTGCATGATTGGAGGTAAATAACAGGATGTCCTGGACCTAGACATCAAGCAGATTATTGAGAACAGTTCGAAAAACATTCTCTCCGCCACATTACGTCTCATCTTCCCTATGCTAGCATCTTATGCAACAAATGTCAAAGAAAATGATGTTCCAATGTTGGCAATATCATGATGCATACATCGATTCATTTCCCTGTGTGGAGATAGGTCTTAGCAGTGGAATATTGTCCAGAAGTGCACGAACCTATAGCTCGATTCATAAGCACCTTGTTCTTACAAAATATTCCGCATCAGAAAATCAATAAATGAATGAATATTTTTATATGAACTTGACGACCAATAACAGATGGTATGTGTGATATAACTGATAATGACACCTGTTAGGCATTCCCTGGTTCGACTATCGACCAAAGGGCGGGTGTACTGCTCAGCAGTCCTCTCCGTCCTCCTTTATGGCTGTAAGTGAGACATGGCCATTGAGAGTGGAAGACATGAAAAGATTAGCTGTCTTTGATCATAGATGCCTGCGCTCTATCTTCCGTGTGAAGTGGTATAATAAGGTGAGCAATATTGAGGTGAGGCATCGGTCGAGTGCTAGGTAAATAAGAGAAATCCATTGACGAGGCTGTGAAGTTACACCGATCGGGATAGTTAGGACATGTGTTAGGCACACATGACTAGTCATCTCCTTCCTCAACGGGCAATGTTAGCTAACATAGAGTCAGACTGGAAAAGAGCTAGCCACGGTCAAACCAAAACATGGCTTCATCAGTCAATGAAATCCACAACAGCTAGTTTAAGGTAACCACATAGAAAGGTGTAGACTTCCTGACTGGTTGGGGTCCTCGGACGGTAAAAACCAATGGTTGGAAACAATTGGTGATGTGGCTCAAAATCGCTCTCAATGGCTGGCGGAGATGCATCCACTCTTTGTGACTTACAATTTCCAATGAAACTATATTGTTCTTCATTATTACTATTCCTTTGTCTCACACCTCTGTTTACTGTCTCTATTATGTATTTCTTATAATTTATTCTCTTGCTTTGTGTATTACTTGGAGGGGGAGTGACAACTTGAACTGCTGCATATCGGTGCAAAGTTCTATGTCAAAAACAGACAGACAGTTAGACAGGCAACAGTACGAATATGTGGTACAGGATACTATTAAAATCGCTAATTGCTACGCCAATCATAGGCAGAACCGGCAACACCACTGGCGATGACCGATGACAAAATAACTCTTACCCATTCAAACAACAGTTACGGCAGGCTGTCAGGCTTTAAGTGAGCTTGACAAGTACTGAATTACTAAGTGCTGGTTTGTAGGGATTACAAGTTGATATCATTTAGAGAATCATTGAAAACCAGGGAGTGCTGGACAGACAGTTGTTTCGTCAGGTGATCAAATCCTGTAACTAATCAATTCTCCGCAAACCAATACCCCTGATAATTAATCTGATGCTCACTGGCCATCGGCTCTATACACCGAGTTACTTGGAGTTCAAGTAAGAAGTTGTAACAAGTAAGGTCCACCAAGTCTGGTAAGACGAAAGCTAAGCGCCTGACGTATTCGCTGGAGGTTGAGTTACACATAGCGCAAATTGGCAGAAGTTGGCAGTCATAGTAAGTTGGACTGGGTCGCGGTGGCTGAATTGCCTATGAGCTTGCTATGTAACTAAAAAGTCCTGGATTAGAAGAATCGTGAACTAGGATAAAACAACTGTCCAGTATTCCCTGGGTTCCCTATGGTTCTACATATCATCTAAACCTGTGATCAATCCTAAAATACAAAATTCACTTTTAACCTCAAAGAGTTAGCAGCTATCGAGTGTGGGGAAAGGCAGTTGGCAACTTTGCCGGGTGCATACTGTAGATCAGACTGCTCAATAGAAACAATAAGGCAGGAAGAAACTTTGGTAGGCAACCAACCAATCCAGAACCTATCGCCCAAGAAATATCTCGAAAGAAATGGAAATGGATCAGAAACACTCTGAAGAGACACTGACGAGTGTCGTAGCGCTCTAGGCGGTAGCTCGAGCGGAACCTCAATTGGCGCTGGGCATCACTTCAAAGGTGACATAAAGGAGATCGTTTCGGGAGGAGGAGATGACAGCTTATAGGCACTTGTGGAGGCAGCTAAACAGGACTAAAGAGAATAAGGCAAAATGTAGATGTACTGTTGAAGACCTATGCTTACACACGGATCCCCAGAAAAATAAAATAGGTGCCGGGGATATATGACATAAGTATAAAACTTTGGCACTGTGGTAAAGCGGATGCCTGGCGCTCTCCACCGGGTTGACTGTCCATTGGATGACAGTCTAGGGGAGATGGCTAAACCCTGATTCCAAACCTGCAACGATTGGCGTATGAAGCTCACTGGAGCTCACCGGCAGACGTATGGACAAAGGGCTTGTTGGATGTCCTGGATGACTGGCCCCATTCAAAAAGGCGTATGAACCGAACTCCGGTCATCGGCTGCCAATGGATAGTGGACTCCTTACTCCACTCCTACTGCCTTGTAGGTCACACTTGGTTGTGTAAAGGCTAGAGCTGCACTCTCAAACAAAAGGCCGAGCGATTCTGGGGAAATCACTCGTACCAAATTCCCATGAAACTTCATGAACTCTCTTACAAATTGCCGCGCCTGGGCAGCGATGATTCGAGACGTTCATGAAGCCGGCTCATCCTCCCGTAGGAGATAGCCGAAGTAAAGTAAAGTAAAGTAAGTAAGTAAAGTATAACTACTCCATTATGGATAAGATTTTATTTTGATAAATCACACAGTGGTGTTATACAGTAATATTAACTGATGACCATGTTTCGAGCACAAATTATTGCTGCTCATAATCATATCAAGTCACTTAAACAACGTTTTACTTCATTTATATACATGTGTCGAATTGACTAAATATTGGAATAAGAATAAATATGGGATTATGAGCATTCAGAAATAATAATAATAATATGAGTGTTTTTAATAGTCAAAATAAGTAACTTGTTAGAATGTTGTTATGTACGTGAATGGAATTGAAATAGAATTTTAAGATTATTTATTATCCTCCTCTGATTTGACTGACTGAATGGTGGTAATAATATCTTCCATGCATATCTCTGGTATTTGCATTGAGTCATTTCTGTTGCATGTGTTGGGTGTAGACTCGATGAACTAAGCAGGATTCAGTAATCACTCTCTCCCGCTCAGAAATTGCAATGCATGTATCAACCCACAACCACACAACAGGGTGGGATAGGGTTGGAATTCTAAAAAGTAATCTAGGTAGGTGGAGAGTGAGAGAGTGATTACTGAATCCTGCCTAGTTCATCGAGTCTACACCCAACACATGCAACAGAAATGACTCAATGCAAATACCAGAGATATGCATGGAAGATATTATTACCACCAGTCAGTCAGTCAAATCAGAGGAGGATAATAAATAATCTTAAAATTCTATTTCAATTCAAACACATCACAACATTCTAACAAGTTACTTATCAAAATAAAATCTCATCCATAATGGAGATATATGACACCCTACCTATTAAAAATAATAGCAAAATAATATGACCAATAAAAACACCATCGAACACAGATTCTAGCATTAACTTACTTGAAACACTTAAGGCACACGCAGCTTTATGAATTAGTGTGCCCAGTTCATAAATTTGCTGCCTTGATAATTCATAATCCTTATCACTATTATTATTATTATTACTCATTGTTATTTGTTTATGTTTTATCGCGCTTAGATTTAAAAATACACAACTGTGCAGATTTGCTAAACCATAGGCGGGTAAATCAGGATTTGTAAAAAATCGATTTCGAACAAGTGATTCCATTAGTACTGATTGTAGGTCATAATTTGAAGTGTTTGACATTTTTTTGTTGTTACTATTACTACTTATATTTTTGGGAGTAGTATTAGAAGTAGCATTTATACTTTGACGTGTTCTTTGAGATGAATTTATTTCCTTTTCAATTGTCGAAGAGGTATCTGAATCAGTATATGTACCAATAAGAATGATTGGACTGTTCGGGTTAACTGCCTGAAAAAGAAACGATGGGATAAGGGGTAAATATTTTCTGTTGAAATGGGCAGTACTCTAATGAAATTTGTTATATACAAGAATTTGAGAAAACGATGAGGTAATCACAACAAGACTGGCATATTTATTTTTAATTCAGTTTTCGTTCATTACAGGATTTCATCATCCGCTAACATCGATTAGGGAATATTGCCAGACAGCTGTTTCATCAGCACGCTTGGAGGCTCTCCAGCAGTACGCTAGATTCGATCTTTCGGTTAACAGGCCAGTTTGTAGATCATTCAGCCAGTGGGACCCGATCCAGCGGCCAACCCATGAATTACAACATCTGCTGATTCACGATATAGCACAATCAACAGCCAATGTCATCCCTGGAGAGTATTTGTCCTCACACCCCAATCTGTTGTACCCTTCTGGTTACAACATTTCACTAGAACCCAGGTAGCTGATGAAAAGACCCACCAATACTCTCAGGTTTTCCAATAGTTCTCTAACCAACGTCAACTCATGATGAAATACTGTAACCAATCAATCAAATCCCTGCAAACCAACACTTGGATTTCCCGTAAAAGAAAATACCAGTGCTACCGAGACTTCAAAGTTCTGGCCTGAAGACCTATGTTCTACCGGGAACGTAAAAGAATTAGAAAAGAAAAAAAGCGAAACGGAATACAGCAAGCAGTAAAGTATGTACTATGAAATTATGATTGGACATTAGGTATTAAATACTGTCATGTATTTGTATGGTCCTTCATTTGATGCAGACTGAATTCTGTCAGTCAGCCAGTCAGTCAAGCTTGCAATGTGGCCAACACGCCACATCACAGTGCACTCTGAACTGCTGTTATTAGATGGTTGGAGGCCTAGACCCAGGTTTTGAGCTGACTGACACTCTCCACCAGTTAGTCAGCAAGGTGCATCTATAATCTTGAAAGAATTTATATCCTCCCGTCTGGCCTTCGAACCCATGTCACGCAGTGAGTACTGCACCTAGAGATGTTAGCGAACAAAGGACTGGATAAATGACATTAGTTAAAACCTAATAGATTTTTGTGTACATTATTATTAGCGTTATTGATATCAGAGAAGCAACGTCTTCTGATTGGTTGTTTCCCTGCTCAAGGTTATCCTATCATCTCTTTGTGGCTGTTTCTTTGAAGGTCAGACCATACATCTGCTAATTGTATCCACCCACGCAAAGTATGCTGTAATCGGTTGGTGAGTTCCTCAAGGTTAAACTTTGTCATTGTGTTTTTATCTCATGACCCAGATTCGGGATGTAAACATTGACGTAAATTGTTGTCTACTATTTTGGCTTGCAGACAGCTCTCACCACAAATGGAGAGCTCGAATAGCTCAATGGTGTAACATCACTGACTGCAACACTCACTGGGTGGTGACTCGAGTTCGAATCTCCGTCAGGGGACACGAGTCCCTTTAAGATTAGAGATATACCTTGATGACTGTCTGGTGTAAGTGCCAACAAACACAAAACCTTGGTTGGGCGGATCTGCTTTCAACCAATCGCCTTCAACCACCCAATAACAACCGTATGATATTCTATCTATATTAACTTTCACACTATAACAATACAGAAACACGGATGAGCAAAAAGTTATCAAAATTATCAAATAGTTAAGAAGACAATTTGGAACAGAGACTTGCCTGAATCTTCATTAACCAAGGAGTGATTCTATTCAATCCTAACACACCATCCGATATACACCAAAGTACTAAATATACAGTGAGTTCACAGTGCACACCCATAACTGTATTGATCAATATCTCAGAAGGATAATTCATCGAATCAGAAGAAGATACTGGATCAATATGCGAATGGAGAGTGACTTTCTTGTTGATATTTGACATTTCAGAGTGATGCATTTTACAGTTGTAAATTTTATCCACGACTTCTCGACTTGCCCCTCGTACATTCCAAACGTCGAATGATACAGTATCACAAGGGGAAGCATTTCTACTAACTGGTTGATCAAATTCATTTGAGGTATTCTGCACGAAAATCAATAAAGTGATAAAATGAATTATTATTAGTATTATTATTATTATTATTTAGAACAACACATTTAAGCGAATAATATCGTGGTTTCAATTAGATCTCATCAGGCTTAACTCTAATACACGTAAGTTTACAAATAAAATTGAAATATAAACCAATCATGGTGTTTTGTGTATAGGATAATATGATGGTGAATATAAATTGTGCAATTAGTCATATTAATAATAAAGGTCTTATCAATAATAAGGATGAAAAAGTGAGGCAATCTGTAATAACACGAATAATGAAAAACAGTATGATTAAACAAACAATTGTTCACGTGGAAGTAGTCGATAAAGGCTAGTAAAAACAAATGAACCGGTTAAGTAATGCTAGACTAATTGTAAGGGAAGTAAATGAAACACGTTTATAATGAAGATGTGATAAGATTAAGGGATCATAAGAGAGGGAGGGGTTGAAAATATAAACAAGGGATGGTGCAGAAGTCATTAGTTGGTTATGTCTTAATAGGCCAAGGGAGAGAGGGATAATGGCTGCACGAACTTCTTTTGAATGCATAGTTTAGGTTTAATAGTTCGAATGCCTATCGCTTGCCTCAGCTGTGTGCAGTAGACGAATACGAAGTCTGTTGGACAGATTAGGTGGGATGCGATGAATTACTTTGAAAGCTCTCGTTTTCTCCACTATATGACCACTATCAACTAAATGTGACAAAATTGAGCTACGGATTGTTTTTGTCTGTCCTTTGCCAAACCACGACGATGGAAGATGTTCAGCAACAACACGTTGGCTAAGCTGTCTAGTAGAACGCCAAACATATCTGTCACCACAGGTGCAGTTGAATTGATAAATGAATGTTATATATGAATGTTTATATTTTCAACCCCTCCCTCTCTTATGATCCCTTAATCTTATCACATCTTCATTATAAACGTGTTTCATTTACTTCCCTTACAATTAGTCTAGCATTACTTAACCGGTTCATTTGTTTTTACTAGCCTTTATCGACTACTTCCACGTGAACAATTGTTTGTTTAATCATACTGTTTTTCATTATTCGTGTTATTACAGATTGCCTCACTTTTTCATCCTTATTATTGATAAGACCTTTATTATTAATATGACTAATTGCACAATTTATATTCACCATCATATTATCCTATACACAAAACACCATGATTGGTTTATATTTGAATTTTATTTGAAAACTTATGATGAGATCTAATTGAAACCACAATATTATTCGCCTAAATGTGTTGTTCCAAATTTTACTATGGGAATATTTAATATATTAAAATTATTATTATAGCAAATCAATACGGTTAGGGAAACACTGACGTTGAAGTTACGAACCCAAGGAAAGAACACATAGGGATTGAAGCATTTTGACCAGTGAAATTTCACTAGCGGTAAATGTTGTTTACTTTTACGAGATGGGGTTGCCAAACCTCACGCTAGCCTAATACCCCGCCCCCCCTATAAACCTTCCAAGATTCTTATTGGCTATGTAGAAGTTTAACAGTCCGTTAGTCGGGAAATTGAACCCAAATCGATTAATGGCGTGGCTCGCTAGCATTATACCGCCCATTACTACTGAACCACCGATGAACAATTATAAGCAAATAATATCATATGGTACCACTTTGAAAAACAAAAGAGATGGCTTCCTTCAGTGGCTCCAAAATGTCAGCTAGATTACACTAAGGTGTGCTGCATCGACCAGCACTCAGTTCGAGAAAATTAAGAAATTCGAAAGAACTAAAATGAGGAGAAATATGGCGGTAGGAAGAATAGTAACATGGAAAAACAACAGGGTTACGTCAATATAACAGATCACAAAGAGTGGATACATCCGAGCCATCTAAGAACGATTTTAAGCTACATTATATCATAAATAGCCGCTAGTCACTAGTGCTTACCATCCCAAGGACACCAACCAAGAAGTCTACACTTATCTAAGTATTTGGTTCGAACAAATTGTCAAAGATTGCATGGGGGTGACTGATCACCGTCAGCTCTTTCCCAACTCAATTCTATGTCATCTAATATCACCGGTCGAGAAGGGCGATGGCTAGGTGGAACGCATAACATGCACTGTAGCCATCTCAACAGATATAACTTCGCAACATTATCGATTGACTTACCCGGCTCCTTACGTAACAGTCCCTCGACGCCTATAACCTCAATATTGCTTAACCAATTATACCACCTAACACGGGAGATAAGAACGCGGACACCTACAATCAAATCCAGCTGGTTAGGTGCTTCATGTCTTCCACTTTCAATGGGGACCATATCTCATTCACAGTGATAAAGGAGGACGGAATGAACTACTGTAGTGCGGTACACACGCCCTTTAGACGACAGCTAGTCGAATATCACGCCTACTAAACCAGAGACGGCGCAAACTGGAGGGCTTATGCAAAACTAGCCTTCTGTATCCGTAGTGAGATTTTGTCAGTGATCAACCCACTGGCGTTGGCTGATACAACTAGCCAAATAAGTGAAATGGTCAACATGGTCTACCGATTCGCAACACCTATCTTTAAGGTAAGAGTGAGACGATGTTGTACAGTCCCCGGTAGCATCATCTTATATTCGACGTGAGCTAATCGCATGCCAAACATTCGGAAATCGCTGCTCAAGGTGTTCAGAAGACTCTGCAGTTTATTAGTGTCTTCACTTTAGAGGAAAGCATCATCCGCATACTCTAAACTGACAAGACTATCTCTCTGAGCCAGGTACGCTCAATTTCATTAGTACATCTACGATGAAATTCAACAAAAGTGGTATAGTGGATATTTATGACCGACAGCAATGGTTGTCATCACTTTAGATGACAACTCTCTGCAAGCTTGTACACGGTTGCATCAGTTCTAGTAGAATAACTCCGATTAGTGCGATGTACTTTCTGGGTGATTCCCTCACTGCCAAACATTGCTATAGTACCTCTTGTTCGATAGAATCGAATGCCGGTTTCAGGTGAAGAAATATGGCGATTACTGGACGCCCACAGTAGGTATTTCAGTGTTCCAGAATCTGCAGAAGGGTGATGATGCGATCAATTTCACCTCCATTTTGATCTAAAGCCTGCCTGCTTCTCTCGTGTTTGTTCCTCCCATAGACTGCATAGTCTACGCATTATTATTGAGATTAGAACTTTAGATACTATTTTAGTCAAGGTAATTCCCTTGTAATTACCACAGGAAGACTTGTCTCCTTTCATGTATATTGGGATAATCAATGACTTATATCAACGCGACAGGACTTCCTCGGATTTCCAGACGATTCCCTATCGTTGTTAAATATCTCTGTAGTTATTCCATCAGATCCTGCTACTTTGCTTGATTTCAAATTCGAGACAGAAAATATTAAGTACTCATCATTATAATAAATAAAGTGTAGCGAACATTATGCAATAAACACTTACAGTATTAATCGGCTCAGCAGATTTACAAGGTCGATGTAAGGAAAGTTGTGTAACCTGGACGAAAGCCAACGTATCATTCAGTTTATGATCAGATTGTGCATACGAGGATGGCGAAGCTGATGGCGATGATGTTGCTTGATGATCCGAATTCGCCTGAATAAATAATTTTGGAAAATATGACACGTTTAAAATCTTTACAACAAGATACATAGTAAGATAATATCAAAAAAACATCGATCAATCGAACTTCATCTAGTAAGTAGACTAACTGACTGCATATATACATGGCAGCTAATCCCAAGTAATCCACGACGGGAAACTCACGGAACCCTTCGAAGTAAAGACGGGGGTAAGACAGGGTTGGCTGGCTGCCTGCTATCTCCAGCGATTTTCCTAATTGAAGGCGGGAGACCGGATAATGCGGCAGACAGCGGGCAGGGCAAAAGGAGACAGGCATAAAATGGAACCACACGAAAAAGTTGAAGGATCTGGACTTCGCTGATAATATATGTCTGATTTCCTACAAACTGGAAGATATGCAAGTGACGAATATAGAGAAAACAGAGATGATGATGATTCCTGGCCAACAGCAACCATGACAGACAACAGTCAGCATAAATGAGGGAAATCTGAAGGAAGCAACCTTCTTCACCTACCTGCGAAGCATCCTTCCAACTACAGGCGGAGGGAACTGACAAGGATATAAAAGCGAGAATCGAGAAAGCAATGCAAGCTTTCATTACTCTTAAGTCTGTGTGCAGATCAACACTCAGCACTCAGTAGGAAAAATAAGATCCAGATTTTTAACCCCAATGTGAAGCCACTCAGCGCTACTATACGGATTAGAGATTTGGCGTATCATGAATAGCACTTCGAAAAAACAACAGACCTTCATCAATAGCTGTTTTCGCTTAATACTACTCAAGATCAGATGGTCAGAAAACATCAGCAACAGGGATCCCTAGGAAAGACGGAACAACCCGGCAGGAACCGATTGTGCAACAAATATGCAGGAAGAAATCGAGATGGATTGGCTGGTCATACTCTGGGAAAACAAACCATCAAGTGAGTGACATCCTACGCCAGGCCATCGCTCGAGTTTAACCCGAATGAGAAGCGGCGAGTTCGTTATCAGTGAGACATTGATATGCGGGAGGTGATGTGAAGATGAGATGAAAGCATGCGGGCAGACGTCGATCCAGGAGAACACGATGGCAGAGAAACGAACGCCAAGATGTGCGGTTGAAGCCCTATGTCCTTCTAGAAACTAAAGGAAACAATAATAATAATCACAAGCCTTACGCAATATCAGTCTAAAAATAAAAGGCAACTGAGATCGGACCCGAAAGTAAGACCATATGAATTCTAGCTTCAGCCAATTGGCAATATATATATATATATATATACAGCATCACCGCTAGCTAATGTCACCGGCGAGTATTTATTCATGCATCCGATCCAGTAGCTGAATGGAATTCTTGTTCGCCTCGTTCGATAGCTAGTGGATGTATCGGAATAATTGTTTGGAAAAAATCCATCCTGAACGATGTAATAACAATTATTATTATTGTTCCCTTGGGTTCCTAGTGGAACATAGGGCTTCAACGGCACGTATCCACTTGCCACTTCTGTCTTCCTTCTGCTGTATTTTTCACCTGCATCCACGTTAGTCCATACTGTTTCAACTCCTCCTTCACACGATCTCCTCCATGTCATCCTTGCAACGATGACCCACTCGCCGCTTCCCTTCTGGGTTCCACTCGATCAATGGCCTGACGAGCGATGTCACCCAGCGGCCTCCTCAGCGAGTGTTCAATCCATCTCCACTTTCTTCTGCATATTTGTTGGCTGGCGATTGGTTCTTGGTTTGTTTTTTCCCAACAGTTTCTTGTTGGTGATTCTTTCCGGCCCGGACATCCGACCTTCAGTATAGAGCGAAGTTAGTTGTTGTTGATAAAGGTCTGCAACAGGCTGTTGGTGGAAATATTCTTTGTGACCCGCCCGCCCGCCAAGTTTCTGATCCGTATAGAAGAACTGACTGGCATGACGTTGTTTGTATTGAATTGAATCCGACCGCATTTTGTTGTTGATACTGGCTGAGTGACGAAGATTTCCAGATTGGTTCCAGGTTGATGAATGTGTTTCTCGTCTGCCTTCCCGATTCTCGATTTGACATCCTCGTCCGTTCCAACTGCCAGTAGTTGAGACAATGCTCACTAGATAGGTGAATGAAGTAACCTCATTCAAATCCCACTCGTTCATGGTGACTGATGCTGGATGTTGCTGTTGTTGTTGTTGTTGGTTGGTTGGTTGGTTATTTTCATAACCTCCATCTTGTCTATGTTCACCTGGAATCCTGTCTTCACTACTTGCTTCTTCGACCAGTTTGTCGGTTTTCGATTGTAGGTCTTCAATTTTGTGACAGTGACATCAAACATAAATCATCCACGCGCGAAATACAGGTCTTCTAGGTTCTTCACGTCGGTCCAGGATAACTCTGTCTTCTCGTTTCCCACTCACTGTCTGACGCATAATCCAGTCCGCGACAATTAGGAATATCATCGTCGGTGATAATAAGCAGCCTTTTCTGACGTTAGCATATCATACATGTTGACTTAATCCTTATTACATATTGTCTTTGTTCCAGTTTGGTGTGTGCTACTGATACGGTTTATCAGTAGTATATATAGACGGACGTTCGACAGCAGGTAGATAGATTTGATGTCAGAGAAAGCAAATGAAACAGCGTTGTGGAGACAGATACATGAGAGATGTGAAGGGAACACGAAGTAAGGCCAGAAGTAGCATGCACAACAGGAGAGATATGTACAAATGGTGCATTGAAGATGAGAGGTGCACATAATTTGATTATATAGAGATACCAAAGGTAAATAAGCATACCCTCTACTAAGTCTCCCGTCTTCTATGGTAGAAGATGAAAGACTTGGCAAGGAATGTTGAATTGAAATTTTGTATCTCTCTATATGGCCACATTATGTACACCTTACACCTGCGAATCACCATTTGCATAGATATTCCATGTTGTGACTGCCACTTCTGGACTTCCTTCAGCGTATTGTGTTTCCTTCTGATATTCTCATCTTTTTCTGATAATGAACGTCCCTTTATATACTACTGATAAATCTTATCCGTAGCACATACCACAATATTACCACTACTACTATAACAACAGAAGACAAGTGCCAGGCAACAGATCGTCTGTTGAGAAAATCAACATATATTTATAGATTTTTATGTACATTGTTATAGATTATTGTTAGCAGACAAACACAGTCTTCTGATTGATGGTTTCTCGGTGAACGTTAATCTAACGTCTCTTTGTGGCCGCTTCTTGAAGTTAAGACCGAGATGAGAGACTATGGGCAATTGTGGACCCAGCTGAAGAGAACAGTAGAGAATATAAGAAAGTGGAGAAGTGTTGTTGAAGCCTTATGTTCCACTCGGAACTTGATGGAATAGTAATATAATAGAAATAGTTTGAAGTGTGCATCCATATTAGTGGCTGAGATTAAAATCGGAGCATTTCGTTTACAAGAGGTATGTCAATCAACCCGTTGAACTGAAAAACAAAGAATCATAAAAGAAGTTGTAAAAACCATTAGTTATCAAATTTCAATTTCAGTAGCTGAGTTTTGTACCACGCCTGGCTGATAGATAACCTGATATTCTCGGACTCTGTTCCTGTTGATACCTATTAAAAATTTTCAAAGACTGATTAGCGGACAACGAATATTCACATTTTCGATAAATTCTTCATAAGGTTCTACTGTTATATGTCCATAATAATAATGATAATAATAATAAAAGAACTGTTGTTATTGACACTGTTTAGGATCACAGTTTGAAGGCATCTATGAGTCATAGTTTGGATCACTATCACGCTAACCTAAATACCACACAAAATATATAACCCAGAATTTATGAATTTATAGGTTCCACAGCAGGCTGTATCTGTTGTTTCTTTTGCACGGAAACTTCCGGTTGTTTTAAACAAAATGCCTAGTCATCGCCTTCCTCGACAAAATGCAATGTTAGCTGAGATAGGGTCAGACTGGAAAAGAGCTAGCGGCGGTCAAACCAAAACATGACATCAGTCAATAAAATGCACAACAATTAGTTTAAGTCAGTCACGTGGGGAGATGTAGACTTCCTGGTTGGCGTCGTCGGGATGATGAAATCCAATGGCTGGAGACATTTAGTGATATAGCTAAAAATCGTTCTGCATGGCTGGCGGAGATGCATCCACTCCTTGTGACTTATTATACCCAATGAAGCTATATTGTTCTTCGTTATTACTATTCCTTTGTTTAACATTTCCGTTTACTGTCTCTATTATGCATTTCTTCTACTTTCTTCTGTTGCTTTATGTGCTACATGAAGAGAGAGTGGCGACTTGAACTGGTGCACATCGGTGCAAAGTTCTATATCGAAAACAGACAGATAGACGGAAGCGAAATTCAATGACCGCCGGTGTCTGAAGTATTCGGTACCTGGAGGAGGATTTTGGTGGTTTACTCGGTACCCGAAAGATGGTAGAAGAACATTCTCCAGTACTCTAGCTTTATGATTCGTTTACAACAGCTCATTTAATATTGGAATGTTATTGGTTTTCACTACGCTTTTATTTAGCCATACTTGTAGGTGTCCTGAAGTAATAAAAATTAAGTTCCTAGAACAGTGACCAACACAAAAACTGGCTACACTAGAGAATTTGAATTGATGGTAGACAGTATTGTTAATAATAATAATAATAATAATAATCCTTTAATCACAAAAGTTAGATTTCAGTCACGAAACAACATCAGTTTGAGGGATTATTGAAAGCCACGACGGAGTACTGAACAACTGTTTCGTCCTATTTTGGGACTATTCAGAAGTGTGCACCCAACATCTCATCTACTAAGAATCGAACCCTAAACTTTCGGGTTACGAGACCAATCTCGTTGACTAATTCAACCACTTCGTCTGGAATCCAATGACCACAGGCTTTCAGTGATCTTTCTAACATGATGTTGCTGGTTCATGACATAAATCCTGGACCTTATGGTTACAAGACTAGCGAGCTCGTAGATCATTAGGCCGTCGGGAGCCGATCCAATGGCCAACCCATGAGAAAAATAATGTCACATCCCACTGTATTTACCAATTTGAATATACGTGTGGACACACATAGCTAGGGAGGACTCATCGATCTCTGCAAATAAGAGCTGGCTTCAGAGCATATTCCTAAGTGGCTCCAGAAACAAATGGAATCTTCAGAACCCATTAATAGTGAGAGCGGGTGACTTAGCTCCTCTACTACGAAACAAATTACAGAAACATGAGGTGAAATTGATGTTAACAGATCTTTTAAACCTATCTATAGAACGTGTTTGAAGCGTACTCTAAAGTTCGTGGAAGCCCTAGCAATTAGGAATTTTATACCACCTTTATACGTTCAAAAACAATTTATCACAACATTAAACCTTCTTTAGTAAATTTTGTTTTTATACCACAGCAGATGCACTATTACCTCTACTACTTGGTTTAGTGTTCTTCATTGTTATTTTGACCTTGAATATGTCCTTTTAATGTGACCTAAATTTATTTCCCCACCTGTTAACGCTTTATTAATTTCATATATATTCCTGTGACAAATCCGTGTGTGATCAGATTGTTCGAAATGTGTTGTACAAATACAACATTACACGATTCCGATAAATTACGTCTTCTTATTGCTTTATGTAAATGTAACAATTCCCGGCCGATAACTGCCACCTTGTCGTGGTGGTCGAGCTTGAATACCGCAGTGGCCCAACGTGCTAAACTGACTGGGACCCGTCCCTGCATGTGCTGCCATGTCGGGAAGGTTGTTTGGATAGCGGTTAAACTAAAAGCAGTTACCATGGGGGGGGGTACGTACATGAGCTCCAGTATCCAATCGGATCGAATGGCGTATGAACCCATATGGGTCACCGGCTGCAACCATGGGAATGCAGCTCCTGACGCTGATCCGCTACCTTGCGGATTAGACTCCGAATCAAACGCTCGGGAGGTGGTCCCTTAATAAAACCACCTGCTTCGGTTTGGGCGGCCGGCCAGTATCTCAGCCCTCACAAAATGAATTGAATAAACCAACAAACAATCAATCAAACTTATCGCGTGCTATCACACTTGTTGCCATTTCCTTCTTTCTGCCCTTCCCGATGATAGTTAACGAATACTGTTTGAACTTGTCAAGCATGACTGTTTTCCTTCTAGATGAAGTTCTTTATCCGTTCTCTACTTATATATATATATATATTCTCTTCTTTCTTTTTTTCTTTTGATCTATGTTGTTTTATTATTATTGTGTGGCGCATCCTTCTTGGTGCCATATTGTACCAAGTTTTTATGCGTTTAAATAATAAATAATAATAATACTTGAAGTTCAGATCATCTATCTGAAAATTGTATCTGCCTACGCAAAGCCTTTGTTCTCATTTTTCTCACAACCAATATTGGGGACGTACACATTGACATAAACTACTGTCTACCGATTTGGTTAGCAGCCAGCTCTCACAACACTATTAATAATAAACCGACATGCATGGCGAACATGCACATAAAGAGGACAACTTCAACACTCGGGAATTCAAAAAAAAAACAGTAGTTCTGCCAAACGAAGAGAGAACCTGTATAACTTTCCGTAGGTTGCTGAACAAGGCAGGAATATGACTGGTACACCCAAACTCAATTCGACAATAAATAACGTCAGTTAGAGGATCATGTGGAGCCAACCATACAAAATAATTTAGTTTATTTAATACTCTACCATACTCTGAGAAAACCATCAAGTGACATCACTAGACAAGCCATTGCTCGAGTGGAACCCGAAAGGGAAACGGCGAGTTGGTCGTCAGTGCAAGAGTGACTTGGACGAGGTCATGCGAGGAGGAGATGAAAGCATTGTGGACAGACCTGGAACGGGATGAAAAAGATGGCAGAAAACAGAAGGCAATGGAGGTGCGCAGCTGAAGCCCTATGTTCCTCTAGGAACTAAAGGATACAATAATAATAATAATTTAATACTCTGCATTGATGATGAGGTTGAATACAGGTTAAAGTAGTAGAGTGAAGTCACTAAGATCCAGTGAAATGTATAACCGGAAGGTCCTGGGTGGGTGCGTACTGCTGAAGAGTCCCAAACCAGGACGAAACAGCTGTCCAGTACTCCCAGGTTTTCCAATGGTTCTCTGACTAATGTCAGCTCATGATGAAATCCTGAAATGTATATTAGTTGACCCTAATAAAATCCAAAATCTAGAAAACAGCTCAGCCATAGAACTAACATACAAAAAAGTGCAATGAGATGACAGTCTTAAAATTTACTAACCCGATGAAGGGAGGGAAAATTAACTGAAACTTCATTAATCGAATCAACTGAAAATACTTGTAATAAGAATGACTCGACAGCGTTAGCCATCAATTGGAGGCTAGATGAGAAACGATCAGTCGGGTGTCACTTTCAAGGTGATATGACTAACTGAATGACTGGTTTCCACATAGAACTCTGCAGCAATCCAAGTTGCAACACTTCACCCAACACACAAACCAAGAGAAGAAAATAAGAAGAAATACAAAATAGTGACAGTAACACAGAGATATGAGGCAAAAAGAGTAATAATATCGAAGAACCAACTAGTCAGAAAATATACACCTCCCTATGTGACTGGTTTAAACTAACTGTTGTGGATTTCATTGACTGATGAAGCCATGTTTCGGTTTGACCACTACTAGCTCCTTTTCAATCTGATCCTATGTCAGCTAACATTGCCCGTCGAAGAAGGCGATGGATCGGTGGTATGTGTAACACATGTCCTAACCACCTCTCTCAATCGATTTATTTCCACAGCCTTGTCTATTGATTCCCCCTGCCTACCCAACACTCGACCGATGCCTAGCCTCCATATTGCTCACGCTATTATAGAGTGATCTAAGGCCACACAAGAAAAAAAGGACAATCAAAACTCACTTGTTCCTTGGAAGTAGTAGTCTTCGTCGTTAACGGTGATTCACATTCTTCACATGATTTCAACAGATGAATTAAAGTAGTTTTACCTACACCTGTTGGACCGACAACCATCAAACGGAATCGGGTAAATGGACTAGGTCTGTAGGAAAAATAAAAAACAGGACGATAGAAATCTCTACAAAAACAAAAGTAATAATAATTATAAAGATATAAGTATAAAACTTGGGCACTGTGGTAGAGTATAACTCCATTATGGATAAGATTTTATTTTGATAAATTATTGCCGATACATATGGATGATACCTTTGTTCTTTGTGATAATGGTTCTGATAGGAGGGTGCAATAATTACTGAATTCAATGAAGTACATTCGGTTATGAAATTCACGTGTGAAGAGGAATCCCAAAACAGAATAGCCTTCGTCGATGTCCTACTTACGAGAAAACCAGATGGTAGCATAAAAAGTAATTTGCATAGAAAAAGCACTTGGACAAGACAATATAAACATTTTCAAAGCTTCGTTCTTATCAAGTACAAAAGAAATTTAGTGAAGACCCTCAGCCAAAGGGTTAGTTAGAGCTATATGCTCAGAACTAATTAATGAAGATTAATTAAGCATTGCATATGATACTTTGTTCGAAAATGGCTATCCCGACAAATTTATCATAAAACAAATGACAAAGAAAGCGTAAAAGGACTACCCACTATCTGTAAACATGAAGCCACTTTATGTACGACTACAATTCAAGGGAGATATACCAAGTGAGATAATTACGAGGAAATTAAGAAAATCAGTTCAAAAAACTGTTGATAATCTGGCGAACTACACGTCCTATTATTGAATTGAATTTTTGATTTTCCCGTCGATTGATTGGACCGAAGTGCTCGGTCTCAGGTTGACATGTCGGCTTCTTGTGCAGATGCTTCGACGATGTCTGGGTATTTAATTAGTATAAAATTGGTGGATGGTGGCTAGCAGTGGAATCCAGGATGCGCTGACGAGTCCCAAATAGGACGAAATGCGCATCCTGGATTCCACTGCTAGCCACCATCCACCAATTGTATACTACACGTCCTATTCTCTACACGACTGATGGTGGTGATTCCTCGACTGACAGATAAAGTACCTGGACTAGTAAGCCACTTTAAATTGTATCTACCAATTCAACTGCGCTTATGATAGAGCGAGTTATATCGGCCGTTGCTCTAGGAACTTGACTTTTCGTGCCCTCTCGAGAACACCTCCCAGCATGACTAAGTAAAGGTGTAGTTAAAACCATTAACAGTTCAATTTGGATCTAAGTCATCGAAGCACCGCATGTACAGTAATATTACCGTACAACACACTGTGTGATTTATCAAAATAAAGTCTTATCCATAATAATTATAAAGCTTTATTTCAGAAAATATGTAAACATTTATTACATAAATTTTCAGCCTATTTAGTTCCAAAATAATTTCTCTTCATACAGGATTTATATGAACAGTAAATAATCTGTGGCGCATGAAGAGAAAACCGATTCCGTGGGTTTTGTCTTCATTTATTTCGAGAAACAAATGGAATCTTCAGAACCCATTCATGGTGAGAACAGGAGACCTAGTTCTTCTATTGCGCAACATATTATAGAGACAGGACATGAAATTGAAGTTTACATGTCTTTTAAACCTATCTACTACATAGTGTGTTTGGGGAACATCTTCAAGTTTGTAGAAGCCCTAGCTGGCAATGAGGATGTTTAAACCGGATTATGCGTTCAAAGCGACAGTTCATCATCAAACTAAATCTAACTTCCTTGGTAAACTTAGTTTAATACCAGGATAGATGTTCTATTACCTCTCTTATCCGGTTTAGTGATCTTCATTGTGATTTTAACCTTCAAAATGTACTTTTAACTTGACCTAAGTAGTCTATTTTCTCACCTCTTAACTCTTTATTAATTTCGTACACATGTACTCCTATGACACGTACGAGAAGTGTAATCAAACTGTTCGAAATGTGTTGTGCGCGCAAGTACACATTACACACGATTTAGAGAAATTACGTCTTCTTATTGCTTTGTCTAAATTCATTAAGGGTACTAATCATTTTAAATTCTATTGCGTTTAGCTAGGAGCTAGTTAAATTCATGTAATGGTCATTTGATAAAATTGTACGATTTAAAACAATATAAAAATGTAGAAGAATTAAAGTATTTTGATGAATGGAAATTCTGATGGCCCAGTGAATTAAGCAAACCTCCGTAGTAGTCATATAAAGCACCTAAAATCAACATCGATCGCGTCTATATATATATATATATATATATATATATAATCTACTTTATTCCAAAAGCAGTCCTACTTATAATACAGAATGGAATTCTCAGCATTTTTCACAATATCTTGCACCTGATTTACTTAAAATATAAATAAAATTAAAGCAAAATTAACTACAGGAATTTGTCGACATTTACGGTATAAATTCAAAAATATTCGAAGTACAAAACGAGAATAATAAATATAATAACAATCATAATAACAGTGAGTCTGTTTCAAATAGTATTGTCGATACAGTCAGTTTGGAAATTTTAGCATGTTATAGATTATTCAATCTAATGTTCTTTTGATATAGTTTGGTGTGGGGAATTACAAAAATAACAGTTATAACACAGCTTAAGTGATGTTCACACTTGTGAAAAAACAAAACAAATAAAAACAAAAAATTGAGAGGATTATAAATATAAGAAGAACAATAACAATAAAGGTTGATTGATGCTATAAGGGTGGAGGAAATGATTTATTTAGTAGTGCAAAGAACGTTAGTTAGTTCATCACATAAAGTAAGTGCCAAATATGGAGTAGTGGAATTTTTATACTTAGAGGTACGTGCAGGAGTCTTCTGAAAAGACTTCTTCTTTTATCTGAGGAGGAGAAACAAGGTTGGAGCTGCGGGCAAAGTGGGTACTCACAGTCTGACAAAATTCCTGTAGTGAAGTTGTTGCATGACGTCGAGTGCCTATCAGTGGCAATGTTAACGATATGCCTCAATGCCATAGGATACCACTCGTCCTACTGACAGTCTTCAGAGTTCTACGAAGTATGACATAGTCTATTTTAAGCAATCCAGGAAAGAATAAGCAGGGGTGAACAGTAAAGAAGAATAGGTAAGATGCACGAGTTGATAAACTGTAAAACAAGGAGTGGTTGGGTTATGCCTGAGTGCCTTAACTTCTTAATGTAAAAAGTCAGACGAAATATTCTTTTAGAAATCGATTAGACATGGGAAGATCAGGATAGGACGGTAGAAAGAATTAATCCAAGATACTTAACTTCAGACTTGGTTTCTATAACAGTATCATCAATATATATATAATTATCAACCAGAGTTTGTGTCAGGACATAAAATTGATGTTTACACCTCATTTCAACCTATCCATAGAACATGTTTGGAGAAGGCGTATCCTATAGTATGTGGAAGCCCTAGTTGGCATTTAGAAAGTTTAAACCACCTTTATGCGTTCAAAGCAACAATTCGTCATCACAATTAACATGCATTCCTTGGTAAACTTTGTTTACATACCGGGCAGGGCAGATGTACTATTACCTCTCTTATCTGGTTCAGTGATCTTCATTGTTATTTCGACCTTCAATATGTCCTATCAACTTGACCTAAGCTTATTTCCTCACCTCACAACTCTTTATTAATTTCATACACATGTATTCCTATGATTGTATTGTTCGAAATGTGTTCAGCGCGCAAATACACAATACACGCGATTCAGACAAATTGTAATAGCTGCATCGGTGGCACAGCGTTTGAGACGCTCGCCGACCATCCAAATGGTCCAGGGTTCGATCCCCGGCCACCGACGCACTCCTTTACCTCGCTAAACCAGTAATGAGAATGGTAAAGTGGAAAGGTTGGGCATGAGGCTAGCAACCCCATCATGTAAACATTAAACATTGCTAAAGAAACTTCAAGCTGCTAGCTTGAAGGTGCCCTATGTTCCACTGGGAACTTGAAGGAAATAAAAAAAACATCATAATAACTGCAAAACCCCTCAACTAATTACAGCGACATATTAAAGAGATTAGAAAAATCAATGAAATACTTACTGATCAGTTATTGATTTTAAATATGATACAATATGACGTGTATGCGTTTTCTTGTGAACACTGCCCAAATCATTACCATCACAATCGTTACTATTATTATTGTTTAGACGATTGGATATTTTCTTATTTGTTACTGATACAAAATATTCTTGAAATGGTGTTTTGTTTAACAGAAGAGTATGCAAATTCGATAGACGGTATAAATCCCCTGGAATCTGAAACAAAACAAACACACAAACAAACAAAAAGATACATCACACATCGGGTAGACTGAGGGCGGCATACAACACACTATCATCACTGTTCCCAAAAAACAGTGGGGTTATACAGGGTTGCCAAATCTCTCCATTTCTCTTTAACTTCGACATCGATGACATTCTGGAGTCAGCTCTGAAGGATGTATGTGTGTGAAGGTGGTGTAGATCTGCTACAACACTGGAGATAGACTTTTCAAGCTTGAGTATGCAGACGATATCGTCTTACTGTTGGCGATAGCATGCAGGCTGCCCAAATCGCACTTAATCAGTTGGCGATCAGTATCTGTAAGTATGGTATGTGCTTTGCGCTGTCTAAGTGCAAAGTACTGTTACAAGATTGGCAGGACCTTGTACCTGCACTCGAACTTGCGGGTGAACCCCTTAAAGTTGTTGATAAGTTTGTGTATCTGGGTAGTTAGTTGTGTGAGTGCTGAAGGAGGGGTGGTGACGGATGAGATTTCCAACCGTATAATGAAGGCTAGGATGGCGCATACATCAACTTGAGCCACCTTTGGCACCGTCACGATGTTAATCTAACTGTCAAAGGTCGGGTATACAATGCTTCAGTGCAGGCTGTCTTCCTCTACACCTGTGAAACCTGGCCTGTCCAAGTAGGCTGAGGATGTGTGGCGACTCTGCGTGTTCGATCATCGCTGTCTCCGCAGGACTGCTTGCGTTCGATAGATGGCATCATCGCGTGAGTAATTCTGAAGTTCGTCGGCGTGTGTCTGAACACAGTGGAGATCACTATTCACTGAGTGTCGTCATCTGGCAACACCGGCTCCAGTGGCTTGGATATGTGCTGCGAATGTCATCCCGAAGGCTTCCTTACAGGTCTTTGTTCGCTAGCTAGCCCTGGTACGGGATGGAAAAGGCGAAGAGGTGGTCAGTTCATGACTCAGCGTTGTGAAATCAAGGATGTTTGTGCTAGATTAGCATTGGTTGGAGTGTCACGACTACCTGATTGGGGTCCGAGAGATAGCTCAAATCGATGGCTCGAAATGTTATCGGCTATGACCAAAAATCGTAATCAATGGAGAATGTGTTGCAATTTCCTTCTTTCTACCCTTCCCGATGACAGTTAACGAGTACTGTTTGAACTTGTTAAGCCTGACTGTTTTCCTTCCAGATGAAGTTTTTATCCGTTCTCTACTTATATATATATATATATATATATATATATATTTCTTTTCTTTCTTTTGATCTATGTTGTTTTATTATTATTATGTGGCGCATCCTTCTTGGTGCCATATTGTACCAAGTTTTTATGCGTTTAAATAATAAATAAATAAATACAAGAAGAGACCTAAATGAAGAAATGAAACAAATAGAAGAAGAAGAAGACGCGTTGGTGTTAAATAACTAACTATCCTATAAAATTCATTGGGAATATCAAAAAAAGGTTAAAGGCAAAATAAGAATAATGGTGAAAATAATAACGATAATATGAATAACAGAGAATATAAGGCATCTACTGTAATACCATATAAGGAGGGGACATCTGAGACTCTTCCTACGTAGGATTTTAAATAAACCAGGAATTAGGGTGGTGCATTCAAACCTACAAACTCAGGAAGGAAGGACAAGCCCTGTAGGCTGAAGGACCCTGAAGGTTGACTCAATTAGACAAAATAATATAATTTACAAAATACCCTGCAATGACTGTGAGTAAGGTGAACTACATAGGTCAAACTAGTAGATCGGGAGTAGTCGAATCGTCTGTCAAAATATACGAATTTGGCTAAGGTAAGAATGGTTGACCCCATTCGAGAAGATAAGTAATTTAGAAGAAAGCTCAGCAATTGCAATGCATGCATTAACACACAACCACACAATAGGGAGGGAGAGGTTGAAGATTCTAAGAAGTAATCTATGTAGGTGGAGAGTGAGAGAGAGAGAGTGATTACTGAATCCTGCCTTGTTCGTCGAGTCTACACACCCAACACATGCAATAGAAATAACTCAATGCAAATACCAGAGACGTGTATGGAAGATATTATTACCACCAGTCAGTCAGTCAGTCAAATCAGAGGAGGATAATAAATAATCTTAAAATTCTGTTGCAATTCAAGCACATCACAACATTCTAACAAGTTACTTATTATGACTATAAAAACACTCGTCTCATTTTCCATCTGATTGTAATTGATCAACAACACTCATATTGTTATTATTTCTGAATGTACATTATCCTATATTACTGATTTTTATTCAAATGTCTAATCATCAATTCCACTCATGTATATAAATGAAGGAAAAAAGTTGTGTGAGTGTGAGTGACTTGATATGATTGTGAGCGGGAATAAATTCTATCAGTCAGTTAAGTTTGCTAAGTGGTGGTAGATCGTCACCATCACGGTACATTTTAAATTGTCGCTATTATCGCCAGCCTGAATAGCTCAGTCGTCACTGAATGCAGCACTCATTGGGTGATGGGAGGACATGAATTTCTTCAAGATTGCAGATATACCTTGCTGACTAACAACAACAACAACAACAACTGATGAGTGCCAACAAGCTCAAAACCTCGGTCAGATGGGTGTCTTCCAACAGATTGATTCCAACTATCTAATCACCACAAAAAGATCATCATCAATAACAAAAAGTCTACACATTGTACATCTGCTTTTTTCTACAATAGTGATATAGCATAAAAGTAATAAATGCCTAAAATACTTCTGTTTGAGTACTTCTCATCATCGACAGTCTATAGCTAAAATTGAAACCCTAAGATTCATCGATAAATCTTTATATAATCTAAGTAGCTTTTTTGGTGACCACTGTCTGCTAGCTAGACACCAATTTACGTCAATGTTTACGTCCGAAATCTTAGTCATGAGAAAAAAGGACAAGAACAAAGACTAACTCAACAACCAATCACAGCAGACTTTGCGTGGGCGGATACAATTCGCAGATATATATGGTCTGACCTTCAAAGAAACGACCATAAAGAGATGAAAGATTAAATTCCAGTGAGAAAACAATCAATCAGAAGACGCTGCTGTTTCTCTGCTAATAATAACGCTAGTAATAATGTACATAAAAATCTATAAATATCTCATCCTGAGCTGACATTCGTTAGAGAACCATTGGAAAGCCTAGGAGTACTAGACAGCTGTTACGTGCTAGTTTAGGACTCTTCATCAGTACGCACCTACACCGCGGGTTCGAACTCAGACCTTCTGGTTACAAGACCGGCTGACTCATAGACCATTAAGCCACTGGGACGCGATCCAATGGCCCATGAATTCCAACTTCTGCGAATACATGACATAGAGCGACCACTATCCAATGGCAACACTGGCCAGTATTTGTCCTCACACCCGACCTTCTCCACCCTACTGGTCACGACTTCCCACTAGACCCCTAGATAACTAACTACCTACCTACCTGAACATAGGGCCAGTCGCTAGTGAGCGTCTCATCGATATTCAAGTGTTGGTTTATAGGGATTTGGTTGATTGGTTACAGGACTTCATCATGAGCTGACATTAGTTAGAGAACCACTGGAAAACCACAGGGAGTACAGCAAGACACCTATTTCATCAGTCTAGTTTGAGACTCTTCATCAGTACACAACCACTGTGGATCGAGCTCGTCTTGTAACCAGAAGGTCCTGGTTGTCTAACTAATGTCAGTTCATGATGAAATCCTGTAACCAATCAATCAAATCGCTACAAACCAACACTTGACTATAAATATCTGTTGATTTTCTCAACAGAGGATCTGTTGCCAGGCCCTTGTCTTCAGTGAAGCAGATGTCTGACTGGAATTTAGCAGAGAACTTTCTGCACACACAAAAGTAAAACGGATCAACCAGCACCCCCCCTTCTCATCAACGAAAACACAAACTTGAAAACAAATCAAACCCCTCCTTATCAAATGCACAACTTACCTCATTCAAGTTGATACATTTATCCAATGAAAGGTATTGTAAATTAATTAAGCGAACTAGTTCGGAATGAACCGTTTGTAAATTAGCATTTTCACTTAAATCTAATGATTTTAATTTTGGAAAAAGTGTGTACTTTTCATGATCAGAAGATATAGGCATAAATTTTGACGATGATACTACTCCTTCTGAAGAAGACTCAGAACGTACACTAACATTTTGATTATTGAACACCTGGAAGAGTGAAAAATAAAAGGCTAAAACAGTAGAAATTCAAAATTTTAAAAGAACGGGAAGTGGCTTTCTCATCAAAACACTTTTTTTTTCTCTTCAATCTGATCTTTCCTGATCTCCCCCTCCTGTAATCATGTTAATATCTAGAGAGATATTTTCTCTTACATCCTATTTAAGTTAGTTACGACAGTCTGGTATTACTAAGGTAGTCTCATCTTTTGAAGTTTGTTAATTTCCTTTATTCTTCCTATTGTTCTTCTCCTTCATTACTGCCCCTTCAATCTTTCCTATGAAGGATACTAAAAGCTATCACTAGAGTGAGTGGAGTGCCGCCAAACCAACTTATTAATACTGTTTTAGATAGATAGTATGGATATTCATGCGTGCGTCGGTGGCACAATGGTTAGGACTTTCGACGACCATGCACATGGTCCGGGGTTCGAGCCCAAACCGGCGCACACCAGATATCTATGGTCGGCCTGCGAAATTTGGGCTACCGATATCCACGCTGAAAATTTCATACTTGTACCAAAAATAAAAAAAAGATAAGAAATTGGCCGATTCATTTTCTTTCTACGAGTCTGACCACTGATTGATATCAGTTAGAGAAGCATTGAAAACCAGTGAAGGAGTACTGGAGAGCTGTTTCCTCCTAGTTTGGGAATCATCGACAGTACACACCCACACCTCAGGGTTTGAACCCAGGACCTTCCGGTTACAAGACAAGCTCGTAGACGACCATTCAACCACTGGGACCCGATTCAATGACACCAGCCCATGAATTCTAAGTTGTATCAATTTGTGATTTTTAGCGCGACCATCAATCGGTGGAAAATTCATCCTCACACTTGACTGGTTGGACCTCACTGGTCACAACTTCTCACACTGACGATGACATTGGTTGGTGATCGCGCTAAAAATCACAAATTGCTACAACTTAGAACTCATAGGCTGGCCATTGAATCGGGTCCCAGTGGCTGAATGGTCGTCTACGAGTTTGTCTTGTAACTGGAAGGTCCTGGGTTCAAATCCTGAGGTGTGGTTTGCGTACTGTTGAAGAGTCCCAAACTAGACTGACGAAACAGTTGTCTTCCTGTACTCCCTGACTGGTTTTCCAATGGTTCTCTAACCAATGCCAGCTCATGATGAAGTCCTGTAACCAATCAAACAAATCCCTACAAACCACTGTTTGAAAACTGACTGAATTAACATTAGTGTTGAAAAACAGAATTTTGTTTTTTTTATGCTGACTATGTGCAGCAGATTTCCATACTAATTGCAGAATGATGATTAAGATATCCTCATTCCTGTTATCACCTCTAGTTGAAATGACGCTGCCTAGAGAAGTGAAAACAATTACCTCATTGAAACTTTTCAAGTTGATGAGGCTTACTGATCGTTGTTGTTGTTGTTATTGTTGGTCTGTGGGTATCTTCATCGTCTTCGTCTCGTCTATGATCACTTGAAGTTCTGCCTCTTCTATCAACTCGTTGGTTTTCACCTGTAAGTATTCAAACTTCCGTAACACATTAGATACAAATCATCCACAAAGTCCACATCTTCTAGAGTCTTATTTATTGATCCAATGTATTCTCATCTCCTTGCTCCCTATAGTCTGCCACAAAATCCACCTCACCACAATTAGGAATATCATCGTGAGTGATAGCGGCCAGCATTCTCTTACACTCCTGTCTTAATATTATTATATGTGTGAAACTTGGAAACTGTGGTAGTAGTAAGTAATTCCATATAAGTTTGTTTATTAGATGTATCACACAGTCAATGAAACAGTATTATTTACCGGATGACACAGTTTTGAACACAATTTATTATTGCTCATAATCATATCATCAGTTATAACCACATGACTTCAAAACTTGAGTTTTATAGTTTTCTTTGTTCTCCCCCTATTTGTCGTCGTAAGGGTAGTAGGATTTCCCCAGATATCCGGCTGGACAGGTGTCGAATCATTCCAAATACACGTGTTGGTTTGTAGTTGATTCGATAAACAAAGCTTCTGTTATCGATCTTTCCCTCCACCAGGTTAGTTACGTTAGATTTTAAAACTGTCATCCTATCCCATCCATCTTATTGTATGGTTGTGTGTAATTGCATGTAGTGAGTGGTATAGCTGAACCATTCTTTAGATTTCTTATTTGATTCGGGTCAACCAATCTAGATTTTGCTGTTAGGTCTTTATGTTTAGCTATTCTGACTGACTGCCCTTGTTCTACTACTTCGACCTATGTATTTGACCTGACAATCATTGCAGGTAGGGTATGCGATAAACTAAATTGTTTTGTTTTAAAGACTCCACAGGATACAGCCTTTAACTAACAAAGCTTGTTTCTAATTGAGTTTGTGGGTGGTTTGAATGCCAGCAACTTTCATTGTTGCATTGTTAAGAATTCTGCATACGGTGGTTTCCGAGGTTCCTTCCTTGTATGGAATTACTATTGATGATTTAGATTCCCTATTGTTGGTCTTGTCTTGCACATATTTGACCTGCATGTCGTCATTAATATTATTATTAATATCACCATCACTACTAAAATTATTTATTTTAATTGTTCGAAACTGTGCCATCCAGTAAATAATACTGTTTCACTGTGTGATGCATCTAATATACAAACTAAAATGGAATTACTCCTGTCTTCACTTTAAACGCTTTTGAGTTTTCCGTTGTGGATCATCTCACTCACGTGACAACATCATTTAGCCAAATGTTGAATGAGGTTGGTAAAGATATGGGGGAACCCCATAGAGTAGAAGCAGTCAACGCGGTCGAATTCAGTTTCAAAATCAATGAAGTTGAAATGGAAAGTGATAGGATCCCACATATTTTGGTATTGACTGTTTAAACTTGCATATTTTAGTATTTTAGTATTTGCGTATTTTAGTACATGCGACCAAAAGCCGGTATAAATTCCTTTTATAATAAAAGTTCTTTTTGTATTTCCCAATGAATGAATGAAAAATAAAACGATATTGTTGTGGGTTTACTGACGTTTCGGTATTGAATGCTACTGCTAATAGCTTTATCAAAGGAGTAGTATTATTAAACAAGAATTTACAAAATCCATTCAGCTTATATATAACAAATTAATCGTCGTTCGTCAACATGGGGTTATTGTTGCTTTGTCAAATTGGTCAATTGGTAAAGATAACAAAACCATCATGTGCAGATTATCGGATTTGATAAGTGTGTAAAATTATACAAAAGCAGCGTGTGTTTACATAGTGAACTTGTTTATCACATTCGTGTTGATTTTGTCACTTCATGGGGGAGAGGTGTTGTAACCAGGTCGAATTCTCTTTTAGTCCATCATTCCTATTCAGTCCAGACAATTTGGATTCCATCTGACATGGAGTGTTTCTGATATTAGACGTTCTTTGCAATTTCCGAATTTTTTTTGGAATTACTTCAATATGGTCAAAATCAATTTTGTGGCCTGATTCTATGGCTAATGATTTTTCAAGCTTTTCTAGTTCAACACCTTTATTATAATGAATATCATATACCTAATGCCTAAATTTTTTGCAAACTGTTTAAAGTGAGCTAGGTTTGGACATACATAATGTAAATTCTTTTCTTCAAGCATACCTTTGATTCCTTAGGGGTAATAATAGGCGAATTAACACAGGAGAATTCGCGAAATCGATTGCCTCTTAGATTGAGATGTTCCAATTTAGGGAATTGATACGGTGTAGTTGATTTCTCACAGCTCAAACTATACAATAAACGGGAGAAGAAACTAAAAAGTAAAAGAAAAAATAGATGAGAAAGTTAAATTTTTGAAAGAAAATATTCCAATTAAAAGAAAACTTAACATTTAATACCTGGTATAAATAGGATAGCGAAGATTTGTATCTCAGGTGGATGATTTTGATGTGGATTTGTTCTCTGAGCTGGATGGTTAGTTTGCGAAGCTGTGTGTACACACAGACAACCATGGACATCAATTCGACTGGGACAACGTTCAAATATTAGGTAGAGAAAACACCAAGAATACTAGAGAATTTTAGAAGCTTGACACTCCAGTGAATCATCAATCAATAGACACATCCAGATAGACAAAATTTATCAACTGATAAGAAAGAAACCTCACACACACACACACACACACACAAAGGGTCAATGTTCAAGTCAAAGAAACAATCAGTTCCGATACACGTAGCTGCCTAGAAGGTGTGAAAACAACAACAAAAAACAACCAATCACGATGTTCAAGGTCACCCACCAGGAGAGATGATTAATAAACTCGTGGAGAAATCTAAAAGCTCACTTCAAATTGAAGTATGCGCTGAAGATGTCACCAGTAGGGTGATGAAAGCCTTGAAAATTAACCATCCAGCTCAGAGAACAAAACCACATCAAAATACCTGGTATTTTCAGGTGTTAGCTTGTAGGGGTTTAATTAGTTTCGAGTTTAATCAGGAATGGATATCAGTTAGAAAATCATCGAAAACCCTCAAGGAGAACTGTACATTTGTTTCATCCTTGTTTGAGACTCTTCAACAGTCTGCTCCGATAACCCCATCACAGAGGATCGACCTCAGGACCTTCAGGTTGCATTCTATCTCCCAAGTTAGGTGCTATAATGGGAAGGCTAGGGCTCAAGTGTACGGTAAGGAGGGAAAGTCAATCGATGGCGTTGAGAAAGGGAATCGATTGACATGACTAGGACTAGCCTTCCCCGAAGGTTAATGTTAGCTCATATAGGATCAGGTTAAAAAAAAGCTAGTGGTGGTCAAACCAAAACTAGCCGTTAGTCAGTCCACGAAATCTTTGACAACTGGTTTGTCCCAGCCACGTCTGAGGGGATGCGTAGGTGGTTCAGCAGTAGAATGCTTGCCAATCACGCCCCATGTGGTCTGGGGTTCGATCCCCGGCCACCAATGCACTCTTAAACCTCGCTAAGCTGGTAGTAAGGCAGGTCAGGAGGGAAGGATGGGCGTGAGGCTGGCTAGCAACTCCATCCCGTAAAAAAATGAAACCACTGACAACGAAATTTCAGAGCGCTAGCTTGAAGAAAACAACTAAAAGAAAAACATCCGAGGGAAGGGTAAACTGCCTGGTGGGAGTCTTCGCGATGTTAAGAACCAATGGGAGAAGACGACTGGTGGTATGACCCAATCCAGTTCTCGACAGCACTGAAGTACTCACTTTTTGAAATGCCCTATATCCATTAAAACCCCATTGTTCTCTATGTTATTATTCTCTCCCCTCACATTTCTGTTTATTATCGTCCCTAGGAACTCTTTCACCTTCCTTTGTATGGTACATGGAGTGTGGCAACTTTAACTGCTGAGCTTCTGTGAAAAGTTCTGTGTTACACCTAGTCAGTCCTTCAGGTTAGAAGACGAGTTCGCTAACCAATTCAGCCAACAGGACGGAATTCAGCAACCAGACCATGAAAACTTACAGATTTGGGATTCGAACCAAGCACTGCCTACTTGACTGACTGAATGGTTTCAACACAGAACTTTGCACAGATGTGCAGTAGTTCAAGTCGCTACACTCCCTTCTTGTAGCCCAAAAAACAAGAGAAGAAAGTAAAGAGAGATTCAACACAAAGAGACATAACTGTTTCAGATTTGATTGACTGATGAACCCACTTTTTCGTCTGACCACCACTAGCTCTTTTCCAATCCGATCCGATGTTAGGCGATCGGTGGCTAGGCATGCGTAACACATGTCCCAACCATCTTAATCGGTGTAACTTCACAACCTTGTCTATTGACTCGACCCTACTCCTTAACCAACACTCTATGCCTAACCTCAATATTACTCACCCTATTACTCCTTACTTAAGATGGGAGAGAGAACGCAAGCACCTATGATCAAAGAAAGCTAGCTTTTTCATATTTTCCAATTTCATTGTCCATGGTCTAACTCACGACCATAAAGTAGGATGGGGCGAACTGCTACAGTGCAGTACACACGGCTTATGGTCGACACCCGGATGACACGTCTACTAAGCTAAAGTTGGCGCAAGTTGACGGGCATATGCCAAACAAGCCTTCTGTATCTGTGTTGAAAGTTAGTCAGCGAACAACCAGTTGAGGTACCACCTACTTATAAATTATCTCTTAAATCCTTAAGTTGTAGACAACCGCAAAAGCTAAGGACCTTCAATTCGTTAATACATCTTACTCTCACTGACTAACAATGTGACAAGACAGACAGTATACTTTACTGATCTTCCACAGTTGACTCTTCTTTGAATAATATATATTGACTACTCACTGTGATTATCTTGTCATAAGCTTGGACTCTCTCCATTCCAATAAGTTAGGGAGTTAGTTCTGTAGTTTGTTGAGCCTCGTCAGCTCGCTGGCGTTCCGAGTAGAACACTAAGGCTTCAAGCTTTGAAATTTCAGTAGCAATGCTTGGGAATTTTAGCAAATGGGGTAACCGGTCCTATGCTTAACCTTCCCTTATTCCTGAGGAATTATTACCAATTAGACAAGGTATATAAGAGTATGTGGGGTTGTGAATCAAACACCGGACTCGCCGCATAACAGCGAGCATTCTACCAACAATGAATGATCGACACATTCCATTTCTGGTGTCATTATTCTCAGATGTGTTAAGTCCCGCAAAAAAAAAGTGTATTAGAAAAATGAATAAATTTCAGTCTGGGATGTCATCCCTAAAAAGGAAATTGCACTAAATAGAACAGATAAAACAACCGCACAATGTACACACAATGACAATGAAACGACAAAAAAGTGGAAAGCCTAACTTCTGTCTGTCTGGATTCAACATAGAACTTGTCACCGAAGTGCACCAGTTCCAGTTGCCACGTTCGAAATAGCACACAAAGGTAGACAAGAAGATGAGTGAAGAGAATCAATACAGTCTGACAAGTATAAGAGTGAAACAGAATGGGTAATGGTAGAAAGGAATATGAAAGATTACAGAGACTGAATACATGTGCTGGCCATTGACAACGATTTCGAGCCATGTCACCTATTGTCTCCAGCCATTGATTCCTAGAGTCAGTCCCGAGGGCCCCAACCCGACGGAAGTCTGCATCTCCCTACCTACCTGACTCAGTTTAACTGTCAAGGATTTCATGGATTGATGAGGCAATGTTTTTGTTTGGCCACCACTGGCCTAACTTGACAAAACTAGGAAAAGAAACCTTGAAAATTTTTAGTAATACCAAGGAAATACTAATCAATAAATAAGACAAAGGAAATGCATCAGTTGCATACCGCATAAATCAGACTATTCTGGAGAAGGTTAGTACCCACGTACAAACAGGATCATATACGGAAATTAAGAGATCAATAACACTGTTATGAATAAGGCTAAGTAAACAAACACAAAGGACCTTATACACAAAAAGAAGCTATGGTATTAAATCCACTCAGAAGCCACTCAAAATCTAGACTAATATATTCCTATGATCTAAAAGATAGAAGGATTAGATAATTTAAATTTAGATTTTCCAGTTTGACCACCGATTGATATCAGTTAGAGAACCATTGAAATCCAGGATGTACTGAACAGCTGTTTGTTTTTCCCTACTCCGGGACTCAGTGGCAGTTAGCAACCAGTGGGTTTCCAACCCAGGACTTCCAATTGCAAGGCAAGTCCGTATATGATTCAACCACTGGGATCCGATTCAACGGCCAGCCCATGGATTCTAACTTCTGCCAATTCATGATTTTGGCGCCACCATCAAATCCTTACAAACCAACTAATGAAAATTAATCTAATGCTCTTTGGTAACAGGCTACGGTACGGAGTTTCCTGGAGTTTTAGAATGAATTCATGAGCAGTGTGGTCCAACTAGTCGGGAATGAGGGTGGAGTTCCAAACGATGACGCTAAAAATCACGAATTGGTGGAAGTCAGAATTTATTAGCTGGCCATTGAGGAGTCGGGTCCCAGTGGATGAATGTTATACGGGCTTGCCTTGCAACTGGAAGGTTCTACGTTTGAAAACCAGAGGGTGTATACTACCGATGAGTCCTGCAGTAGAACGAAGCAGCTGTCCAGTACTCCTTCACTGGTTTTCAATGGTTCTCTAAATGATATCAATCTGTGGTCCAACTGGATAAAAAATTCAAATCCTTACAAATCAAATCTTGATCGCTAAATTTAAATTGTCAAGAAAAAATGGTTAGTTTTGACATCGTCAATTTATATACACAAATATTGATAAATATTGCCTATAAACGCGGTCAGAAACGAACTTATTTCTCACCCAAAAAACTTGAACTTAGAGCAAAGGTACCCTAGAAGACATCATGTAAGGAGTGTATCTATATGCCTGACATCTACAGCATTTAAATTCCAAGGGAAAATATACAAACAGACTGAGGCAGTTGTCAGCCCCGACATTCATGTGAATGGCCGAGAAAATCTGTCGATTGAAATGTTCAGCCTCACCGTCCTCCAAAGTATGATGAAGGAGGTATGTAGGTGGGGGACACATGAATGGATTTTTTGAACAAATCAACACTCGAAGTCAAAAAAACCAATTCAATTCAATTCAATTATGAATTAAAAAGTCAGGAAGTCAGGAGAGTTTTCAATGTTAGACTATAGCATAAAGAGGGAAAGAGGATGGGAAGTTAAAGCACTCCTATTCCTATTACTTAAATTTAATTATAAGTAGTCAGACAGACAATAAAAGAAGTCGAAAATAACCAGGCTACAAAAACAAAAACAGTTCACCCGAGACTTCATTGAGAGAAAAAAATATATAAAAAATGTAAATAAAATTTCAAATATTTTT